ATCTTTAATAGCTCAAAATGTGCTGGGATATGATATTCGATTACCACACCATAGCAAGCTGTAGACCTTCCACCAAACACACCTTATGTTACATGGGTAGCTTCTAACAACAAAATCCATCATTATGAACAATAAGTTAAGCTCTGACATCAAGTTATCTCGCTGCAGCAGGTTGGTGATATTTTGGTCAAGCATAGTATATATTTACATTGGGATTCTTATGTGATATAACGACAGAAGGAGTAGATAATTTAACATCTTGTTCATTCATAAGTGGCATTAGGATATCAGGTGTTAGTACAGACACTGCGGTAACAACAATAATGAATTAAGTACTACCCATAGCAGCTTGTTCTCGAAGTACCACATGTTTCTCCCGAATTTTAGATAGTGCACTGTTTTTGCTTATACATCGCTGTGAAGAGGTGGAATTGGGGAAGATACGACTGTAAAAGACATTGACTTGAGAGTTAGAGAATGAAGTTGATCACGAACTGAGTCCACCATGTCATCAAGTCAACTACTTCCTGACTTTCATCAGGATCTTCCAACAGATCAAGAATGCTGTGATAAAAATTCTCAGAGTCTGTAACTGTGTCGGTATGCGAAAATACAGACGACGAGCTTAATGAAAACCGAATCTAAAGATTAATCAGCAGGCAGGCATAAATTGTCAAGTTTTTGACATGCCTGCATGGCAATATAAGCCAAGGACCCTTTAGTTACAGACTTCATGCTGTGGAGATATGCATTTCTGGAGCATGTAGCTTTTGGCTCCTTATCCACGGAGCTCGGAGACGTAAAGACATGCTTGAAACCCTGCCAAAAAAAAACCTTGTAATGAGTGGTAAATTTATGGCCGAAAAAAACTTACGAAGATGAGTATCTTGCTCCTAAGTAAACCAGTCCAAGGATCTTCAGGATCATAGACATACCCAGCATAAAGAAAAATTGGCCACTGATCACCACGAACTGCAGTTTCACCACTTTTGAGGCTCTGCTTGGTTCTGGCAAGTGATTTGATGAGTAGGTGATTGAATGGTAAAAACACTTACTCTGCATTTGACCAGTCAAGGCCTGCTGGGCAGAGCAACACGCCAGTCACTTCATGATTGAAGCCATGGTCAGATTTGATATTTCGGGCAAGAGGTGGAATAAGTGGCTGTCCTCTAGGAACAAGCCATTTGAGGATGGCAGATTTAAGAGTCTTGGTGTCATTGCCTCGCGCACCAGATGCTCCTTTACCCATCTGCCAGAAGGTGATTGTGATGATGACATTACAGTATCAAAAACTTACCAGTTCTCCCACATGAATGATGTCCTCTTCTTCGTCATTCGTCAGACGATCTAAAAGACCAGGGTAGGAATCTATTAATTCCACAAATACCCTGTGTTCCCGGCGAACACTAAAATTGAAAGGGATGTAAGGGGGTGCTGGCATTGAAATGTCAAAATTACACTCACTCCGCAGGATAATCCTTGATCGAAGAGTCTCGTAGTTCTTCGAGTCGGAGTATACCTGCGGTCAGAAGGGCAGGATAGTTGCACATTGCAAACACAGTACAGCCAAAATGTCGACCATGCAGAACAAGGGGGTTCGATGAAGTCCTTGTTGAAGGAGAGTCAGAATGGTAGGATTATAATATGTCAAACACCTACGCCTTTTTACGCGGGCCCGAACGGAGTGCTGAACCACTACGCTTGCGCAAAGGTTCAACAGACGGACGATTTTCATCATCACTCATACTCAAGTTTAGGAATTGGGAGGCTGAAGTATCAGTGGCTACATGAGACGGTTTATATACCATCGGATAGGAAGTAGCGGAAAATTTACTTTTCGTCCGCTGCAGATATCATAACAGCATTGATAGCATGGTTCGATCGTTATTCATTTCGGAACTAAAAAAAAACCGCTATCCTGGCACCGACAGCGGTGCATTGCCTCAGATGACAGCATCGTACATTTATACATAAGTCAAGTTGGCACTGTTGCCACAATTATGAGCATCATGCATAGCAGCCCACCAATGCCGGACTCACCCTCGCGAAAAAGTTTCCAACAATGCTTCCACGTCGAAAAAAATGTCACGTTCAGGTGACTTCTTTAATGCGACATGTGCTACAAAATTTTTGAACAGATGAACCTTACAGGATTCAACTGTCATCATCAGGTGAGCTGAGAGGCATCAATGACGCAAAAGACATACAAGTCGGCATCGATTGCAAGTGAGTGAGTTGATACAGATCAACTCAAAAAGACTTAGCATACAGGCAAATCCATCAAAACAGAAATCTGATTGATATGGGGACACAGACTACGGGTGAGATTTAATATTCTGATGCGGGAAATTTGTACTGAAAGGGACCTAGTCTCCAACGAACAATGCATAAGCGAAGAATCTGAGCTACGACTCGTCAAGGAACACTTAAGGAACGCGGAAAACAATGCTGCTTACCTTTCAGAAAAGGTGCCAATGTACAGAGATAGATGGCTGGAAGAATACTACCACACCAACAACCTCGAATACCACATGCCCTCTAACATCCACATGACTCACCCCCCTCAAATTCCATACGGTGCTCCCTCTCCTACCTTCTTTTCCAGCTGTGTAGACAGTGATAACAAGTATTAGAACTGGAAGAGAAGGCTTTGAGTTGAGCAGACATCATGTCCGAGTGTGAATCATTAAGTAAGAATTTAGGATAAGGGAACATACCTGTTTTTTAACAAACGAGAATGTAAGGCTTGTCCGTATATCATGTAGTTGATTGGTTTCAAGTTAGACGTCAAAACATTAAGCTTGAAGACATTCTAGAAATTGAATCCCGTGAGTAGTATGTGGCATTGATCATAAGCTGATAGGAAGGTCAGGTGAAGGCTCAACAAAGGCGTATACCAATGATTTACCTGGTCACCATTGGGCCCCAAGCATCGAAAGAACCGTCCTGGAACTCTGTAAAATACCAAGGTTGTCCAGGTCAACAGTTGAATGCTGACTCGCACTTGGTGTCAGAAGTAAGAGCTACCAATATAAATCACATACACCCATGATCGCTATAATGGTTCATGATGACCAGGGCTCCAGACATCTGGGTTGGAACAGTCAAACCCTTGTGGATATAGGAACCTATACTTGAGGACAATAATTGTGTCACTGACAAGAGACCAAGTGTCTCATGAATGGACTTGCCCATGGATATTCGTGGCACCCTACTACACATCATAGAATTCAATATAATGGCCATCCATAATTATTCGACTTACCATTGATTCATGCCTGTTCTTCTCCCGGGTCATTAGCATTCAAGCGACAACAATACTGGAGTTCAGCTTGTGAAAGTATTACGCTTGCGTGGCTGGTTCCTGGGAGTATTTGTTGTCTTTACATCACAATTGAGCTCAATTCAATCTAATGGGCGTACTAAACATGAGGGCTACTTACTGATTTGGAGGCCGCAACCTATCACATGCAAAGCTGCTATGATACTTGAATGTAGTGTCTGCTATGCTACGCCGCGAGGTTATGGGAGAATGTTACGACCTAGATGAACTGAATTCCAGAGGTGCAGGAAGTTCGTGAGTTCATCGTTGCGAGCCACTTTGAGGCCATCGTAAGATTATGCATCCCTCTGCCAGATCAGTCTGTGAGGCTTCATTGGCGTCAGACTTTACATGACCAAGTTTAAGGAATGCGACCGCTCCGACGCTCCCATATAAGGAACGACTCCTGAGTTGGGGAAAATCATTATTATGTTCTCAAGTCCTCCGCTTTATTAGACTTACAAAGTTTTTAGACTCATAACCAGTCATTAAAGAACAGTTATTTCGATGTAGCTGTGCTAACTTCAACTAATGATAACTAACTATACGTCCAACGCTTCAGATGAGAAAGCTTCTCTCTATGCTTGAGACTCAAGAATCGGTATTTCAATAATATATATGCGATAATAGAACACAGAAAATAAGAGGTAACATATCGGCAATGTGAGATGGAGGTTTGGAAAGAAATCCTCTGAAGGAAATGACGCAGATGATATAGTGAATGACAATTCAAAGTCAGCCGAAACTCAGCTCACTTAGTAATCGGGCATTTCCAGCCTGGGTCTGAATATGTAGTCATTCAGTATATCAACTGTGCGGTGCTTGCCGTGGAAGTCTCTCTTCGACTTCGATCATACACATTCTGTTATTATTATTAAATTGTATGGTTTCATGTGACTATGTAGAGTAGTAGTAGTACATACTAGTACTAGTATTAGTTCAATTTGAGACTCTGGCAGCTGTCGCAGCTGCATCTATACCTACTAGTAGTACTATGTGGGCAGTGTGAGGCTGCAGGACTTGGCAAAATTTAATGTACTCATTGTCCAAAATCGTGGTGGACGTAACAATTTATTTACCCATGCCATTGGTCCACAATGCCCACAAAAGTTTATTGTGTGTGCCGTGCTAGTGGTAGTGCATGGTCCACAGTCCGTGACAACACTTCACACCATCAGAAAGTAGTATGTCCGCAATTAGTCATTCACTATAAATTCTGATTATGCACATTCGTAGGTCTTCTTTCTGCTCTCTCTATCTACATCAATCATACCATGACCTAGTATACAACATAGGATAGACCTTTGAATAGACTAAGTTCAAGTTATCGTCAGTATGTTATGTTTTGGCTTCCTTATACTAGTAGGGCATTAATGATTTAGAGTACAGGCAGGATCATAACTTGAACAATCCGAGTCATGACTTGGATGTCTACTACTGCTAGTAGTAGTACTAAATGTGCCACACCAAGTGATACTGCACTTGAACCCCCTTCGAAGCGCATGTGAAGCAGAACTCATGAAGGTAAGCCAAGACTCGTCATATAACCCGGGCCATCCAAGTTGTTCTTGTCATAGCTAAGTGTGAACATCATTGTACAGGCACTTCTAATGCAGCGCCATCACCGCTGGCGGATCGAGGCACATGGCACATTCTAGCTCAATTCCTCGAAACCGAAATGAGTTACAGTGAGATGGAAGAGAAACTTTCATCTTACCTCGGCGATCAATACTCTGCGGACGATTGGAAGGATGCCAAAACCATGCTTTTCTCTGGTGAACACAATGTTGGAGCATGTTTGAGAAATCTTGAGCTCTTAAGGAAGAAGTACATACCCCGTCGACCCCGCCCTGTAAGTGATTTTTTTTTCACATCTACTGAATGCATACCAAAAAATTGTAGCGGAAGAATATGTATCTCGACATTGAGGCAAACGAGGGAGACAGCGAAGAGGAGGAAGAGGAAGATGGTGACTACGACACACAGGATCAGGTTGGCTCTTCTGCTTGATTGCCAAAGGTTACATCCATTCCAGGACCGTCAGCCAAGGATACGTTATCCAAAAGGATTGATGAGATCTACAACAACACGACAAAGGTCTCCAGCTCCTCAAGAAGCCGCATCTCTCACAGAGCAGCCTGGTCCCCTGCCACACTCGAGAGTTGAATGTATCTCCTGCATGTCCATAGTATGTCTATTGGTTCATCATGTACTATGTTCCTCATCACTTCCTAGGAACTGCTACGGTTTATATTGCTGAACATCTTCATAGTAAAGGATTCCCTGTGACCATGTCGCTTTGGTTGCTGGGGCAGCTCTATGTGGTCTCAGATAGTCCTAGAACGATTGCATCCTCCCTTCCAGCTTCACATAAGTTCTCAGTAAAAGACTACTATCGCATCTCAGATAAAGAATGTGTTGCGGTGGAACGCTCGACCATCAAATTTCCCAACCCCTTGTGGGTAAGAGTCAAATCTGGCATGTACAAGGGAGTCACAGGCTATGTCTTCGACCCAGACCAGTCAGACCTTTTTGTCGATGTCTTAGTCGTCACTCGAGAGTTTCCCTATCCAATGCTTTCAGGATGTGAAGCTCTGCTTGACCGTTCTCACCTTCTGGTGGACAATGAAGTTACAGATATCATTCGCAATGGTGAAATTATAGGATGCTCATACAAAGGACAGCGATACTACAGGGGACTGCTCCTTAGGAAATTCCACCGCTATCAACTAGAAGTTGTTGCTTGTCCCCACGCTGATGACATTAGACTACATCTGCAGTCAGGGTTTGACACACCCTTCATCAAGAAATCCATTGTGGCATTCTCCAAGCAGTTTCTGCATGTGGGAGATGCGGTTAGGATCATCACAGGAGCAGTTCCATCAGAGATTGGCACAGTCGTGTCAATAAACCATGGGTTTGGTGGCTCCGCATGCATCAAATCAACCCTCGACGGACATCGGGAAGAGCTGGAAGCTCGACTTGAGGATGTGGAGCGTGTTTTTTGGGTCAGGGACGCGGTTCGGGTCGTAGCAGGTTCATACCTGGGTTTAGAAGGCCATGTCATTCAAATGGACAAGGATTTGTTTCGTCTTTGCCAAGGGGTCTCCATGGAGAAGGTAATTTTTTGTGCGAATAGAAAATCTACAACTAACGCTCGGTGCATAGGTGCAAGTTTCAAGATATTATTTGGATCATCATTACCAGACTTGCACGATGCAGTCACATCTGCCATTGTATCAACATTTTGAACCTCCCCCTGAGTCTCAATCCATAGAAATTGGAGATTATATAGAAGTTCTTGTGGGAGAACACATGGGGAAGCAGGGCATCGTGACCTGGTCTCCTGGGCCTCAGGCTATTGGAGGAACCCAGCTGTGGTTCCAGGACGAGTCTCCTCAGACGTCGACTTTGCATTATACAGAGTACTATTCAGGACCTCCAAGTATTCAAATTCCTGTGGCATTTGTCCAGCGGACACGCCTACCCCAGACAATTAAATTTACCAAGGAAAAAGGTTATGACCTCAAGCCTGGAGATGTTGTAAGGGTCGCGCGTGGGCCGGAGTACCAGACGAAAGGGATTGTGCAGAGTGTTGACTTCCCAAAGGCTCGCCTAACACTACTTTCTGAGAGTGATCACTCGCTTGTGAGTGAAATTCAACTTGACACAGGCATATCTGACTTGAAACAGATCGACGTCCCAATTGGATTTGTGATGAAAATACTTAACGTGTCCTTGGATTCTTTCAACAATGTCATCAGCCAAGAAGTGTTTGTGGTTAGAGGTGACCGAAAGGGTTTCTGAGCCACGTTGTATGGCATTGGCGGTGAGAATTGCACTGTTGCTATCAATGGGCAGGCACGCACCACATTCAAATGCCAAGACGTTGTAACCAGGTGAGCAGCGCACATAGTACTGTTGTCGTCATTTATTAATTTTTCATTGCTGTTCAGGTATGGAATGAGATTAAATGGTCCCATGCTAGGAGAATCGGACTTAATAGCATTCTGCGCCATGCGAAAGAGATCTTACTTGGCATTACAACCATGAAGATGCATCACGCCCCCTCCTGTCCCGCTGGCAGTTCCCTCTGATTCGTCTAATTCTATTAGTGCAGCTCACAACCCATCATCATCTAATTGGACTGCCTGGAATCTCACACAGGATATCGATGGTGCGAACTTGAATGATCCGTCATCGGGCGTCAATCTCAGCTCATTGACAACCAACCCATGGACTGTTGATGCACAGGACATTCAGGATGGCATAGATGCTAGAGTGGAGCAGCTCAAAGACAGTGGTGAGTCCGTCCCAGAGGTATCACAACAACTTTTGCTCATTTTATTATAGGCCCTCTACCTTGGTTTATGAGCAAGGAGTTTTCTTCGCTATTCCTTACATATCACGCGATGTTTACAGTTTCACTGAGCTTTGATCATGCCAAGTTTTACAAACGATTCGTATCATCAGCCTGTCCTGATCCATTCTGCGGTGCGAATGGACCCGCACCCAAAGGTTGCATTGCAGTATCTTGTACATCCAGTCGTGCAGGTGCTGCACTTGAACATTACCATATCCCCGCCAAGGATCTGAGCCCAGCTCCTCCACGAAAAAGAAAACAATAATGTCTCATTCTAGACGGCGATTATTACGGTCAGATTCTGACTATTTCACAGTGTAGCATTGGTAAAAAAACTGCTCAGTTTACATTTAATGGTTCCAATACTATTACCTTACATTTTGATCAGATATGTCTTGTGCAACATGCACAAAACACTATGTAGTAATGGACCATATAGTACTAGTACCCATAGTACTATACATCAATTCAATATTTGAACACTGCGATTCTCATCTGTGTGGCAGTTCATTAATCTAGCCCTTTTGAAGTCATTCAAAGTGGCCATCAGGATCATTTGACTACAATGTATTTGTATACATATTTGTGCTTCAAATATCTAACACCCACTGGCAAAAGAACGGAACATGATTTGCCAGTGATCCTGTGGATGCAATTCAAGTGCATCCGAGTCTGACTCTCAGGCTCACCCAGGCCGGCGGGCCCATGCAATCAAGTGCCAATGTGCACAAGAACCCTCCCCCCAAAAAAAAAATAACACGGATTTGAACTAAAGACCCTCATACTAGTACTACTAGTAGTAGACAGTGGCTGAGTCTGACTCCTCGGAGTCCGAGTCCAAGTCAGGCTCAAATGTACTAACTGTGACAGGGTGTGACATTTTGTTGACGATTGTCTACACGGCAAACCCAACTTTTTGTAAATTTTATGTAACACGAAAACCATCCATGTGACATCCCAGCCAATACATAAGGATTATATCATGGATGTCATGATATCGTACAGACATAATGGACATGTGGCTGTGTTGCAGAAAAGAAAAACACAAATTGAACAATAAAAGAAAAAATATGTGCTGACAGAATCAAACCCACAACGTCCACAACATCTGACAATACTAATATTCCAACAATACCACAACACTACTAGGCTGTTGGGTGACAACAGCCTACATAATACATATCGTGCTTCTACGTCCTTTGCACAAATTCTGCTAAGTCATTGGTAGTCTGATGTCCTCAGCACACACAACCACCACAACACTCAGCTCTTGTGAAAATAGTTTAAATGAGTGTCTTGATGTATCATATGAGTGTTCCTCAGTGCTTCAAGAAATTCAGACAGCAGAGCCTTGCACAAGTGATTTGCAAAGCATGCTATGTATTTGGTGGGCATCTACCAAAGCAAGGCCTTGTGGTGTTGCGGTAGTATCGCTTGCTTCAGTTGGCAAAGTTGCGTAGTGTGTGAGTTCGATTCTGTTACGCAGTATATTTTATTGGTTCCCTTTTTTCTATCCGAGGCATTCCCATCACTGGGGCCCATTATGTCCGTACGATATAATGCTTTATATGTAATCCATACACAGCACGAAAACCATACATTTTATGTCATATATACATTACGCTAATATTTCTGAATTTAGACATCAGATTTACAAATTGTTGGGCTTGCCATGTAGGCACTAGATATAGATGGCCAGGTATTCATTCGGCTGCTGCCAGCAAAGTTTGATTTATATAGTCAGTCAATATATAAACCACTCCTCCTCAAACTTGTGAAGTTTTCCGACCTAACAACTTCCCAGCTGTGTTACAGGGATCTGTAACACCTACTAGAGCCCCAGCTCTCCCTATGCCTGCCCCCGCTCTGCTAGACTCCCCGCGCGGCGGTGCGCCGCCCGCGCCTAGAAAGACAGTGGTCTGGACCGCTGTGACCCCGCCCCTGGCGCTATGACCCCGCCCCTGGCCTAGATAGCCTTGTACCTGAACCATGGAGGCTGTACGCCTCATGGTCACCCTAGATCAGCGCATGCATACCGCATGTCGCTTCATGAAGATCTGGAGCGTGCTTGGCGCTTCCTGTACCTATGCGCAGCTGCCCTTGGCGCAGCATGCTTGATCAGAGGGTAAGCCTCATGTATCTTATCTGAACCTCATGTCTGGCTATCATAGATTTACGATATACTATTGATTACAGACTGAGCTAGAATACTTGTAGTACTTCCCTATAAGTAGACACAGATTATTGTACTTAGACTTTACTTTAATCTACTAGGTTCATCCCCAGAACTTGCTCATCTAAGCTTACCAGCTTCCTTGTGTGAGACCGCACTTCTAAGTCGCCCCCATATGACTTAGCACGTATCCGCTAGCCCTGCATCTCGACGAGCGCCGTCTTACCGAGATCGCCGGAGGAATCCTTGACGTTCCGTCAAGGCCAGACCACGCTCAGCTTCAGTAGACTCACTCGAGTCGTCGCTGAGAAGACCTATCCTAGTTCGCACACGCCGACCGACGGTCAGCGTAACAAGCTGAGTATGCAGGCAATAACTGTAATGTAGTTGACCATGTGTATAAATGTTCGCCTCATAGACTTGCGAGTCCAGTGAAGGCATTGTCTACTGCGGACGCGCCTCAGTAACGTTGGACAGTCGAAACTTGATTCTGCAAACTTGAAATGATGAACAAGTACTATGATATGCCAGCTATGATGACAACAATAGTAAGGTGCTTCATTCCAGTGATCAACAACTTCACAAAATATTCAGGCTGATGAAAGATGGGCAGTGCAGAAATTTTCTGGACCCTGTGCCACAATACCCTAACCCATGTTACGCGAAGTGACAGGCTGTGTCATGATATCTGGTGCCTCGAATTGGAAAAGCCAAGGGCGTAGGGTGGTATGTGAGACGCCTGGACTCGTGAAGGAAGTTTGAGTCCAAGAAGTTGTCCCGGAGGGAGTGACTGTGTTACGTCGACTGTAGGTCGGCGTGTGCGAACTAGGATAGGTCTTCTCAGCGACGACTCAAGTGAGTCTACTGAAGCTGAGCGTGGTCTAGCCTTGACGGAACGTCAAGGATTCCTCCGGCGATCTCGGTAAGATGGCGCTCGTCGAGATGCAGGGCTAGCGGATACGTGCTAAGTCGTATGGGGGCGACTTAGAAGTGCGGTCTCACAAGGAAGCTGGTAGGCTTAGATGAGCGAGTTCTGGGATGAACCTAGTAGATTAAAGTGAAGTATAATCTACAACAATGTGTCTATTTATACATAGTGTATGTAGGCGTTCAAGCTCAGTCTATAATCTATAGTATATCGCTAATCTAAGATAGCTAGACATGAGGTTAGATAAAGTACATGAGGCTTAGCCTCTGATCATACATGCAGCGCCAAGTGCGACTGCGCAATCAACAGGAGGCGCGTGGAAGCGCTCCAGGTTTCCTACATGAGGCGCCAAGGGCGCTCCGGATCTTCATGAAGCGACATGCTGTATACATGCGCTGATCTAGGGTGACCATGAGGCGTACAGCCTCCATGGATCAGGTACAAGGCCGTCTAGGCCAGGGGCGGAGTCATAGCGCCAGGGGGCGGGGTCATCGCGGTCCAGACCGCTGTCTTTCTAGGCGCAGGCGGCGCACCGCCGCGCGGGGAGTCTAGCAGAGCGGGGGCAGGCGTAGGGAGAGCTGGGGCTCTAGTAGGTGTTACAGATCCCTGTAACAGACTGGAGTGTTAGAAGTGCTGGCATGTCATGACAAAATCTTTTCGAATTGTACTCGACATATCTTGTGGTTGGAAGTCATGACCCATTGTTGATGGTGTGAGTTAAATTTCGAAATCAGGATTAGATATTGATATGTGCGCTATAGCTACGTCAATCAGTCTATTGGTAGATGGCCTACACCTCTCCGAGGATAATACATAGCTGGTACACAGGCTCTCCCAAAGAATTTTTCTATATTCACTGTATTAAATATCAGATCCGCCAGTCTGCATATTGAAATCAGCAACTTGCACAAGTAGCCACGAGTACTGGTCGCACATTCAGCAACATACTGCCCTAGATTTGGTCCTCTAGTTTGCAGAAGTATTGCAGTCTCAACATAGCTACCACCCCTGGCACAAAGGCAACAAGGGTAGCGGAACGCACACTTCCGGCGATAAGCATCAAATTGTGATGGGTGTATTTTTTGCCCCTGGTGATCAGTTGGCCTTTCAGTGAGTACGTCAGTGTATGGCACCTTCCCCTAAAATCAACTTACCACTGATACGTCGCCAGTTCTTCAGTTTGGCCATGATGATGCAATATACCGTGATGACAAGTCAAAATCTGGACCAGCTGTCTGACTACTTTGTGGTCAGCTGTGGATTCCATTGGTTCAAGCTCTGAGCATGTAGAGGATGGAGACGAAGGTACGGTCATTTTACGGCTTGCAGATGTAGATGCCTTGAACTTACAGAGTCTTTATACAGTCCTGCAGTTCTTTCGATGGACAGCTATTGCGCAATCACTATTTTGAGTTACCCAGTCAGCGGTTTCAGCAGCTCGGCTAGCCCAACCGCTGTCTGTCCAGCTACTTGGTTACGATTACGCCATCATATTGGATTTATTGATCACAAATCCTGCAGTCTGTCCTTAATGTCAGTTTCTCGTTACATCTGCGTTTGCAAGCGCACTTTTACAGAGCAACACTATTTTAGCCAACATCAGCACTCATGCTCTCAAGCGAGAAAGCGTCTTTCATCAGTGATGTCCTCTGTCAAGGAGCTTCTAAGCCATAGGAAAAAGCCGTGCATCTCACCAGATGAGATTAGGCCTGCGGGACTCGTTGAATTGAATGAAGCATCATTCACTGGCCATTTTACCTCTGGTCAAGTCGAGGCTTTTACAGCATCACAACATCCTGAAGTTCCAGTTGTTCCTCTACCCCTCCCATCGCTCGTCACAGGAAGCGATGTGACCCCTGACTGTGAGGGAGAGCAGATAGATAAAGAAGATGACATGAGTTTGGCACAGTGCCGTCCTAGGCACAAGAATTACCAGTTGCCCATGCGGTTCAGGGACGTGCTCCCTCAGCCTCCACCAACTGTACCTTTGGAAGTTCGCAAACGGCTGCCAGAATCTGTGGGGTCTCTCATTGTTTCAGAACAACCTGCTTCACTAGTTAGTGCTGTATTTCGAACCCCTCCCAATATTTTCGGGCTAGTATGGCAATACTTCTCCTCGAAGGTACCATCCCATGATCCAGAGGAGTACATCACTATAACAGACCTCTCATTTATACCAGGCAGCCCTGAAGCCATCGAAGGACCACATGCACCTGTCGCTTCCACTAACAACTCTCAATATCACCCCTATCCCAATCGCTCATCCTTCGAGCTTGGTGATTGGTACTGGAATCATGGTTTGCAAAAGTCCCAAGGGGACTATGAAAAACTGTTGCAGATCTTGGGCAGCAGTACTTTCAATGCTGCTGACATAAGTTCCACTTGTTGGAAAAAGATCAATTCTCAACTGGGAACCAATGAGTACGATGAGGAAGATGGAGAAGAATGGGAGGACGAAGATGTGGGATGGAAAAGGACAGCCATCACTATCCAGGTGCCATTTTCACGTACCGCCGAAATACCAGGCCCACGACTTTATGAAGCTGCACATTTATATCATCGCTCCCTTGTCGCTGTCTTGCGGGAAAAGCTTGCTAAGGCCAGAGATGACATGCTATTTCATTATGAGCCATATCAACTGCGCTGGGCTCCTCGCCATCTGGATGGCGAAGTCTCCATCTATGGGGATCTGTACACATCCGTAGCCTTTCATGAAGCTCACAGCGACTTGCAAGAATCACCCAGGGAACCTGAATGTGACTTACCCCGGGTTATAGCTGGCCTTATGTTTTGGTCGGACGCAATGCAAGTCACTTCCTTTGGCAATGCTAAACTATGGCCTACCTATATGTACTTTGGTAATGAGTCGAAGTATCGCCACTGCAAGCCCTCATGCAATTTGAGCAATCACATTGCTTACTTTGAAATGGTACGTGTTCATACAGAGTTTGATATAAGGTATACTTAAATATGTTACTAGCTTCCTGATTCATTCAAAAATTTTGCAGGCACTAATGGAATCAATAGCAAGTGCGCAACACACTGTCACAGAGAGTTCTTCCATGAACAGTGTAAAATATTGTTAGATGATGAATTTTTGGAGGCATACGAGCATGGGATCGTTGTTCTTTGTTGTGATGGTATTCAGCACAGATTCTACCCCAGGATCTTCACTTATTCAGCAGAAAGTAAGTAAACTAAACTATCACATTGAATTACACTGAATTTTATTTTCCTAGAGTACTTGTAGCAACGGTTCGAAATCTAGGAGGTTGTCCGTGTCCCCGTTGCCTGATCCCCAAGGAACGGATACAAAACATGGGTATGCCCCAGGATAGAACACAGAGTGTCACTCTGGGATGTGATGATGAAAGAAGAAGAAAGATGGTTAGTGAAGTGTGCTTGCTGATTTATGAGCAGAACTATGCGGTTGGTAGCGCACCTGTAGAACACATTCTTAAGCCACAGTCGTGGGTTCCCACCTCCGTAAGTCTTAAATTTCTATCACTGACAATGACTAACAATCTGTTAGAATGTATTTTCAGACCGCCTGAGTCGTTTGGGTTTCAATATCTTTCATGCGCTTGTGGTAGATCTACTACACGAGTTTGAGATTGGCATTTGGAAGATGCTCTTTAAGCACTTGTTGCGTATCATATCAGCGCATGGCAAGAGCCTTATACATACATTAGACCAGAGGTAAGGTCCATCATCTTGCATTGCTCATCTCACATTGACCACCTCCACCAGATATAGGCAAATTCCGATGTTTGGCCCAGCTACCATCCAAAAGTTCTCCACAAACTCTTCCAAGATGAAACGAATGGCGGCCCGGAATTTTGAAGACCTCCTCCAGGTATGAGTTGATCATCAATGAAGTTCGTGGCCTGACGTCACTTAAATAAAGTGCTCGATCCCTGTATTCGACTGCCTTCTTCCAGAACCACACAACAGCACTGTCCTTCGGTTGTTATATACCATGGCTCATTGGCACGGGTTGGCTAAGCTCTGTTTGCACTCTGAGCCAACCTTAGAAATAATGGATGAAGTAACTACAGCGGTCGGCCATCAGTTTCGTCATTTCAAGGCCACTGTTTGTTCCGCCTATGAAACCCATGAACTTCCTCAGGAGGTCAAGGCTCGTACCCAATGTAATGCAAAGCAGGCGGCCAAGCAACAGGGAGGACAGAAAGGGAAGCAAAGAGCGCCCCTTATGGAGCCAGAATCAGGAAAATCAGGCAAGAATATGAAATGACTCAAGGTATTTAACTTTCAAACGTACAAGTTTTATGCTTTGGGAGACTATGTATCTACAATCTGCCAGTATGGCACGTCTGATTTGTACAGTACCGAGCCGGTCAGTCCCATATGTTTGACTCCGGATTTGACTCACCAACTTTATCTAGGGTGAACTTGAACACCGTTCTCCCAAGACCAGATACTGTCGTACTGATCGCAACACATTCGTCAAACAACTCACTCAGATAGAACATCGCCAGACTCATATTCGTTGTATCAGGGACAGAATTGTTCCTCGCCCTCACCTCGAAATCGCAGAGATAGCGAGAAGACCACATGTTCATCACCACATCAGTCTCACACAAAAATTCCCTGTACATATAGGATCATACTTGTGTGACCATGCAGGTGATCCAGCAATCACCGTAAGTGCAATCATATATTTTTAAGCGATTTCTAATATCCCTGCAGAATTTTGTGCTGAAACTGAAGGATCATATATTGCACCGATTCAACCAATCCAGAGATCTTCCAGGTACTGGAGAAGAGACCAACATCAATTCCATTATTTTGAAGGATGATCGCATGTATCACCACAACACCGCTAGGTTCAATTATACCACGTACAATGTTCGCAGATCTCAAGATGTTGTTAACCCCAGAACTCCCCGTTGCAATATCATGGTTCTTCGTGCTGACCACAATGTTGGGCGCCAAGGTCACAGATATATCTATGGAAAGGTACTTTGTATATACCACATGAACGTGATCTTCATAGGAAACAGTATGGTCGACTACACTCCTCTCCGAACAGAGTTTTTATGGGTATGCTGGTACACTCCTATTGATGATCTCGCCACCTGGAAAACCTCGATGCTAGATTGTCTCTGCTTTCCACGCATGGCAGATGACTTCTCATTTGACTTTCTTGATCCAGCGGATGTACTTACGGGCTGTCATATTATACCATCATTCGCCAATGGTAAGAAACATCCCAATGGTTTGGAGGTTTCGGCATGTGCGGGCAACAAGGATGATTGGTGCCAATATTATGTTAATCGGTAAGTTAGGGGCACCACTTCACAAACACCGAGCTCATTATTTCAGGTTTGTCAACCGGGACATGCTCATGCACTTCCACTTTGGTCTTGGAGTGGGTCATGTATACTCTCACTATCGCCCCACACAGCCAGAGGGTGCAGCGCATGCATCTTTTACTCATGATGTTAAAGATTTTGAGCAAATAGATGAAATTGAGGATCAAGAGGACAGTGAAGATGATGAAGTAGATGATGGTACTGAGGGTGGATTGGATGTTGAGCAATGGTTCAGTTCCAGCAATGAATCGTTGTTAGATCAGTTCAACAAGATGTACGATAGAGAGGTAGCCTTTGATTACGAGAACTAGGTCACTTGAGCAAGGTCGACCAATAGCGCAAAGTCGACCAATAGTGCAAAACCAACCACTAGCGCAAAGTCGATCGATAGCACCCACTAGACCATTGGCATAACCTTGCGGCACAAGCAGAGCTTATCGCTGCCTTGCATGTTATACATAAGAATGTATGGCATTATAACAGCGGTCAATTGTTCTAGGCGAGACATGACATCTTACATGTAATAACCATTGCACTGCAGTGCATTTTCATTAAAATTTTACATTGTGCGTAATCGCATTTAAAGTGCCTGTTTTCTCTCTTGGAACCAATTCTGACGATGATATGGCAGCTCCAATTTTCCATTCGTATTTTTTCCCGGACGATCTGTCTAGCCTTCAGCCTGTTTCAGTGTGTTTTTTATGGCTTCTAATCTGAACGTTACTAACTCAGTTCTTTCAGGGCAATCTCACTGTCTTACAGAAGCCTTTCTGTTTTACAGGATATCTGGCAATTGGGCCTCAACCAGTCCTCTATGCGCTCTATGTAAGTATTATTTGCATTCCTTCAGAGTTTTTAGTGTCTCATCATGGGCTGCAGTGTTCACCTACGCGCCTTGAGGCTGTAGGTGGTTCATTTTGTGGGCGTCCTATACTGATTTTTTTATAGCTCAAGTCGCATGTCAAAGTCATAGCTTATGTGTTGCCGATCAATCCTCACAATTCCCTATGGGAACCGTGCATGGAGGTACCTATATTCGCCAAGGTATTCAGTTGCTCTGGACTGCACTCCACCCTCCCACTGATATGTCTTGTAGAATCTTTATTTGCCCAATGACCCGCCCATGAACCTGGACTTGAATGCCCTTTGGTCAGGGCCGAGCGACGATGGTACCCTTCTACACGTCTATACACAGGTAAGCTCACCTTGCGATCTTAAAGTTATCTCATTTAACAATGTTGAAGCCTTTGTTGGGCAATGAGCACAACACTGTTATCATTGAAGCTCTATTTCCATTTGGACACCAACCCCACAAGTTCGATAGTGATGCTCTCACACAAATGTTGAACCTGCTGGAGTTGTATCACACAGGTTCAGTTGTCCCAGATTCTTCTAGGGCCTCATCAATTGTTCCAGACTCTTCCGTGGCCTCATCAGTTGTGCCAAAGTCTTCCATGCTCTCACCTATCACATGCAGTCATGATGATACCCAACCAGAGGACACACACACCCATGCTGACACGAACAGCTTGCGTGATATCCAGCTCAGGTATCCCCAATGGAAAACTGTTCTGGTTCATGTGTGGATTCTCATGAGAGTCACTTTATCGTGCAGGGAGTATGGGAACCTGTTCCTACTTACCCAGACAACTAGTGCAAGTCAGAAAGCTCTTTTCATCACTGACCTTTTCAATTGAAGTCTGGCTGAAGTTGGAGAAACTCGCACAACCCTGTGCTCCGGTCAGTAACTCATTGATCTACTATGTTCCGTAGATACTGACTCTTCTCTAGTGAGGTCAGCTGATGATGAGTCCGAAGTGACAGAAGAAGCTATATTGGTGATGGTATATTTTCTCTGTCATCTCTATTTACTTGTCTGACCTTGAATAGGCCGGTAAATGGGTGTCAATATTGATTTCTGAGATCAAACAATTAGCAAAAATCGCAATCTCAGATCCTCGACTGTCCCTGGGCTTTGCCCTCGCAGAACTGTGCCCCTGGCCACTACTCATTGAGAGATGTGTGACCCTGCTGCAACACTTCCTGTATCCAGATTCGAGTCATTTGCCAATTGCGGTCAGTCTTTCGAGTTAGCTTTGGTTGTCAGGATCTTACTGCTTTACCATGCAGGATAATGGCTTTGTATGGTTTATCAGAAAGGAGATCTCGAAATCCCTCGTTTTTCATCTTGTATTCTGGCGTAGCGTATCAGCTCAAACATCAGTAATAATGGCTGATTTTGCGCCGGATATCTTCAGGAATGTTCCACACCCGCCCGCAGAGATGTTAGCATTTGTGGGGGCCTGTGTAAGTTCTACTCTATGAGCTTTCATTCATCTAAGCAATCCTGTTGTATTAGTGTTATAGTGCCATCATCCAATGGTTGATGGATATCTTGAAGAAGATGTTAGAAGAGGGGGAGTCCCCAGCTATCAACCTATCACTATATCCGCCAGTCAGCGAGATATATGATGAACTCCTTCGGGTGGTTGTTCTCCTATTGGCACAGAGAGACGACCCAGAACACCCGGCATTTGTGAGCCGCATAGCGAGCTTTCATAACATCATGTGAGTTTACATAAGTTCATCTCTATACTAATAGCTAATGGGGAATGCCTTGCACAGCGAGACCAACGTCTATTGGATTGCTCATAAATAACCCTTCCAAGGAAAATTGACTTCCATATTTTGTCCGCTGGTCTGTTTGCAAATGTACAGCGCTTTGTTGTGTTGTGAACTTCCTGCGATATCTTAAGAATAAGATCCCAAAGCCCAGCACCATCACACGACTAAGTCAGACCGAGGAACACAGTATGCACTATATGTATCAAAGTCTCTTGTGACATATTGAGTTGCTTACGAACGTTGCACAGGCTTTTTCTTACTTCTAAACAAGAAATTATGCTGTATGATGGCATTGTTCATCGGTGCACATGATTTTCATCTCTAAATAGTTTTTTTATAGACCGCTACAATCGCACAGCCACTGCTAAGCAAAGCCATTGATCAGCTTGCAGACCGCTATCCCATAGCCACTGCCAAACCTTCTTGTATGTAAGCCCTCAACAATTGTATGGACCTCTCTTTAACCCTTCCTTACCACTCCCCTTCAGCATGTTAAATAGTAGTTCATTGTGTCCTCCTACCTTCATCACTCCTTCGACAAAGCACATTCTTGAGATCGAACAGACCGAGAATGCCCTCAAGTCTTGGCTCCAGAAACAGGGATGCGAAATTGTGAGTGAATTTCCATGTTTCCGTGATGGTATCCTACGACATCAACTTCAGCTTCCAGATTCCCTCTTTGTCACGGTTTCCATGCTATTTGCATGGGTCGACCCCCTTGACCTCATAGCTGTCCTACAAGTGAGCCTCAGAGTGGTTGCAATGGAACAGCTCTTCCAGCAAGAAGAGCTCACTTGCATTTCATTCCTTCTGCAAGGAGGGCGATGCTACATGGAGGAGAGGATGTATCGTGCTCAGATGGAAGTCACTTTATTTAATAAAGCTATTGCGAACTTGTGCAAAGAGTTTAATGTGAAATGTCGCCCATGTAAGCCATACTGCATAAGAAATGACACTTGATTTTGAATTTCCTCCTAGCTCCAGCACCCCTGCCAAAGTACACTGACACTATAAGTGCATGCCAAACACCTCGCTCAGACGAATTTGAAGGCTTTTGGCTTCCAACTACTGCGCATCTCAAATGCCAGCAATAGCTTTCCACGTCATTGGAATTCCTAGTAGATTTCCCGCAAATTCAACAAATTCCTCAGCTTTACGAAAATCTCTTAAGGGTAAGCATTATTCATATTACCAGAGACTCTTTATTCTAATGGTATGTAGCCCAATGATCACTTCCTTTCACTTCCTTTCTCGATGAAGTCTTGGGTTGATAGCATCACATATTGTGCCTACATCAGCACATCATCTGCCGACTGTGCTGACTCCAAGCTCCTAGGCAATGGCATTAACGATAACTTTAAAGCAAAGAATGAGAAAACCCCAGATGTTCTGAAATCTGATTTCCACATTTTAGAGTTGAAGAAACATCGCGCACAAGCCAAAGTGGAGATGTTTTCTGAAGCGATATCACGCACTATGGGGATCCGGTTCACTGAGGATGGTGAGCTTGCAGCTTTCCTTGAAGTTTCATACTAAGACAAATGTAGGCACGTGCTCATCTCATGGCTCTGACAGGACATATGAATCATGTCTACCTGACAACTCTTTTGAGGATTGGTTTGATGGTTTTTCAACGGCATCTGGATCCTCCAATGCCTCTGCGCTCTATTGAAGCTCTCCTGTAGTTGCACATTGTCCACTTGAGGTGGATTGTTGTAATGGTATTTGTACATGAACTTGATCTATGCTATCTGTACCACCTCTGCTGCCATCTTTATCTACTCAATTACCGATTAGCATGTGCCTAGCGTCCGTGCTTCTGACAAGTTTTTGTATCATTCCGAAACATAATTTTATGATGGTCCTGGAGCAGGGTTCTCGCATGTCGAGGTGCAAATGTTGGGCCCATTGTATCTGTCTACGCCTATGTCTATATACTCTGCCTCTGAATAATGTCGCTCTATTTTGGATACCAAGCTGCCCTCCCCTCCCTATTTCAATACCAGAATCCATTCCCCGGTATAGAAAACAGCTCCTCGACATCATTTGTGCTCGTGCACAATATGAAGCTAAGTTTATCCCTACTCTCCGCCTTCAATCCTTCTCATGCAGTTACTCTGGTTGGGATTGTAATTTAGATACTCTCCGACCCCTTGTGGATTCCACCAAAAACAAGCCAATATATTGGTCTTGCCAATGGCCATCTCAATTTGGAGGTAAGCCCGGGATTGCACTTCTTCCGTGACTGTATATCTAATTGTACAGTATAGCGGCACTTGGTTGCGGACTCTCTCCCCGATGCGAAATGTGCCTTCCAAGGCTATTGGATAGGGATTCTGAAGATGGTACTAGTGTCGTTGTCACATCATATTTCTCAACTGTGAGTCCCTCATAGCTCTTTTTGTCAAAATCTTCTTTCTTATGAAATGAAAAGTGTGCTCGTTGCCCCAACAATAACTCCTGTTGCGCAGCAAATCAACTCGTGCCACCGCACGTGGTTGCGACACAATCAAACATACTGGTACAATCTTCAAGCATATAGGACAGTCTGCATTAGATCTTTATGTTCAAGCTGACCAAGGTTTCTTTCAGTGGGACTGCAACTTCTCAACTGGTTTGTCAAATAAGGTGAAGATCATGTTGATGCCTTGATCACACTGATGAATCCAATATCTGAAACTTATCCTGTGCAGATCAAGGGTCATTCCTTGGGAGACGTGTCTTAATATTGCCATCTACGGAGGGTTCTTCTGCGCCATCATTGAACCTACTTTCAGTCACTGCCTGTACACTCGCATGATTTCTTTGTTCGAATAACTAACTTATCATCACCTGCAGAGTATATGTGAACGACATTATCAATAGTCACTTGAAAGCACATTTCCTTCCCCAGCTTATTGAAGGTGATGCAATACATTGAAAGTTGTATCTACATGAAAACTATGAACAATATTTCAAGCCAGTATGTGTGTGGATGTGTCTTCGATGTAAGGTATATATCTTTGTTAACTTCCCAATACTTTGTCATATGCTTTCCTAGATTGTTACACGATATTTCCCGTGGGGAACCACTTTCTGTTGGATGTACCAGGTTCGTCACTCTTATAAGGTTTATTTCACATTGCTCGCACCACCATTGCCCTGTTTTCGCAAGTAACTGTTTTGATGGATGCGGTATTGCACAAACCCAGCCTTCTTGGCTGGATTTCCGGCCCGCTTCAAAATATGGATGACCCCAAGAGAGGTTTAACCTCAAGCCCAAACACGTTCGTCCTCTCACTCTTTGCAAACGAGCAAAGTTAATTTCCTCTTAGGGTATTCAACTCTTGGGGGAGATGTAACTCATTCCAAGCTTGTGGCCTCGCGATATCACAGAGTTCTCACTAACCTCTGATGGCCTCAGTAAAAGTATGATTGGCGAGCACCTTGCTGAAGGGTGAGTACTTTCAATACATCATCATCCATAACGATTCTCACTGTACTACAGAGATGAATACAATGTTGCTATCATGCATGCTTTTGTCGACTTTCTGGATTTCAGGAACTTCTTCCTGGATGCTGTGTATGTGTTTTTGCAGGCATTCCGCCTTCCTGGAGAAGCTCAGATGATTGACCACTTCATGCTCAAGTGCGCGGAATGATACATTGCCAGAAATGCTTGCAGGTTTGTGGACATCTGCCTAATTTGTTCAGATTACTTACCTGCCTTTGAATAGATGCTGCCTATATTCTCGCGTATTCTATCATCATGCTCAATACTGATGCTCACAGTCTCAAATTAAAAATCGCATGACTAAGGTTGAATTCATCAAGAATAACCGTGCTATCAACGATGGAGTCTTCCGGATAAATTCTCGCCACATCTAGGGCAATGGATTAGGATGAAAGACAAAGTTCATGTCACAATCAACTTGCCCTCGACAGATCCTGGTCTTGCTAATGTGTTGACGAATGCAGGGAGGGACCAAGCATGTGTGATGCAGTCTGATGACATGGCCAACAAGACTAAAGTAAGTTGCTAGTCTTCCAATTGAATGCTGATTAATATCTTGTAGTCACTATTCAGAACGCTCATGCATCCTCGAGGATCTCGTACTGGAGACCAATACTTGAGTGCTTCACACTTCATCCATAATGATTAGGCCGATGTTTGAGGTGGCACAGATACCCTTCTTGGCTGGATTGTTCAGCCCACTTCAAACTACGGATGGCCTTGAGATAGCTGATCTCTGCTTGTACGACTTTAAGAATGCCATCCACATAGTTTACTCCTTCAATTTGGACCTCGAATGCAATGCGCATGTTAGTACCCTTGCAAAGCTTGCATGCGACCCTACGACTTCTGTGTGAACTGCGGTCCTATTCAAGGTAATGTTCTTGCGTTCAGTGTGACATATGAGATAAACAATCCTTTTAGTGTCCCAGCGATGATCAGAAACATGCCTCTGTAACATGAATGTACAAGGCTTTGCACAAGAGGCCACCTGTTACAGGGATCTGTAACACCTACTAGAGCCCCAGCTCTCCCTACGCCTGCCCCCGCTCTGCTAGATTCCCCACGCGGCGGTGCGCCGCCTGTGCCTAGAAAGACAGCGGTCTGGACCGCTATGACCCCGCCTGGCGCTATGACCCCGCCCCTGGCCTAGATGGCCTTGTACCTGATCCATGGAGGCTGTACGCCTCATGGTCACCCTAGATCAGCGCATGCATACTGCATGTCGCTTCATGAAGATCCGGAGCGCGCTTGGCGCTTCCTGTACCTATGCGCAGCTGCCCTTGGCGCAGCATGCTTGATCAGAGGTTAAGCCTCATGTATCTTATCTGAACCTCATGTCTTACTATCATAGATTTACGATATACTATTGATTACAGACTGAGCTAGAATACTTGTAGTACTTCCCTATAAGTAGACACAGATTATTGTACTTAGACTTTACTTTAATCTACTAGGTTCATCCCCAGAACTTGCTCATCTAAGCTTACCAGCTTCCTTGTGTGAGACCGCACTTCTAAGTTGCCCCCATACGACTTAGCACGTATCCGCTAGCCCTGCATCTCGACGAGCGCCGTCTTACCGAGATCGCCGGAGGAATCCTTGACGTTCCGTCAAGGCTAGACCACGCTCAGCTTCAGTAGACTCACTCGAGTCGTCGCTGAGAAGACCTATCCTAGTTCGCACACGCCGACCTACAGTCAGCGTAACACCACCCATGCACCAAATAATGCGCTTCCACATGTAGCGATTGTCTTCACGGAAGCCAATGTTAAACTTCTGTGTGGACGCTTGAAGGCCTCTGTTCCATGGTGTGTCTTGACCACCTCCAACCGAAAACTTGACATGAATGCTTTATTTCTAGCTATGAGGTCAGCACATTTGAAATGTCTGCTGTAATTCACGGTTGACAAGGAACTGCTTCCTTGTGAGCAATGCTTTCATGCCAACAATCATGTACGTGTGATTATTGTAAACCACGACCTTTCGTTCGAAGAGGGATGGAGTCCTCAGGTGTGTGTACCATTTCCAAGTGAGGTCTTCTACTTACTAATGTGAGCTACCGTCGCGTCTCTTAAGAATCAACCAACTCTTTGTCCGCGCCTGTTGATATTCGACCAGAAGTGCCTTCATTGGCGCATTGATATCCTATCATCTGAGCTGCATCGGAGCAGCAAACTTCGGGACACTCACAAAAATGAGCCAAGTTGATACAACTACTGATCTTTCATTTGATACGACCTGGTGAGTGTGATTATAACTATACGAACTGATACTTTGCAGGCAAGGAAGGTAGTTTGCGAGACACAAGATCCGATTCCTCAAAGCGAATATCATGCTCATCTTGAAGGTGAAATAGAAGAAAGTGATTTCAAACGCACAGGCCCAAATATCAGATACTGGTCAGATTATAGTCACGTTTTCCGAGTCTTCGATCAGAAATCCATACAGGTCATCCCTGATGCACTGGAAAGTATCAAGGCTGGGTGGAGTGTCGGTCAAGATCTCTTCCAGCGATAAAACGAGGTACTTTCTTTTTCTCCCTGTTTTGTGGTATTTATAACACCTTTCTAGGATACAGAGCTCATGGAAGGGGCATTTCGTCTGCTCGTCGAGAACTGCGATAACTTCCAGGTAGGCTCTTTTTCATGCCATTTCCAGCCCTCCGCTAAGTCAACCCCCCATTGCAGGGCTTGCAAATGGTGCACGATACACCCTCTTTCGGGTGGGGCGGGGGGGGTTCTCATGCTTTCCTGACTTCCTTCCGTGACGAGTTTCTCAAAGCTTTTATGCTAAACTTTAGTTTCTCTTCGGGCACAGACCCGAATCATGGTGGCATCAATAATGTGAGTGAATGCGCTTCCACGTAGATGGCACACAAATGTTTGAAAGTAGTTTCTCGACACAGATAATTATAAACGATGCATTATGCTTGCAAAGCCTCCATCAGCTTTCGGATATCACTTTCCCAATACTACATCTGTCTCGATGGTCTACTTTGGAAAGTAGTAATCTATTGCAGGGACTTGCATATATGTTTGTCCCCTGCAAAACTCTACATATACTTTCCTGACGGAACATTGCAGAAAAACAGTTTGTATCATACGTCTGGAGTCATCTCGTCGCTGGTAGAGACTGCAATGGTGCCACTGAGGCATGCTATTCTCATTGACAGGCCATGAACATATCATCAACTAATTCCCCACAGACATAGAGGCAGTCAGGAGAACATTGTAATGATCGCTGACCACTTGAACTGGCAAAGAGGTTCTTGATTGGGACAGCTGGGTGGCATGGTCTGCCTACCTTTTTCTGCGACAGAAAGAATGTTCACTGATCTGTCTGGCAACTTCTTGACTAGTTTGTCAAACAAGGTAAGAATCATGTTGACGCCTTGATTGCATGAACCATGATGAATCAATAAGTAATTATAGGACAAGCATGTAGTTTTTGCGAGGCGAAACGTAACTCAAGGGTTGCAGGATCAAGACCTGGCAGCAGTCGATGCATGGTGTAACTTGTCATCGCTACAGGAACCCCTGGATTCCAGGTATGGCTCAATCGTATGGCATGCATGCGAACTCATTCATGTCATGGGGTCAGCATTCATGTACCTGCTTATCCCATGCCAACATTTTTTCTGTCCATATTCCAGTGCACTAGACTAACATCGATTAGGATGGCTTCATCGCTTGTTCCAGCACCTTCTACATCAATCCCGCTTATGGGGTATGCTAGGTTTGTGGAACAGACTGCAATGAGGAGAAGGAGTGATGGTGTGCTTAGGAGCATGGGCTTGGAGAGCGACAACATGAAAGAGCTTGCTAGTGCATTGATGGAGTCGTCAATGGGCACAGGAATGACAGGTGGATGAAGGGAATGACTGAGAACATTGATCCTATTCAGAGACAGTACCAGTCCGCGGTAATCTGAGTAGCTTCGTCATCCTGCAGTGTTTTGAAAGGCTAACAATCATAAAAATGCAAAGGAAAATCTATGTTGGGCATCAAAAGATGTCGAGCATGGGATACCTAGGCATACAGGTCCTAACAAAAGTTGTCAGAGTCGAGGACTCGGTGCGCAAGTACTCACATTACAACAGATGTATACTTTTCAAAACTACAATAGAGCTGAAGGATCACTTATTAGATATCTACATACTCGCAAGATCCTCGACTCACGTCGTCTTTGGGGCATCATGGAAGATAGTATAAAATTAATGATTCTCGTTGACAGTTAGCATTTATTCTAGCAGGACCTGCTTCAATGTAGAACCAATACGATGTTGACCAATTTAGGAACTTCCAAGCACCATGCAACTATATCCAGTGGATCCTGGTTTCTGGTTTCTCCCACCTCATCATACTGATGCAACATCTTCTCTCCATCACTCAATTGCCTCCCTCGGGTTCATTCAGATTGGTTCTACTATGCTTTCCTCGGCGGGCGATCTCACCTGCTGCTTCCTCACTTATGAAAAATATCTTTATGACTACTTACCGGAGTTCTCGAAATGCTGCATACCCCAAGACACAACCATCACCTTCAAGTATATCTAAATATCACAAGATGTCCCCTCTCTGTTCCTCTCCTGTAACTCACCGCACTCCTGATTCTACGAAGGCAGTGCTATTCCAGCAGCGACAACAAGGATGTACTTACCACGATTCAGATGTGTCTCCCAGCGGTACGTTTACATGCTTCCTTGATTGGGCTCGCATCTCATAGTTTTATGCTGTAGAAAAGCTTCTCTTCCTCACACAGGACCATGCGACAGTGTCATCCGTCCCGGCCATCAGTTTCCTTGTTTCCTTGCTAGCAAAGTCTACCTCAATAGGTGCATGGGATTTCGGCGCGTCTCTAAGTGTAGTAGACAGAATGAAGCGAACGGCCTGGTACTCGCAGGTTGAGTCAAATATTAGGGACTTCCAGGTAAGTACATAGTATATGCAGGCAGTTCAACGGTTGACAATCCAATAGACATATTTGTTCTATTCTTTGGATGACAACAACTTCTGGAAACTCAAAATTCCCATCATGCTTCCAATTCTGCAGCACTACTATGTCCCTGCACGTATATGCGAGATACATCGACCATGCTCCTTCGGGAAACAACCAAAGAAAGATGACCCTAAAAACGAGTACTATGTGCTTACTTTTGAACAGGACAATGGAAAATTCTCTTCGTCTGCTTAAACGGACCTGGTGTTTACTACTGTCTTACAGGTATTTTCGCAAGCGAGAGTATCTCTTGCCACTCTTTATGCGAAGTTACTGGATGTGCAGGAGTTTTTCTTTGGTGAGCAGTAAGCAAGACCAGCATGAGCATTTTGCCTTTTGCATTATCTGAGCTCGTTATTAGGTCCATGACTCTCAATGTTCACATAGCTTCGCACGTTCTCCTGTTGCTTAATTCGCTTTTCCCAGATCAATTCATGCGAAGTATTCTCAGGCCAATATGATCCCTGAGCAACCCTCCCAAAACAATAAAGAGTCAAATGGATGAAGCTGACCTTCGGTTTCGGCAATGTATATGGTTCAAGTTTGTGCTTGCTTTTGGTGGCATGGCATGCTGCATTGAACTCTGTATCAAGGGACCGGGCGACCATCGTGTCTTGACATATCTCCAAATGATTCGCATTAAGGACTTTATGCAGGAACATCTCATTTATTGTCACTTGCGTCTCGATGGCTCATCCAAGCTATAATATCGACGGGATATGGTGATGGATTGGCAGACATGGTCAGTATTTAACTTAGATTGTATATTCTTGACTCTGATCAATATTCTATAGCCCGGCCATCTTCATATCTATTTTAAGTATGTGCACAGGTGGTGTACTCAGAATCAACCGGACCACAGGAGGAACTGTTGTTTTCTACTATCACAATTGGAACCCGTCAAACAATGCGCAGGCCACGTACTATCAGAGTCGCGCTTGTCATCTTGGTCAGATGAGCCAAGTGACTGTATATCGGTGTTTGATCATAAAGGGCACCATCGACAAGCATATAATTCAGTTGGCTCGTGTCAAGAAAGATGTAGGCTTTCTTTATTCCTAGAGTGCAGGATGTTTGACTGATGTTCTTTCAGGTGATAGTTCGAACACTTCCGGCTCCTCTTCGTAGCAAACAGGAAAGCATGCTGTAGGAGTTTCAGGGGGCCCCTGTGATGATTGTAGAAAGAAGGATGCTGGAGCAGGGGATGTAGTAACCCCTGCTGTACCAGACGCTGAGTGATTTCAGTCTTCGTTGCTTTTACCTTTTCTTTGCTTTGAGTCACGCACATTACCAACTTCTTTAGATTAATCCAAGCTCGTATGTCCATGTAGGTCTGGCATTTGGTAGTTGTTACCTATTGCATAGTACTAGTATCCATTATGGAACCATGATCAGCGTGAGAAATGTTAGATATGTAACAGAGGTTTGCCACAGGCGCAAGTTAGTCAATCAATTACAATGCATATAGAGTTCAATCGTCAGTCCACCTTTAAGAGTAAATATAGCTCAGCTGTATATGTATATATTTGTTCGCATACTTAGTATAAAATGCACGTCAAAATGATATTCTTTCATACACATGTTGCACAAAGATAATATCGTGGGATTCTAATCTAGATGTGTCATAAAGAGTTTCATTTGTCAGCTCTACCTGGTCATATCTATGTGTGACACTAAGACAATAATATCCAAGGCTGGTATCACACTGCTTTCTGCTTGCAAGACAAGCGTCAAGGTGATGTTTTTCTGACAGAGTCATATCATATGTTAGATATGTGCGACACTAAGACAATGATATCCAATGCTGGTATCACACTGATTTCTGCTTGCAAAACACGCGTAAAGGCGATGTTTTTCTGACAGAGTCATATCATATGTCAGATATGTGCGACATTAAGACAATGATATCCAATGCTGGTATCACACTGATTTCTGCTCACAAAACACGCGTAAAGATGATGTTTTTCTGACAGAGTCATATCATATGTCAGATATGTGCGACACTAAGACAATGATATCCAATGCTGGTATCACACTGATTTCTGCTTGCAAAACACGCGTAAAGACGATGTTTTTCTGACAGAGTCATATCATATGTCAGATATGTGCGACACTAAGACAATGATATCCAATGCTGGTATCACACTGATTTCTGCTTGCAAAACATGCGTAAAGGCGATGTTTTTCTGACAGAGTTATATCATATGTTAGATATGTGCGACACTAAGTCAATGATATCCAATGCTGGTATTACACTGCTTTCTGCTTGCAAGACAAGCGTCAAGGTGATGTTTTTCTGGCATGGTCATATCATATGTTAGATATGTGCGACACTAAGACAATGATATCCAATGCTGGTATCACACTGATTTCTGCTTGCAAAACACGCGTAAAGGCGATGTTTTTCTGACAGAGTCATATCATATGTCAGATATGTGCGACACTAAGACAATGATATCCAATGCTGGTATCACACTGCTTTCTGCTTGCAAAACACACATCAAGGTGATGTTTTTCTGGCATGGTCATATCATATGTTAGATATGTGTGACACTAAGACAATGATATCTAAGGCTAAAACATGATGTATAATAATGTTGTTTGATTACCAATTATATCTAGTCATATCAATTTAGGGTCGATTCCCTGATGGACTTGCTTCATGAAGCACTACAAAATGCTGAATCTATAGTGTGTTTTCTGCCTCTCTTTGCTGGACTTTTCATTGATACTATCTTCAAGTATAAGGAACACTATCTCGAGATGTATGGAGACAGCACCAACAGGACACTGACATCTGCAGACCTCCAAACAGCTAGCACTGGCAACCACAAACTGGACGCTTTGTTGGATGAGCTTTCCGATGGCGAGGAAGAAGAAACATTTCAGCATGCTCCCTCAGCACTGTCCCACATGTCTTCCATGTCCATTTTGGATTCTGTGGATCCCTCAAAGCCCTGGCTACGTGATTTTCATGCCTACCTTAACTCAAAGGATCATTTGGGCGAGATGACTATTGTCCAGTGGTGGGGTATCAATTTGCTGCGGTATCCTGTTTGGGCATCACTTGCATGCAATTTCCTTTCAATAATGGCATCATCAGTGTCAAGCGAGAGGCCTTTCTCATCTGCAGGGATCACAATTAACAAGTGCAGGAACCGTCTGAAGGCTGACATCATGGAGGCTCTTCAATGCCTCAAATGCATGCTCAAGCAGGGTCTGCTCTTTCATGAGGATCCTTCCATCATGACGGAGGTTGACGAGAACTTAGACAAGCATGAGAAGGGTGATGGTGACTCAGGGGATTCATGGGACACATTGGTAGAGGGTGATGACGAGTGCATGTTGGATTCTGAGGATGGTTATGTATTTGTTCAAATGCTAGATACATTGTAGTACATTTTTGTTATACCAAGCCCTGGCCTGAGCCTGAGCCAGGCCTGACCAAGCCTGAGCCGTGCTTGACAGCTCAGCCTGCGATTCCACTGAGCCCTAGCCCTATGAAGCCAAGCCATGGCCCCAGCTTTTGAGCCAAGCTGGGCCGTGCACAACACTAGACACCGCCTGCTCTGCATCCAGGTATGAAATACATATTGAATGATGGTCGTAAGGAGAGAGATGCAGGACGCACCATATTGATATTACTGTGTATGACTTTTGTCATGTGTTCCCAAAAATCACATCCAAGATGTCTCGTTTAGCGGGTAATATCTTTGGATGAGCATGTTTCATTTAAATGACTATCTATAGCTGTTCTACACTAGTAAAAATACCCCCTTTTCAGTACTCGACAAACGATTTCATCATGATTTGAGGCCGCTGGCGGGAAACTCAAAACACATGTTGTGAAAGTTCAGGTGGCTGTACTTTAAGGTTTTGATGCTTATCTAACGATGAGGCTCCCCTGTGTTCGGGATTCTCCTTTTGCACACCTCTTGTCAAAAATGGTCAGTTAGGCAGGGTCCATATCAAGAGGTGAGCAAAAGGCAAATCCCGGATATAGGGCTCGACATTACTAAGCTTGTAAACCTTAATATACAGCCACCCAAAGTTTCAAACCATACATTCTGAGTTTCTCCATAGCGGCCCAAGTTCTTCGTCAAATCGTTAGTTGAGTACAGAAAGTGTGGTATAATCAGTACTATAGAATACATCTAGATACTTGTTTTAATAAGAAGTGTGCATTGAGGCACACTGATAAAGGAACGATAATTTCTAGATGTAATTTTGAGAACATGTGACATGTCTCGTCGACGCGTTCTTAATGTCTGATATCTCTTCATCATTCTAGCATCATCAGCTTTCACCGAACCATTAGACTTATATTAGACCATCACATTATGTATTCTACAGCACAGAACTACAGTAACAACTCAGCTCATATTAATATTGGAACGCATATATTTGGATCAAATCACACAACAGATGACGGATCAGATTGTGTTGACACAGACCAGTCGTCTGGATATTCTTCTAGTCCTTTGCATAAGGGGAAGGAGAATGTGCCAGCTGCAGGTTCTTGCTCCCTCAAACGCTCAGCAACAGCATCTGTGGGACCCACGATATCCAAGCGTGTTCGCACCACTATCAAACCTCTTCAGACTGCGCATACTTTACTTGTGTAATCGTTCTGTCAATTTTTTTGCCTTTGCTATCATGTTTTGATCTGCTGAGTTGCTTTTGATCCGTTGATATCCTTCGTAGTGCCTTCATTATATGCTTTCAATGGTTTGAATTCACATAATCATAGTCTACAAATTGTACTCGCAACTACAATATCACATTTTGTTGTACTCTCACTTCAATCACTCGCATTTAACAATGTTCTTCGTATTATTTTAGCCTTTGAAAGTCGGATGTAACGGTGGTGGTGGTGGCATGCGAAGTTTGTCCAGGTTGATATCAGATATTTGAATTTCCCCTACCTCTTGGTCCATATGCATGGTGGGAACGTCCTCCGGCAAAGTCCGATGGCACCCAATTGCAAATGACTTTCAAATTCTTCACCTCTTCTTTACTTCTGAGCTGCCAGTTGTTCAATGACGAATCACAGTCCGGTTGATATCTACCACAGTCCAGCGTTGAGATTGCTGTCTCCGTCTGGCACCACGGGCTCTCCTGCCGACATTTTGTGAGAATGAACCGTGCTAATAATGAGATCGGGGTAAGCATGTAGAAAGTCACCTGTTGTAAGCCGTCAGTACTTATGTGCCTTCTCTCCTGCTGATCCAGTTGATACCTTTCTCATCTTCTAACTACGCCAATGTAGCTTGCGTGTACATTGAAGACTTCTCGTCTGCCTCGTATCTTTGATTCGCCGAGAGCCTCGGGACTTTGATGTTGGTCGCCCTTAGTAACATCTTTAAGTTTCACGCTTTCATCAGATAGGCTCTAGCGCTATATTCAAGCAATTCTCCGGTCTATTTTTTATGCAAGGAACGTGTCACGACCCATAATACTCGACTGAAACTGGGAGCTTCTTATATATAGAACATACTTGGATTCTTCAGGACGTCATCACCGCTCTGGAGTCTGCATCACAGAATCCGACTCAACCGTACAGTTCGATAGTTGACTTTATCTCCATTATGAACGGCAGAACCATTTTGATCTCCGCAGCTGCATCCTGATCCCCGCTTGATGGTCAGGAGTCCCGAGGTCACATCAGTACTAGATGTGGAGATAGGCTGCCGTTTGTCAGGTTAAAAGGCAAGCCACCCGAGTATATAAATCTCGTTCTTCAACAACAAGAATAGATACCCACGCAGTACTATGTCTCTTCCTCCAACTAATCAGGAGAAATATTGGCCATCTATCGCAGAAAAGACTGATGCTGACCAAGAACAGATAAACCAACAATTCGACTTGGACCCAGCGGATATCGCTATCCATGCGCCATCGTTGCGTGGTCGGAAGCTAACGGCTGCAGTGACGTTTGTAGCAGGATCTGGATTCATACTCTTTGGGTACGTGAAGAAGTAACTCACAATTGAAATCTTCTCATTTTGCGAGACAGGTATGACCAAGGTGTCATGTCATCACTAATTACGGGCAATCAGGTAACGACGTATTCTACTGCTTGCATGGAAATATATATATCTCATTTTAAAAGTTCGAGGCTACCTTTCCCGAAGTCGTAGTGGAGGCTAGCCACCCCAATCATGCAACTCTTCAGAGTTTCACAATTGCCATTTATGTATGTTTTCACCGTCTGTACGCCATCTTCTGTGCTTATACAATGCAGGAAGTAGGCTGCCTCTTCGGTGCTCTTTCCAATCTTTGGGTTGGAGATAAGCTCGGTCGCCGTAGAACAATCGCTTTAGGAGGCAGTATAATGATGATCGGTAGGCGAATCATATCGCGTTGAGAGCACCAGCTGAATTCCTCAGGGGCAATTCTGCAAACGACTGCATTTTCTTTTGCACACTTGATTTTTGCTCGTATCTTTACGGGCTGCGGAACTGGTCTGATAGTCAGTGGTGCCTATTATTGGCTCCAAAGTCCTGCTGAAACAACTTTGTAGACATCGACAGTGCCAACATATCATGCGGAGCTCTCCCCTTCCGCAAAGAGGGGTCGAATGTATGCCACTCATATGCAATACGCTAAATGACTCACAGAACTTTTCTAGGATTATGATGGAGGGGACTCTGATTGTGGCTGGAGTGACCATCGCGTGAGTGCGTCATTGGATTTATTTATTTTGTTAAATTGATTGCTGTCTTACAGCTATGTACGCAAGCCGTTATTTCCATTCGTTCATTTTTCTGACGTGGTTCTTTAGTGGATTGATTTAGCACTGTACGTTTCGGTATCATACCCAGGTTAGGCTTGACTGACCGATAAAAACGATCAAATCAGATTCTTCGTGAATTGGTCGTCTGCTCAATGGAGAGTTCCGATATCACTGCAGTTCGTGTTTGAAATTATTGTGGTGGCATGCATCGGATTTGTGGGTTCTCTCCCCCTAAAAATGTGCATACTTGTACTAACGGATTCGATCTGGCACGCTACGTAAGCTTCCTGAGTCACCGAGATGGTGAGTTCTTGTCATTCTCTGTGGTTTTTGCGAAGCTGATCAGAATCTCAGGTTGGTAAAGCATGGTCGAAATGCAGAAGCGATGGCTGTTATATCCGCAATGGAAGACAAACCTGCATCTGATCCAGAAGTTCAGCGCACCTACTATGGCATTCGTGAGGCTGTTGCTGTTGAAACATCTACTACTGGTCAAGGTTCACTACGTGAACTCATAACCGGTGGTCGCAGCCAGAACTTCAGACGAACAGTCATTGCTGTGGTATGTCAGATGATGCATCAGCTGACCGGCATCAACCTCGTTACCTAGTGGGTATTTCAGCCTCATGTTGTGACTCGTCGTGATCTAAAAATGCGCTTTCAACAGTTACGCTGTATGTTATACCACCACGTGCTCCACTGTGGCAATACTGATATCACGCAGACCATCTTATTCCAACGTCTTGGTCTCTCCGATGTCAACGCGCGGATTACCACTGCTGCCAATGGCACAGAATATTTTCTTGCTTCTTTTATTGCATATTATGCGATAGACTATGTTGGCAGGCGTCAACTCATGCTGATCGGAACCATCGGTCAATCCATTGTGATGCTGCTCTTGGCTATCTTAGGATATATCAACAATGGACCAGCGCAGATCGTGAGCGTAGTCCTGTTATTCGGCTTTAACACATTTTTTGCTATTGGGTGGCTCGGAATGGCCTGGTTGTACGTGAGTACAGCAACGGCAATTTTAATCTTTCTTGATCTGATATTTTCTTTGTTGATTTCTAGTGTGCTGAGCTTGCCGGGCTCAGAACCCGTGCACAGGCAAATGCACTAAGCACGGGTTTGTCACTCTCGTACGCCAAGACATGGAGATAAATTTAACTTACCTATTCTTTTCCCAGCGTCAAACTGGACTTTCAACTTCGTCGTGGCGATGGTCATTGGCCCATCCTTTAACAACATCTCCTGGAGAACCTACATCGTTTTCGCAGCCTTGAATGCAGCTATTGTTCCAGTTGTTTACTTTTTCTTCCCCGAAACCGGCGGTCGGTCTTTAGAAGGTGAGCTTTGCGCGTCTTCTGTCCAGTTCCTTGGCTAATTGTATTATGAAAGACCTCGACGTTGTGTTTGCGCTGGCGCACACTACTGGGGAAGATCCTGTCAAGGTTTCGCTTCGGAAAGACATCCCGCTCGCTGGGTCCCGAGAAGCAGACGAGATTCTTGGTGTTAGCACAGGCGTTCAATATCATCAAGCGACGAAACCTTCGACATCATTCTCGTTATCGAGTGAGACAAGGACACCGGTCTAGGGTCGATAGTCACTATTCAAGGTTAGTTTCGGTTGAACTAGGCGACAGTCGGGTGTGACTTCTGGAAAAAGTGTATTCATAAAGTATGTGACCTGAGCCAAGATAGCCAGTCAACTCAGTCGAGTATGAGTTGTTTCTTGTGTATGTATTTCGGCCATTCCAATTAATGGACACGTGACCCAACATCATCTTTGGTCACAAGGATTAAAAGCCTCGCATATCCTGCATGCACTTGAATACAAAGTATCTTTGTCCACCAGAATCGAAACAACAATGTCACTTTTGGTACTCCCTGGCAGGGCTGCGTCCCCAAATATTTTACTGTCTCAACTACAATACAACTCGGCTCAAGTTGCCTGTTCGAGCGTACTGGGTGGTTAGCATTCAAATATTCATGCTTTGTCTTGGGTTAAATCATCAACTCACATTATTTCAGATCTGATCGAAAGTTCAATGCCAAAGAAACCATCAAGTTATATATAAGTTGCTTGTATGAGTACTAGGTCATTGAGTTGCAGACAGATTGTGGAGAACCAAGGGCGCCAACTGAGTAAACACGACAGAAAACTGGAAGAAGGGATGAGATCGACTCCAATGTAGCGGGCGGTGTCACGGGAGTTGGCCTTTGAACAAGCATGCTGAATTCAGTCCTCCCCACGCGCGCAACTGCGTCGTCCTCAGGCTTGCAATTAAGACGAGCCAGCACTCCATGAAAAGCCAGTCATTATAAGTCCACGATAGTTAAATCACATAAAGTTCTGAGCCTTCTTGCCTTTGACTGTAGTTGTCTTACCCTTCCGACTCTGAGTTTTGGGCTTACTAGCCTGGAACAACTTATCAGCAGCGACCTCATCCTCATCCTTAACTTTCTTCTTTTCATCATCAGACACATCGACGACTTCATCGTCCAACTGGAAGAGATGTTAGTGCACAGTAACGGTCATGCTTAGGGTACCCACATCGAAAACGTCTTCTAAATCAGGCGCGGGACCTCCTGAGAGTTTTTTAGGTACTTTCCCGAGGTCTGTTGCTTTGTGGAAGGGTATTGGATGATCCGTGCTGTTGTACCTGGACTAGCCATTAGCGACAATCAGACGCAGTTAATTGGTAAACCTTACTTCTTCGTAAACGATGTCTTTGTCGCAGGTTTGATGAGCTTGTTAACGATGTCGTCTTTCTGCATGTCCACACCTAGCTCAACGACAGTGTCCCAATCTTCACGGGAAAGATAATATTCATCCATCCGTTCAATGACGTCGTCGACAGCGGCCTATGAAGGATATGATAAGTAGCGAGGAGGAAGAGCAAGCGACAGGACTCACAGCGCCTTGATCTATCAATGGCTTGACGATGTGAGGGAACAGTGCAGGGATGTACGACTGTCGGATCTCGTGCTTGTCCCCAGAGACTTTAAGCCGCATTCGGACCTGCACGTCTCCCAGTTGTCGACTAAGCTTATTCTGTTTCGAATTCTGTCCTAGCCACCTGTGCGAGTATCATATGAATGACATGTGTAGTGATCCGGGGGAAACATACTGAGGGAACGTCATTGGGTTTTGGCCGCCGTATCCGCTGCCTGCACCAAACAGGAATGAAGCAGGTCGCACCATCGAGCACACCGCATGTAATGGCATCAACGACCAGTGTTGTTCTGGCCTGAAGGACATTATAAGATTCGATAGAAAGAGCTATACGGTCTGCTCACCCATGAATCAGAGCATCGACGAGATCGGCATCAGATATAGAAGATGCAGCTTGATCCATCAATTCGAGTTGCTTCAACATCTTCGGAGGCCCTTCGAGGTTCCGAACCTTGACAGGTTGAGTCTTTAAATAATTTTCCTGACGAGGGGGTGAGCACTTCTATGCATTCGGAAACAGTGCGTTTTACCTGGATGAAAAGCGGGACGAAAGAATGATCGTGGAAGTACAATTCCATCTTGTCGCCCAATGTCTCTCGAACGTTCGGCCCAAATGCGTACGGACCAAGAATTTTGTACGTCACGTCAAACGGCGTCAAGATTGTGTACTTTTCGTTGATCTTGGCACTGTGTCATAGTATAATTAGTGGATAGAAAACGACGAAGAGCGCACATACAGATTCTTCGCCTCGTCAAAGTCCATGCTACTACTAGATAATCGCCACGTCGACAACATATTCAAAACTTGTCGAATATCTGACTGAGAACCGCTGATAAGCTGATCGATGACGTTGGCGGGAATTTTCATCTTCTCCCTAGTCAAACGACATCACCATGACGTCAATGTGATTGAAGGACAACTTACTTGTACGCGATCGTCATTATGCGTGATCGGACAGCTTGAGCCTCGGGCCTGTTATTGTAGTGAGCTCCTGTTACGGCCGAGGTCGAGTTCAACATACCGTCTAAATGGCATGCCAAAAGTATTCGCGATGAGTGGCTTTAGCTTCTGGGCACCTCTATCGTTAGCGATACAGATAATAGGGATCTGAATAACGAGGTAAGATGTTTACTCGAGTGGACGGATCAAAACATACTTTTGTCTTCTTGATCAAGGCATTGAGAGCGCCAACGCCACCCCTGTCACCAGCGGACATGCCGTCGACTTCGTCCATGATGAGACACGTCTTATCGGTGATTCTGACTCCTGCCGCGTTTGTCGCCTAGTGACATATTAGATTGACGTGACGAAGAGCATGGAAACAACAAACATCGTGTCCACCCATCCATCCATCTAACGACAGGTTGCTGATGTTCATACCGCTCTGCACATTTGTGAGCACAGTGAAAGGGTAAGCTGCACTCCCGATTCACCTCGACTAACTTTTTACTGCGCGCATCACTTGCATTAAGCTCGATGGGCGTGAAGCCTTCGAGCTTGGCGCAAAGATGTGCACTAGTAGTCTTACCTATACCAGGCGGGCCAGTGATCATTACTGCGCGGTAGACATTCATAGCGTTTTTCCCCGGCTTTTTGAAACCACACTTCAAACTATCTGACCTGCGAGAAGATTTACGTTTGCTTTGAGAGGCGTTAACCTGTAGACCTACCAGTCGTGAAGCCATTGCTGTAGTTTATCCACCTGTCCTTTGTTGCCGCAGATCTCCTTTAATGATTGAGGAGCATATCTTGTTGTCCACAGCTGGTTTGAGACGTCGGTTTTAGAGCTGTGGTAAGAATTAGCGGATGTGCTAGGTGAAAAAGGAGTGCATACTGACCTGCCAGATTCACCGGCATCCTTTGACGCTTGTTTCTCCCTCCGCTCGAGCTCCTTCGCAGCCTGCTTGATCGTTTCCTGTTCTTTTGCCATCTTCTTCTTGGTCTTGTCATCTAACTCGCCACCACCTGATCCGCCCGGTCCTTGGCGGGTGGCGATTAGATCAAGGAACTCGTCCTCGGAAAGCGTCTTGAGTTGGTGCTTTTTGATTGCATTGAGCTTCGAAGGACCGGCGTTGTCACCCAGGACGACAAACGATGTCTTTGACGAAGGTTGCCCTACGACACGCCTATGAAATTATAAAGCTTTGCAGATACTGTAGATGTAAATATAACTCACCCCCCAAACCGCTTCGCTAGGTCTATTGCCTCGTCTCTAGAGAAGCTGCTGAGTTCGCCGGTAAAGACAAAGGCTAGCCCCTCGAGACAGTTGGATGACTTGGGCTCAGGGACCTGTTTCGAACCAGGGGCGGACGGCCCGGCTAATTTTGCGGCCCTTGCAGCAGCCCAACTAAGTTCACGCAGTTCAGATACAGAAACACGAGCACAGAAAGTCAGCGTACTTGGAGGGTTTGGCGGGTGGTTCCGCGTTCTCTTCTTTATCCTTTCCTTTGGCTGCTGCCTTCGTTGCAGGAACTTTCTGCGGGGGAGGTTTCTTGGGGGGCGGTTTTGCCTTTGGGGGTGGCTTTGCCTTTGGGGGCGGCTTAGCATTACCCTTCTTCTCATGTTTGACGTCTTCCTCGTCCTCATAGTTGTCCTCACTCTCCTCTGTTCCTTCTTCCTCGGAAGAATCTACCACAAACTCGACATCCTTTGATTTCTTCGATTTGACAGGTGCCTTTCCGTTCGTCTTGGTCTTGCTTGTCGATGTAGTTGCTTTCGAGGTTGATGTTGACGCGACTACCTTCGATGCGGTAGCTTTTGAGATAGATGCTGACGCAACTGCTTTCGGTGCAGCCACTTTCGAGGTCGAGGTCGAGGCAACTACCTTCGGTGCAGACTTCGCAGCGACGGCCACTTTCTTCTTTGGCACAACGGGTTCATCCTCCTCATCGCTCGAGATAACGACAGTATTTTTTCGCTTGAGACTCTTTTTCTGTGGAGTGCCGTCACTGTCAGGCATCATTGTGCGGTCGGATTTGGTAGTTGTCTTGTGCTAGGAGTCCGCAGAAGTCATGGATGGATGGATGAAGACACTCACGGATTTATCTCCTCCGGCACCACCGAAGAAAGAGCGAAGATCTTTACCTGTCGGTGCAGCAGATTTTGGAGACTTCACGGGTGCCATAGTCGTCCGTGCTATAACAGTGGTGCGCGTGGTTTGGTCGTGTAACAGACTAACAGTGTTCGCACCCGGAGCGCGTCGCGTCACATTCTGTCACACGTAATGACACGTTTTGTCACGCGTCGGTGTGTCACTTTCAGCGCGTCCGAGTCCCTCGATTGATGATTAAGCTTAAGGCTGGACAAAAGCTTTTGATCAGTCGTTAAAACGGTAACCTTTCAAAGGCACGTGCAGTACTACTGCTACTACCAGGAAATGATGAGAATATTAATGGCACAGAATCTCTGTCCTAAGTTTAACTCACGAATTAAATGGGATCGATCTCAGTCAGAAACTTTCATCTGTCTATCGACGGCGGCCAATACATTGCTCAGTGTACATATTGCACATCTCTGCCTGTCCATATGGCTGAACCGACCCATGGCGGAGGGCCGACCTTTCAACTTTGTCAGTAAATAGTACAAATGTACAGGAGGAAATATCGAGAATGAAACCTGCTGAAGGATCTATCTCTATCAAAACAAATGAGTACGTACTACGACTACAATATCTCTGGTATCCTAATGGAGTCCATCATACTGTCAACACAATTCACGTCTTTGACTTGTGCAACGATATCATGATCTGATGCGATTCTCTTGTATTCTTTGCCGCGCTGGCGCGCTAGTAGGAATGCGCTGAACGGTTGTCCAAGGCGAACAATCAATCGCATTGCACGCTGGATTGATTCTGAATCAACCGGGTCCTGTTCTCTAGGCGACCCAGGAAGTGCAAAATCACCCATGCTCTCCGTATCGTCTGCACAATCAGGCGCTGGCAGCTCAAGGAGACAACGATCCCAGGGACGGACGAGTAAGAATGACTGTCGAGCGGGTCTTCCTCGCGAGAACTGAGGCAACCTGTCCTCCGTGGTGATCTGCAGGTCATGAAGCCCGTCTGCCTTGACTTCATACGTGAAGTAGGTCTCCTTGTGTTCAATGGGTCTCCGTCTAACTTCTGTGACAGGGAATGCGATGCACGGCAGAAGCAGCCGGCGGTGAGTAAAACGTGGAGCGCTCAGGCGGTCGAGTGAGCTGTACAATTTCAGAGCTGACTCGACAGTCACAGTGCCTTTCAGCGACGAGACCGATATCTGCATCTCATCCTCAGATATAAATGGCGGCGTGTACGGTGAGGCTTCGTATGAAGTGATGTCGGCAGGCAGACAGCTGTTGAATTCGGATGGTGTTCCAAACCAGTCCAGGGCAGTAATGTCTCCAGACACAGCGATGATATCCTCCAAGAGCCGCCCGAGTGCATTTTGCTTCTTTTCACCGTACATGATATTGAGCCGAACACCAAAGATGCCAAATAAGGAGTATGCGATGTCTTCCTCCACTGTGGTGACACGCGTCGACGCCCATCGCAGTTTCTCGCGGGCGTTCATCATTCCAGGACGGAAGGCGACAAGGATTTGTGCATCTATCCCCGTCGCATCTTCCAATTCCTGCATGATCGCGACAGACTGCTTGTGGTTGGGAGAGCAGTCGTCGAGATACGGGGTCCAGTCACTTTGGTAGAAGCGGATGACTTCCGGGGCGAGGAATTCCGGTAAAGTCCATCCTCGCGTGTTCCACGCGCTCCTTGCCAGTGCGCCCGACTTCGACGAAGGCGGAACATCCGATAGGTAGACCATCGTAAGCGCTGAGGCGCGATACCATTCGAACATGGAATTGAGCGATGTTTGGAGTTCGACGTTGTTAGCCTGGTCGATGCAACATGAATCAATCCACCCCCAGCGATACCCCGCAGCACGAGCAGTTTTGCAGAAAGACTGCAACTTCATGATGCTGCCAACTGGATTCAACTCATCAACGACCTTGTCCTGAACGTCGTGCAGCAGTGGTTCCTTTCCTTCCCAACGATGCGATAGCGTGACACAACAGAAGTATGTTGCCACGACATCTTTGATGTGTTCCATTCGGATATCTGCGTGCATCAACGTTGATGACAAAAGCTCCTTGTACTCTGGGCTCGCTTTGAAGGCATCGATCTGTGCCTCTCGATTGCATAAGCGCCCAGTAAAGGTATTGAGCAAACGATGTGGGGCGTCGTCGAGTTGAGCCTTGACAGTCTGTTGAATAGCTCCATCTGCTTCGGATGGATGGACGTATTGTTGGCGCAGCTCTGGAAAAAGAGTCAAGCATGTTTAGGGATGTGGTTATTTGGGGGCGTACTTTGTGTTTGCGTGTCAGGACTATCTTCTAACTTGGAGAGCATGGTTTGGAGTGCGTCGATCGCTTCATCATAACGGTGTGCGCCATGAAGCGCTGTATACTCCAACTCGTATCCAATATGAGATGAAGGGGTCAGTTTGATGACCTACATGTTCGCAAAATGAGCATGGACTATAAAATAACAAATGAAATCATACTGTTTGTGCATCCAGAAGCGCATCGTCCCATAGCATTTTTTCCGACCTCGCCTTGCTGCGGTTCACAAAGATGGTATCGGTTGCCAAATCGAGGTCGATTGCCGCGGAGTATAACTCGATAGCCCTGTCGTAATTACCCGCAGCGAGGGCATCATCTCCCTTTGTAGCAAGGTCAGCAACTCCGGTGGCAGCATGAAGCGCGCTGTAATCTTGCTTGAAAGCTAAATGAGATGTGGTTAAGAATGATACCCCATTAAAATCACGAAAACTCACCAGTGGACCAGTCAAGGCAGCTTGCCTTCGTAGGTCCATCGCTTGCATTTATCATGTGTCTGTAAGATCTGAGGGCCTCTGCAAATCTACCCGCCAGAAAGAGCGAACGGCACCAATGCTGGTGTGCAGTAAGCCACAACGACTTGAGGTCCCAACCGAATAGCTGCGCAAGCACTCAGTCGGACATGAAATAAAGATATTCAATCGATGTACCACCACAAAGATGTCATATTTCGAATGGATGGCCGACGTAGACGAAAATCCAATAGTATTGACAGCAGCAGTGAAGTGGCCAGCAGCTTCGTTGGGACGTGCGTCGTCTAATGCATTCATTCCCACTTGGACGTGTAGATAAGCCTGAAGTGCGAGGTTCGCAAAATCAGCATCGACGTATGAATCAGGAGTTGATTGTATCAAAAGCACTCACTTCCACGATACCACACGCAAGAGAATTCACACTGGGACGAGTGGTAGCTAGCTCTTGGACGCGCAGAATTGCCTCGTCACGTTGGTTTGCATTGAAAAGGGCGATGGCCTGACAGCTATCGTGTAAGTAGCGAGTACACAAGACACAATCGACGTACCTTTATCAACAGTAAAAGGCGAGTTTTGTTCAAGTCTGCGTCCACGTACATGAACGCGAGGTCAAATGCTTTCATCGCATCTTGGAACTGTCGTTTTCCACAGAGGGCGATGCCCTTGGAGATACAGCCCATCAAGGATGGCTGAATACTGATGCTCTATATCACCGTGTAAGTTACTCCGTGTTAAAAAGGTCACGATGGAATGGTGCATCTCACTTTGAGCGCGTCGTCAAGTGCTCGGTCCCAGTCTGAATTTCTTGCTTTGACAAACGAGCGACTCGCGTAAGAGTTGTAGTCGTTGCCAGCAGCCCCGATATCTTGTGTTAACAGCCTGTCTGCAGTGAGCAAGTCCCCGCTTATGCATGCATCGCGGGTTGTCGCGTTGACGGTGAGGATCTACATCATGGATGGTCAGGTTACGTGGTAGAAGTGAGGGCTAGAAACAAGCCTCGCAATCAGACTGTCGAGCCTTGGCATCAAGATTGAGGATCAACAAGACGGGCAAAGAACGGAAACTCACATTATCTGCCACTTGTTCTTTCGGAGCATCCTCCCGTAACGCATTCTTGAATAAAATGAGATGAAGAAGGGATAGAAAATGAACAAAACTTACATCTGGTGCTTGGTCCCCCAGAATGTCCTCCAGCAAAGGTACTGCCCACTTTGATATCATTTTATCTCTTCCTCCACTCAAGATGTGCTTGTCATCCGCGGAGAAGGTGACACAAAACACCTCATTGGTGTGCTTGAATATGGCAATAGTTCGTCGATCCGAAAGCCGCCAAAGGCGAACCTGGTGGTCATCAGATGCGGACGCGAGAAGGGTGCCAGCAGAGTTCAAGGCAATCATGTAGACATTCCCAGCATGACCCTTGCAGGGCTCACCGACCTGCTTCCAGGTCGACGAATCCCAGATCCGTATGGTGGGATCACGTTCATTACCACCGGAGATAAGCTGTTTGCCATCGGGCGTCCATGCCAGTGTAGTATTTCCTGCTCCATTGAACGCAGACTGACCCTCAAACTTTGTAATGCATTCCCTCTTGCCTGGATTCCATATTTGGATATACTTGAATGTTGCGATGGCAATATATTCACCAGACGGCGAATACCGACTGCAGAACACTCCGGCAACACAACTGATTGGATCTCCTTGCACCCGCCATGTTTTTGTGTTCGAGAATTCTACTGTGGCGTCCCATGAGCCACTCGCCAAAAACGTGCTGTCTGGGGAAAAATCAAGCCACCATATCGGTCTGGAGTGGACTTTGATGGGTTGAGTGAGAGGCTCCCCGTCTCTGTTCCAGGTGATGAGTTCTCCACCATCATCACCGCTTGTTATGAATTTCCCGTCTCTTGATACCGCAACTCTTCGTACGGCGAAGCGATGCCCCTCTATTGTCTTCAATACAACGCCGTTTTCTAAGTCCCACAGACGAAGCGTCTTGTCGCCTGAGGCCGTCACCATACGGCATCTATCGGGGAAGACTGCAACTGCAAAGAGAGTTTCTTCATGACCTTCAAATGTTCGAATAGCCGTGGTGATTCGTTCTGCTTCTATCATTCTGCTCGAGGTGGATGGTGTTGAGCTTGTGGGCGTCTTGATCTAAGTTGCAGGGTGTACCGGGCCTTTTTGTGCTTATTCACAGCCTCAACCTGCTTCGTTAGACGCTCAGTACACGAGGCCTGAAATTTGAAACCTAATATCAACTAACGTGACTAGAAATCCAGGGCCAGCCTCACTCTCTCCATTCTAGCTAGTCCACCATGTCGATGCCTCCATTGGATTCCACAGTCTACCTATTCCATCCTGGACATAGTACAGCTAGGGAATCGACACCGCCGGAAAAGATTGGGTCGCAGGGGGATCTGCAGGGTGGAAAGTCTAACACAGCAGAAATAGACAAGTTGTACGTACTCCTCGACCTGTTTTCCAGCCGCGATCGTGACCGAGATCGACAGCAATATCTAGTACGAGCTCTTGATTTCAGGCATCGCCTCATCGCATTTGTTTCCACGATCAGTGAACGCGCTCGCTGCCCATGCTCAGCTGGGAATGTTCGTTGTAATACCGAACTGCACAACAAGATGTAGTATGTCTGCAGCATTAATTCCCTAAAATAGTGGAATCCTACACTCGAGTATTGCTCGAGTAAGATCTCATTCAGGAACAGCCACAATGGATGTCCCTGATGTAGCGACCACTGCCTGAACGAGTCCGTCAGGTTCGCGGAATTTATCAATCGAGTTTAATTTTTCCTTTACACAAGTCTAATTGGTTGATACTTTCGGGTCGTTTTTGGCACGTGCGGGCCAACCCAGGGTCTGTCCCTTTGCCTATGTGGCACGCGCTCCGGGCGCTCTTGGCATGACGCATATGCTGAGCAATCTCTGTTCCGAGCGGAGATTCTTTTCGTTTCCTAGCGCAGACGGACACTTAGGAGGTTTTTGCCTCTTCTCACCTGTCCGTCGTCGCGCTAGGTATGTTCATGACTTCTTCTTTATGTGACTATATCTCACCTGTCCGTCGTCGCACTAGCATCTTTAGTTTCTAGCAGCTTTATAAAATTCATCGCATTCTGCTCATCCATGTCGGAACATGAACCCTCCTCCTCACAAACTCAATCTTCCGTCCGAAGAGGAGTATCAACCGACTATCATAATTCCTACAACTCCGAAGTCATCGAACGATGTCTCAAATTTGTCGTTGATTTCAGAAAGCATAAAATCCCTAAGGGAAGAGCCGTTCTTGGAATCCAGCAGGAGCTGGCAGCAGCCTCCGATGAGTCAGACCCGTCCTATGCAGACGGATTCGCACATTATCTTGAAATCCTTGACTCTGTCACGACTCACCAAAGAAGCTCAACCGGAAACATTTGATAGAAGTCAAAGATCGTCATGTGCGGCAGAGCTCGACGACTCAGAAATTCCCCTATCAGGGTCCTCGAAGAGGAGACGAAGAGGCAGATCGTTCAGCGAAGAGACTGAGAGTCTCGATGAGGCAGGATATGAATCCGAGGATAGTAGAGTCATCCTGCGAGAGAAGAGGCGAAAACTCTCAGAGAACCAAGTTCAATTCTACCCATGGCTCAATCCTGTCAAATTCCGCTACCTCTCGCGTTCCCGAGGAATCAGAGCAACCCTGGAATGTTACGAGGAATGGTCCGACGATCCTAAATTCTATCGTACCAAAATCGTTACCACTCCGGGATGTCTGAACTTATCAACCTCTCAATGGACCCTATTACTCGAAGGGAAAGCAGTCGATCTTGACAAGGTCTTCACAGGCCGGTATTCCACGGCTATCGACACTAAATAATCCCAGCCTCTTGGAAAGGGGTTTGAGCTCACGCTTGCCCAACCCTCAATTAGCCACAAGGTTAAGACGGCCGGAGATTGGGGAATCGTCACTGATCTTTGGACCCAAGCACTCAGTTTCATCATGCCGTGGAGAGAAGAGGAAGTACGAAGCTATCGAAACTATATCTCCAGCATCTTCGCCAACCACCATTATTCCCATCATGAATGAGTTCTCGACTTTGACAGGCATCAGTAAAACCTCGGATTGATTTTCCTTCATTATCCCACTTTTCTTGCCTTGGCGCTGGCGCTAAGGCATAAAAATTAATACAAGGAGTGATCACTCGATCTTTCCGAAATTTCTCAAAGGCGCAAAGGAGCGGTCCATTGGTTTTGCCACACAAAGGAGAGAAAATGCATATTAAGAGAGAAAAGAGTATTATAAATTCAAATTGTGTACAAGTAGCTAGATCAAAATGCAATCTCAAAGGCGTGATGGTCAGCGTATTTATTGACATAGTAGGCGCGGAATGCATCATAGGAATGATAAAATTTGAGCTCTGGAGGCAGGAATTCCGTGCCGTACACGGGAATAAGATGGGCAGCGTGATAAATGGCGTCAATATGAATGATTGCGTACTCAGCAGTATTGTTTGCACCCTCTCCTGGACGAACCATCCACATTCCCGTGTCTTTGTCTGCAGCATCGCCGATTTTGTTGAACCAGCGAACCACAACGCAGGGATACACTTCGCCCCAGTACTGGAATGAAAAAAATGCGCGAACATGTGCGACTTCGAGACCTTGCATGCCAGGTAGACTAGAGTCTGTGTTGACAAAGACACAGTCGTTGCGTGAATGCCCACCTCGCCAGGAGGGACAAGAGCGGATGTGTTCAGTGCGCATGCCACCAATACCACTCAAATCGCTCGGTGCATAAAATCGCGATGATGCTGAGTTGAAGACCGCAATTTTGCTGAGATAGAGGGGACATTCAGCAAGAGGGATATCGGATGGATCGCGGGGATCATCAGGATGCGTCTGTTGAAATAAGAAGCGTCTGAGAAGGTCAGATAGGTGAGGAATATTAAGTTCATCAGCGAGTTCAGGAATGGTTTGAGCGCGATTTTTGCCCTCTGTACAGTATGTTCAGTATCACGTTGAAAATCAGGAAAAAAGGACACTTACGGCGGGTTTTTGCCAGTGTTACGAACACTTGTAGAACTGTGGGCCCGTTGTCTATGTCGAGGTCCACATCAATGTTGATCAAGGGAGGTGGGGTGGGTATGGGTGGGGCAGGCGCAGGCGCATCCATATCTGCTGCTGCTGCTGCTTGAGCAGGTTCGAGTGCTGCTGCCCCCCGTCTTCATCAACTTGGTTGATCTGCGCAGGAACTGTTATGCAAATTAGTTGAAATATATCTTGTAAGGAATGCACGACTTACCTAAGGCATTGACTGCTGAGAGACAAGTGCCAGTGAGCATCCCCCGACGCATGAAGTCGACTCGCAGTGCTGAAAGTTTGTCGAGCCATTGATTGGTCAGTAATATCTGACCAAGCACATTGTAACGGCTCGATCGTCGCCAAGGCTCCTTGACCGCTTTGATGTGCTTGTTCTTGGTGATTGACGAGCAGAGACCGTTGGGTGCAGCAAAGAGTCGAATGTTTCGAACATAGTGCATGAGCGAGTGTTGATGAGGTAAGGAGAAGTGAAGGATGACACCCGTTGTCCTGAAGATTTCACGGTAACGGTGAAAATGAGAGAGTGCGTCTTTGATTTGAAGTAGAGAGTCTTCGGTGATGATATTGCGACGGACTAGATAACAAAAATCTAGAAGCGCACGAAAGGCGCGAACGATGTCTTGAGGTACATGGCCCTCGATAGCAGGTAAATAGACCTAAAGGATTCAATATTAGGTAGTAACAATACAAAAAAATGACGACTCACTTTCATCAAGGCCTTGGAGTCATCTCCTGTCCACTGTTTGAATCCGCGCCCTTGAGGAAATCGTCGCAAGCCTGAAAACGAGGCGACAGCAGTGATTCTATGGCAATGAGAAAAAGTAAGCAATCCGAATACAAACTGAGCTCACCTGCGGTCAATATCATCCATAATTTTCTGTGCCTTCCATTTGTTGTGTGTCTGACGGAGGTACTTCTCGACCCATGTTACGAGGTGATCCTTGAAGGTGCCTTTTATAAGTTGATGGAGGATATCTGGTGATATCATTTGATGGATATCGGCTCGGGGAAAGTCGTTTGTGAATGGCTGTCGAAATAGTATTAGTTTTGTAAATGAAAACGAGAGAAAAACGCTGAATGACTTACCACAAGTTGCGTGACTATTCCGAAGTCTTCCCAAAGATCTCCTGAGGGAGCTTCTTCAATGAGTGCCTCTGTATATTTGCGGCTACGGGGCAGCGCATCTTCGTCAAGATCTTCGCAATTTGCAACACACCTTTAGAATAATGTGAGCGACCATGTAAATACATATTAAATGAAAGACGTACTTTGGACACCAATTACGGACAATGCACGCTAATAAAACTTGCTCTTCGTAATCCGCTATGTAAGGCCCTAGTCCATATATGACACGCCGGTAGTGGCCATCTCCAAAATGCGTTACTTCGGGAGTCGTCATGCCCGGCTTGAGCGGATCGAGAATTTTGGAAAGGGATGAATGGAATAACTGTCGATGAAATCTTCAGAACGAAGGTTCTTCAGCATGTTCCTGCGTAGCTGTATCATAGTTAGTCAGTTATAGAAATAGATTGCAGGGTTGAAACATACTTTTCGGCATTGCCAGGAACCCAATGACGGCCACACCATCGCGATGCGCTCTTCGAACGTTATTGTGGATGTTCCCAATGGAAGCATAGAGCGGGTAGTACTCGTTGTTACCCGTTCCGACTGAAACTGTCGTTTTGTCGCTGCCAAGGATGACAGGGACAAATGTCGACCCGAGAGTGCTTGGGTCTTTCGCGATTTCGTCCTAGATACATAGAGCCGTTAATATCGGACATTACGAAACAAAAAATGCATTACTTACTGCTTGATTCCACACCCAGTCGCCAGACATGAAATCCTTCCATTGGCGCTTGTTGCCCTCAGTTGAATACTCCCTATACGGGCAGTAATCTATCTCGTTAGTGTAAGTCGAATTTGTGAGCATATTATGCGCAACTTCACGTGGGTCGCGGAACCAGACTTCGTATTCGCTGTCCATCCAGGGCTTGTCCTCATCTGCAAGTCTCTCGCCATCATAGGCGACCATAAAACGTTGCCATGGTACATCCCCAAAGGGCGAACTGTCGATGACATGGTACAGATCATGGTGATCTGCAAACGGCGGGTTGTCGTTGTGCTTCGTGAGGGTAGATGCCCATAGATCCAGTAGCCGGTCAATTTGACCAGCTGGCATTTGATTGTGCTTGTAAAGGAACTCGGCCGTTTCAAATTCTGTGCGGTTTCGAAAAGGCGTCCAGTCATCAGGTGCGAGATTCTCAGGAGGTGGAGGTGGAGCGCCAGGGGGGAGGAATACACCATTAACATCACATGGTCTACCTGTAATAGCGCTCATTAAAGATAGAGTATCAGGCAGTAAATTGACGTACCGTTAAGACCTGTGTGATAATTGCGATAAAGATGATTGCCACGCCCAAAAAATTCTGTGTCGACGTCTGCATGGGGGGATTGTTGGTGCAGATGTTCGTCCATGTCGCCCTGGTAACCATCCGCATCAACATCGTGCTCATTGTCTTCATTGCGAGACGGGTGTGGGCTTGGTGTTCGGGGAACAGGTTCCAGAGATTCTCGATGGTTGTCTTGAGGCGGTACTGGCATCACAGGATGTGCCGAAATTTGGTGTTTCATTCGCCCAGCAGAGCTTTTGAACCATCTTGAACATGTTCCACATGGGAGTTGGAGTGCGCTATGGTCCCGTCAGCGTGGTTGGATGTGTGGAATATCAGCAGGCATCACGGAAAGTGAAGACACTTGAGATTGCGTCAATAAGAGTGCGCGGCTGAAATAAATCGATACCTGCATTTTCGTTGAGTGGATTTTCAAGTGACTGAGCTCAGGCCAGCCGAAGAATGTGTCTAGTTGATGTGACCAGCTGGAAGTGTAGACATTTGAAGCAAGTATGGCACGAAAAGACAGAATAATGCAGGACTTACTTGATGGTTTGGACAACTTTACAGGTGCGCAGACCAGAGAGTCCTGCTAGTAGTGAATTGAATTAGCGATCGAACTTTGTTTGGTTAGCTCTTAAGTACGGAACTTACAAATTGGTTGTCAATTTTCAACTTCAACCATTCTACCGACCACTCATTACATTTCCCTGGCCGTCCCAAGCTTGCCATAGAGCCTGTCAAATCCGCTCCTCGTCAGCAATGTCCGACACCGCTCAGAAGTCACGCACTCACGCACAGAACGCAAACAAGCATCCAGGCTTGCCTGACCTGCCAGCAAAAGGACGTCAGCGACGGACTAAGGCCCAGATAGCAGAGGACAACCGGATTCTCAAGGAATCACGCGAAGTTCAAGAGCAGGCCGCACTTGAGGGGCTGCAACGGCTTGCAGCCATGCAGAAAGAAATGGAAAAGGCGGAGGAACTCACCATCGTGAACAAGCCGAAGCCAGTGAAACCTCGCGCCCACCCTGTTGTGAAGCGAACGGCGCCTGATAAGAAGCTCCTGACAACAGGAAACGCTGGTGAGTGCACAAGCATCAAATGAGGCTCACTTACATGGGGCTAACATTGTTGAGGACCTAGATGAAAGTGGTCGAGACGACAGCGGTCATGTTCAAGAGGAAATCAGTGAGAAGTCGAAGACTCAAAAGCGTGGCAAGATCTCACTAAAAGATGCCATCAACAATGCCCGAGATTTGATCGCAACACCAGGAATTAGAAGCCAGGAACCACGTGTCGAAGACAAGAAAGGAAAGTTATCTGCCGTGGCGAAGTATGTCTTTTCGACTTGATCAAAACCATGTTGATGCTTACTGAATCAACACTATTCTTTGTTAATTTAACCTCAAAATTCAGGTCGACCAACTTAAAGTTTTCATTGGTAGGACGTGTCAATGGCTGGGTATCTGACGTTACACCAGATGAGAGGTCCAAAGCTTCAAGTGCATCCAAGTCTCGCACCGCTGCCTCCCCTTTCTCATTGGCACATGGGCCACCCAGCACCCAGGTTACATCTGTATCAGGTGTAAATACCAAGCCCAGTCGCCAACCTAAAGTCTCTTCCAATCTTGCTACTGAGGTTCTTGTTGGCGGCTTTGCCGATGACACTTTGGATGATTCCCAGGAACACCTTGAAAGAATCGCCTCGAAAACAAAGGAGAAGAAGTCTTTCATTAAGGTGCGTAGAGCATATGTAGTCTTACTGGTTCTAATACAAAGTGAACTATATAGATCACTACCAACACGAGGACCGATGATGCGACAATGGGCTCGAAGGGACAGTCTGATCTCAATGTGCCAATGGATGTGGAGGCCTCCACGCAATCAGACATAGAGGCAGACTTCGAGGATGACAGCCCAACAGACTTCGAGGACAATGATCCGATGGACACAGAGGATGATGTGGAGAATGACGTGGAGGTTCTGGAGGACGACTTCAACCCAAACGAAGACGTGAAGATGTCTGAGGACAGTGACGGTGGCAGTAATTTATCATCCCACCATCTGAATAACAAGAAGCACAAGGTCTTGTTTCACTTATTGTCCTCAGATGAGGAACTTGAGGCTCCGCTTACAGCTGCTGTTGGAGCGGTCGCGAAGAAGGCCATGCAGGTAACATCTTCAGTAAGTCTATTTCATTAATGGTTATTGCTACTCATATTTGTTTGAACAGACTTCAGTCGCTGTCTCCGAGGCAGCTGCTACAGCAAAGCCACCTGCGAAGAAGGTGAAGATTGAAGAAGGTGTTGATGACGATATGAAACCCGTGCTTGTTCCATTGCCCGGTCACTGGATCGAGAAGCGATATAAGTCATGCTCAACCTACCGGAACAGTGATCTCCCTCCGCAATGTCAGGATCAACGGTGGCCCAAACATTTTCTCTCGACCCTTTACCTGTGGGCCGGCAGCCAAAATGATCTCTGGGAGTTTGCAGATACCTCTCTTGTTGAAGCGCTTCAATGCATTTTTGATGTCGTGTATCCAGATCTCCAGTACAAGGTGACCGCTCAGGGATCTGTCTTTGGTGTTGTGCGTCTAGCAATTTTTTTGTAGCACTATTGCTAACTCATTGTGATCTCAATAAGGCTACTCAGCGTCTGGCAGAGTGGCGCAGCAACTTCGGTTCAACAGGACTCGCAATTATGATCGACTTCTTCGCTCGGAACGAAGACACTAATCCAAAAGACCTTAGTGAAGTGCTTATGGAGGAGTTCGTGTTCCTCTTCGAGGACTTGGACTACTCAGACAAGATGAAAGCATTCCAGTCTCCTTTCATGATACAGTTATTTGCAACCGCTCATCTTCACAGTATTGTTGGACATGCTCATGTCACCGCCATCAAAACAGATGTATTGGCTGCCAGTGGCATGGCTGGTGTTCTTGCTCTCTGCGCAACTTCAGTAAGTATTCTGACCATACAAGAATCATGACTTATCACATTTGACAGCTCGAACGTGCTGTCAAATGCCTCGGCGCTGGTGCCATTGGTATTGATGTGGACATCCTCAATATGCATCCTGCACAACTGAAGCGCAAGCTGCGCACACCGAAGACCCTCAACAAGTGAACCGGCAACTACAGCACCACCGAGCATGCATTTTCCATCAACAACTGGGGGTCAGTAACCGAAGCTTACTTGTCTAGCGTAAAGAAAAAGGGGGACATTTTTTTGAGGGACATGGTTTCAACAGCGCGGAAGTTACTCAAGAAATCGGGCAGTGCTGGCCTTGAGAAGTACCTTCGCCTCAATGATGACGACGAATCAGAGGACATCGACAGGCGTGCCATGCTTTGGTGACTAGTAATATCAGTTTTTTTTTGCGTTATTCATGAGCTAACATCATTTGATAGATCTCGTTCCCGCCATGCTTGCTGTCCGCTTCCATCATCGCCATTGATTCAAGTTCATAGTACTATCGTGTTTTGCTTATCCCACCACCACTCGTAATGCCTTTCGTCATCTTTAGTCTCGTTTCACGCTCTTTGCACCGTTACCCTTCTTTTCGCTAGCATTTCATACTCTTCTTTTCGCTAATGTTTCGTACTTTACTTTGTGTTCCCATTTTCATCACTTTTTTGCACTTTCCACCAGATGATGTGATACCATTTGCTCTCTATTATTACCACTTTGTTTTGTCAGTTAATGCCTCATAAGTGACTTTCATGAGCTGCAAAGTAGAATTCAGAGGACGAGTGGCATTTTTCTCAATTTTCTCATCGTGTCTTGCGTGTCACCTTAATGGTTCCTCAAACCTGGTAAAACTCGGAAAAATAGAAATAAATTCAAAATCTTTGGCGAAAATAGACCCGAGGTTTTACTGATGTACTAACATCATCTTACCTTCCTTAGGACTGTCATCCTACCAGCTCTGGACCATTGTCCTACCACTCACCACTCCCACATCCGCTCGCATGTCCCTCTTGCTCAATGCCACCTCTAAACATCGTGGTAGGCTATACTATTCTTGTACTGGATACTAACATTCATCTTATCTTCCTTAGGACTGTTGTCCTACCAGCTCTGGACCGTCGTCCTTGTCGTCCTACCACTCACCACTCCCACATCCACTCCCACATCCCTCTCACCGCTCGCACTCACCTCACACATCTGCTCGCATTCAACCATGGTGCGTTGTTCAATGGTGCATTATTCTCTCACTCGTCTACCTACTCTACCCTTTCTTATATCAATCGAATTCTTTTTTACATCACCCATACAATAACTCACACACAAATGTCTACTTACTCTCGATCGAATTCTTTTTCATATCACCCATACAATAACTCACATTTACTTACTCTTTCTATATATTTCACTCGTCCTCGTCTTTGACATCCTTGTCCTCATTCTTGTCCCCGTCGTTTTTGTTTTCTTCTTCTTCCTCCTCCTCCTCCTCTTCCTCCTCTTCCTCTTCCTCCTCTCCATCTCCGTCCTCACTGTCACCATACTCACCATCACCATACAGTGTCACCCGCCTTCGGATTTTTGATGTGGCGCACTTCACAGCGGCGACCCGCATGGCCTTGGTAATGTTTTCTGCCTGCTTGAAGGTGCTCGTATATTTGTACACGTCTCGGATCATGCCCGGCTGGAAGCCTGAGCGGTTTGCAAGTCTCACCACTTTCTCTTCAAAGCCGAACTGCGTGAACTGTGTGATATCCACAGTGTGGATTTGAGGGTCTATGTGAGGAATCCTGGTGTTGGCCTCCAAGCTGCTGTTGATGGTGACAGCTTTCTCGGTATCTTCAATCTTGCTTGTCTGGCCAGCGCCAGCACCCGTTTTCGAGGAAGTATGCAAGTGTGGGGTCATTGAGTATATTACTGTGTACTAGCTCTCGTTAGCTTGAATTTGCTTCCCTGAATGAACGATAGCTAGGAAAATTAAATGTTCTCAACCCACCAATTAGAAAATAAATCAAACAGCGATTCAGTGCGGCAGTTAACACAAAATTGAATATTGGCAGCGTGGTGGTTGAAGTAGTTAAGATAAAAGAATCCCGACCCCTAAAACACGTTGTCATTCCATCCCCACCACCCAAGTACACACATTGCACTCATGTCGGTCTTTGAACCGAAAACAATCCTTACTCTTCTCAAGAACTCGACAGCCGTCTCTCCTCTCGAGAAAAACACCTTCGAGAAGAATTGGAGGGTTAGCGTGAGTTTATTCTCTTGAACGGCTTGAAGCGTGCGCACTTGGTACCTCCTTCGACTAACCAAAAAAAAAGGTAGAAAAACGTGTCAGCACATGGAATGAGGCACGCAGCCATATAAACAACTCATGTCCGCAGTTTCAGCTACAGTGGGAGTCTGAGATTGTCGAGTACGTCCAGTTCCTGTGGGAGAAGACGAGAAGACGGTCAAAGAAAGGTGAGACCAACAAGCTGGGAGTCAACGTACCATTGCTTGGGCCTCGGTTTATGCCTCCATCCTACCTGCACATCCAGAAGCGGTCAGGTGGTGGAGCCGTTGATCTGACGATACAGTACCTCAAGCCACTCAATATTGTGCACCCGTTCTACCACCCACAGCTTGCACGGTGTCCGAGATGCGGGTCTGACAAGGACATGACTTGGGAGGGATGGACGAGCAAAGGACCTTGAGAACTCCACAGTATACTCTGTGAAGAGATGGCTCTCGGTGCACAACTGCGGTGCAACCGCTGCAAGGAGACATCAAAGTCGAAGCCGAAATCCAGAAACAGCACCACTCACCATTCGGACTTGGTGGACTCGAGCATCGAGGGCTATTGCTTCACGACGACCAGTGCCATGTATTGGAAGTCCTGGGAGCACTGGAGAATACCGCGTGAGTCTTGTGCACCGGCAGAAGACCTGTGTCAGTTGATCTGATGTATTCGGACCTCGGCAGGGGGCATACCAATATTTTTCTACCGGTGTGCATTGACACGGGACTTGTTCGACCTGCTCGTCAAGTTACGGCCATCTTCGACATCTGCAGGTCTTGAAGAATGCATCCGACGTAAGTATCGTGCTACGTCATCGATGCAGCAGCTCAATGCACTTATAGAGCTGCATCTATTCGAATATAAGCGCCAAATGCTGGAATATCTCGAAGCAGTCAGCACTTACGAATCTTCAAACAGCTCAAACTCACACACGCTTGGACTCGGACATTACTTTAACCATGGCGCCACTGGTAGCATGACCGCAGGATCTGGGCTTCAAGCATTCTCAGAACCAGATGACCAGCTCGGCTACGATAACAAGTCGATCTCAAATGAAATAATAACCGAGGTCTTCGTTGATTTTTCGACTTGCACCAGGCAGGATGAGAGCACGCTGTATTTGAAGTCACTATCTGGTAAGTACAAGACCAAATACACAAATAGACTTACGCACTCACCATTTGTTTGTCAGCAATATGCGGTTCTCTCGACAACACTTTCAAAGCGTCAAACAAGGCCACACTCACAAACAAGGACGGGCAAAAGACAAGGGAGATCAAGGGCGGGATACTCACTGTGCTGAATGAAAGCAACGAGATCATTGCTTGGGTGAGTACTTCCATCTGACTTTGAAAAAGTTGACGCTGATACGCCCTGTTTGCAAGTGTTTCTGTCAGACACGCACGAATGCCAAGATCACGGAGCTACTGCGTGGCCTCAAGTGGCGCCATGATGTCCTCAACCTCCCACAACCAAAGATGATGGTCGCCGACAACTGCTGCCACATACATGGCACGGTGGCTTCTGCCATGCCTGAGACAGAGGCTAAGCTGGATGTCTGGCATTTTAGTGCAAGGTATGTAACTTCAGCATGAGCTATACTACTCTCACTAACAGGAACCCTCACCAAACGAAGATACGTTGCTGCAATCTTGAACACCAGCAAGAGCCCATTCCGTAGTGCCATCGCTGCCGATATTTCGGGTGCGATCCTCAAGAAACACGCAGAACATGGACGTGGAGCAGAGTACTGGGATCGTGGTGAACAAGAGCAGCACCTTGTTGCAGTGTTTGACAAATGGGCTGAAAAAGGTGTGTGGTCAGCAGCGGCTCAGAAGGTAAGTCTGCCTGCTTCATTAGCAGTGGAAATGGAGTCTCACAGTGTCATATCCTGCTAGGTACATCAAGAACAACTTAAACACGTCCGAAAAGGGTGTCTCAAGCGCTCAGATCAAGACATCCGGTCTGATGGCAGCCGCATTGAGGGCACCCACAAGGGCTGGAACTCGTTGCAGCGTGCCCAACCGAGTGAGATCGTGATGCTGTCTGCGCTTGGTCATGACTTTGTCCTCCATCGAAACATTAGGGTCGCTTCCAGTAGGCGTCAAATGACGCCCTTTGTCAAATTCACTCACGGCTCCCATCACATCCAGCTCTCTAACCACATAGCAAGACTCTACAATGGACTGCGCAAGAAGGACACACGGCTGCTTCCTCTACCAGAACTGCCAGATGTGGACTCTGGCGAGACCTTTGGACTTGTAGCGTCAGATAATACAACTACGTTTTGTTACAAGTAACATCGGTCACGTGGCCCCCCTATCATTTTCCCTTCATCCTCGCCCTCACCATCTACCGGCTCGTCCTCCTTTACCGTCTTTCCATTGACCGGATCCTCGGGACCGTTCCCGTCCCTCGCATCGCCCGCCTCTATGCACGTGCACGCACGTTCCTCCTTTGATTCGACCACCAATGTGGTCCCGCACCTATGACTCGGTCTGACTCGTGCCACCAATGTGGCTTTCCTTCTTCTGTCCTTTCTGACTGCGGATTCCCGCATGTTGTATTCTTACCGTTGGACCGTTCCAATGTTTCTCGGTCTCATTCCACATTCGACCACCCATCACTAATCCGGCTCTGTTGCCAATGCACCTATACCACTCTCGTCTCCCCTTTACCCTTACCTACTGTGCGGTAGCCTTGCCCTGAACCCTCTCCACTTAGTATAAGTAGTCGGTCACCTTGTACTAGATTCTCTAACTTGAATCTACTCAATCTTCCCTGGAACATACTTCCCTCTGAATGCCCCTTTGGCTTCAGTCTCTAGTATCTTTTCTTAGTTGCTCATCGCAACTAAGTCTACCTCGATCGACCTCATCGTTCGGACAGGACAGTCCTTACCTTGAGTGACTTCTAAGACATCCGTCTCTGAAGTCACATGACACGCGCATACTGTGATCACTGTCGACTCGCCGTCGCCAGTATCACTTGCTATACCGGATCCTTCCGGTTACGTCACGAACGTTAGCGGACGACGCCCCTCTTAGGGCTCCGCCTAACAGATCTATTTGAGTGCGTAACACGTTTGGTGGTTTGCTCATCAAGGAAGAGACTGCAGACGCTGAACTCACACTCACACATAACTTTGAAGTTTGCACAGATAGCTTTACTGGTGGGACTATAGATTTTGCGACCGAAGCCAGCCGCAGCATCATGATCGAAGACTGGCAGATTGATCCGGCGCTCCTTGACCAACCTGCTACACAGCTGCTGCTGCCACATGCTACCAAAGTCATACCTGCCTCTCCAACCAAACGCAAGGTCTCTTGTGTCTCCTTTGACGCCAATGATGAGTTGGACAGCGGCAATACTTCAAAACGACCACGGACTTTGGTTTCAGCCGGCACCAAGACACTCAATGGCTACTTTTCTTCTGGTCGCGTTGTAATGCGACCCAGAGAGCTCCACAGGCCTGTCACAGAGGTATGTTGTCATACCACCATCCTTGATCAATGATACTCACGAAAACTTCCTCCCAAATTCTCACAGGGTCATCCAGCAGTCACCAGCGCTGGCATCAACAACTCAATCACACCTGACCAACGTTACACACGAAAACTTCCTCCCAAATTCTTGGAGGATCGCCCAGTAATTCCTGGTGCTACTGCAGAGGTATGTCCCATCCCATCACACCCAACCAATGTTACACGCAACAACTTCCTCCCTAATTCTCACAGGATTGCCCCAGCACTGGCATCAGCAACGCCATTACCCCCAGCACTGGCATCAGCAACGCCATTACTGGGGGTCACCCAGCAATCACCAGTGATCACCCAGTGATTTCCGGGGCTACCACAGAGGTATGTCCCATCACACCCGACCAACGTTACACGCGCAAACTTCCTCCCGAATTCTCACAGGATTGCCCCAGTGCTGGCATCAGCAACGCAATTATCCCCAGCGCTGGCATCAGCAACACCATTACTGGGGGTCACCCAGCAGTCACCAGCGATCACCCAGTGATTCCTGGGGCTACTGCAGAGGTATGTGCAATCACACCCGACCAACGTTACACGCGAAAACTTCCTCCCAAATTCTCACAGGATTGCCCCAGCGCTGGCATCAACAACACAATTACCCGGTCTCAGCACTTATTCTTCATTGCTACAGGTATTGATCCTCGCTCACTGACCCTTCAAAATTCAGACGAGTTCTACCTGTTTATGGACATGCGGGCCAAGTTCAAATGGCTGTCATATCAAATGACTTTGAAGCGCTGGGTGCTGGCAACGGAGGAGTACAACCGTCGTCTCACACAGACAGCTGGCCGGTCGGTCATTCAGAAGAACCCACAAGCCCTCCTACATGCGCTGGGTGACATCGAGCCCAAACTGATGAACCGCATCATCAGAGATGAATATACCTGTGAGTTTATCGATATTTCTCTTGCATCACTCTGTATTTTCTGACATCTGGATTATGAACACACAGCAAAGAGGAACAATGAGACATTTTGGCGCCACCATTGTTCTGTTGTACCTCTTGTCAAGCAGGAGCGAGGGAAAAAGGTCAGTTCACTCAAGTTCAACACCAAGTTTCATGCTGAAATTTTCGCTGTTTAGCCCCGAAAGGTGCAGACATGCTCACGCTGCCAAACGATCATGTACCCTGGCCCCGAAAACTCGCCACTCAACCACAAGCGGGGCTACTGTGCTGATGGCGTCAAGCAGGTGTCAAAGAACAGCGGCGAAGATCTCCCTCCCTGGCCTCAGCCTCAAGGTCTGTTCTCCGAAGGCCACACATTCCATCTGCACGCATTTTTGTTGGCTGTTCAGCGTGTCTATGAGTACGTTTCCTTGCAGGGACCGGGAGAGATGGACTTGCTTGAAACGGAGGCCTTCGCGAAGCTGCTTGTCTCACGCACTGAGATCCACGAGGATGGTGCAGTGCTTTTCCGGCTGTTTACAGACTTCATTGTGGACCCATCAACCCCTTGTGATCGCATCGTTGTCCATGACGACAAGCAGTGGTTGAGGATCAATTTCCTGCAGCAGCCGTAGTTTCATTCGAGATTGGTGTTTGCATTTTAATTCATTTCATGCCTTTGTCTTCTTACAGATTGTTTACGCACCTAATAGTTTACTTTTTTCAATCACAATCATCGCAAGGTCTTCGCGCTACAAATGGTACTGTCTATTGCTCGAAAATCTGCGCATCCCAGTCTTGTCCTTTGAGCTGAATACCTTCGTCTTAGAGGCAAAACGTTCGTCTTAGGGCAAAACTCCAACGTGTCACGTGACGACAAAAGTCACGTGCTTAGGAAAAGGTCCAAACGGTCTGGCGGAGTTGCAAAAACGGTCAGACCGTTTGGACCGTTTGTAATCCTCCCCTTCCCATGGCGCAGCTGCCCCAATGCCGCCGATAAATTTGCACGTGTTCACCAGTACGAATTCCTCTTACATAATGCTACAATATATCCTTCTTCCCAAGTCACATATTCGTCGATGGCCACGACGGTGACAGCAACAGTGTAAGCTATCCAACAACTTTTCAAGTAGTTCACAACTTGAAGCTTAATACTGCGAATGGTGATCGTTCGAGAGTCGAGATAGTATACCGACTCTCAAAAATGGGAGGGAAAATGGTTGGTTCAACCATAAGGGAGTCGAGCCTACAAGGCATTCTGTCTCACATCCATCATGATCTGCTCGGCTCACCTCTCCCTAGGTGTGATTATCATTATGTATCACGATTTTGGCCGATTAAACTAACCTATTATTCGAAGTACGGTAATCGACCAGCGGGTTCTCCATTGTCAACCATCGGCGGCACCTGTCCAAAGAGCAGACTCCGGTGCAGCCTTGCAAAGCGAATACACCGCGGGGAGGGCTTAATGGGCTCTGGTGATCGTACACTTGCTATGTACTTGAAGTACTTCAAGTTAGAATGCCGACGTAAACACTGCTGACGCTGACAGCAAGATGCCGATACCACGAAGTAAAACGATTGCAAAAGACATCCTCCTGACGTGTTTCCTATTCGCTTGCTGAACGCTCAGCGCTCAAGAGTGAAATGTAGCCATTTTCATACGCTGACACAAACTTTTACGTTTCTCCGATCGAAGGTGTAACCCGTCTTCCATGAAGTGAACACAAGTATGTAAGAATTCGTCAGCGAATAGATGTTTGACACTGAACCGGACGTACCGATCTCTCGATCAAATTTCTAGCTCGTCAATTTGAACCAGAAGCCACCAGTGACGTAGTAAATTCCATCACTAGTACTTAAACCGCGGACAGCACGAAATATAAATTGAACGCGGTCGTATCCCAAAAACCTTAGGAAAAGTACCCTGAAACTTTTGGTGAGCAGTCCTGCATGCAGTAACGCTGAATCCGTTTCACTCAATCGACATTTTGTATCAGTCCCTTCGCGTACTCAACCGCACGATCAAACTTTTGTTGGTGTATGGTTTACTCGCAGTTATCACCGAAGTACTGATACATAGCCCTACTAGACATCATGAAGCCCATTCAGTTTGCCATCCTTGCCATCCTCGCCGCTGTCGCCGGGGTGAAGGCAGCTTCAACTACTACCAACGATGGAGTCTGCGACGATTCGCAATGCTACACTAGAGCGCCTGCCTGCAGTGATGATGCGATAGCTGTCGAAATTTACTCAGATTGCTGGACCTGCTGCGATATTGATGTTTCGGTCAAGCTTGAGAAAGTCCACAAATTACTACACGAAGATGTTTGAACACGCTGTATTAGTCGTCATCAGATGCTTAGGTTCACGTTTGAATACATAGGATATACATGTGTTCCACATCTTTGATATCTTTCTATAAGCTGCAGAACATATAGACGTCTTTTACTTTCACTCTGGGAGGGCAAGAATCAGCTGAAGATGCGTGTCACTGGAAGTACTCTGAAGTATGAGCCGAATAAGAAGCATACATCATGCAGTAATATGAGAACTCGGTGAAAATAATGAAGATCTCCAGGATCCAGAGGCAATAGGCTTCCTAACTATCTTCTAAGAGCTGACGTTTTTTACAGATGGCAGGAACCTAAATCAAACCAAAGACAAGTGTCCCTATCTATGGCGTATCCCTAAAGCCCATCAAGTACTGCATAATCTGGAAGGCAGCCTGAATTATTGGTCTCTGCGTTAGAGCGCGTTTGGTTCAAGAACTGTCGACTTACTACTGGCGCAAATTGTGGAACCCTGCAGAATACATTTAAGAAGCGGGACGCTGTTACAGCGGAAAGAGCTCACATATGTCCACTCAGGACTACTTCGTAATAAGTGAGTCCTCGCTCTGAGTGCATTGTCCCGAAGGCACCCACACCATCGACAAGGAAACTGTCATCGGCGATAGGTGTCTGGAATCCTTGCAATCCGTTCCCTTTGAATAAAATGAGTGGTTTTTGCACCTCGACGCTTCTCCTCACTCACAAGTCATACTACAAACAATTCCTATTGATTCAGATTCAGGTGATAGTCAAGAACGCACGTACTTTTGAATGACGATTCTGGTTCTAAGTAATAGAATCATGCATCAGGATATAGGAGAAGAACTTGCGGACGCAGGCATACCCGTCAGAAATGAGAACAAAGTCGGCGAGACCGTGCACGATGACGGTCCGCTTGTTCTTCTCTATAACATTTGGTAATACGGTGAAAGCAGGGGGCAAGCTGCCGTCTCCATTTGGGAAGACATTGATATTGGAACACTCCGTCCACTCTGTGTCAACAGGTGCATGGATGGCCTGTTTCACATCCGTACGGTCGAAGTAGAGCGGAGTTTGTGACTGTATGATCGAACCCCTGTCTCTGCGTAAACTGAAATGTAAAGTGCATTATTTAATTACTTACGGGGCGCCTAGGACATCCCATAGGACGGGATACTGAAATGGAGAACGTTAGCAGCTGATAAGCAGGATTCTCTTCGACTCACAGTGTCCCAGATGCGATATATATTGAAGGCGGGGTTGATGATCAACGCATTATTGAAAATATCGTCCCAAACATCACAGCCCTCAGCCGCCTCGACTGAGTCCCCTGGGAGAGGAAGAAGGCCGGCTGGAGGATATGTCACGTACTTGTCTATGTAGCCTGTGTAATTACACCTCGCGGCCTTCTTCTCGAGGTGATTCGTGAACGTTTGACTGGGCACGATGGGTGAGCAACCTGTAAACCCGACTCAAGTGAAATAAACTGACTTGAAGGAGAATAGACCAGCATATTTGTTCACAAAATCCACTGCAGGGATCTGCTCTTGTACCACATCCCATGATAGTGAAGCTATTCTCCGTAGATAAGCCCTTGAGATAATGCAGAGCGATTGAGTATATTACTTACGATCACTGATCCACATGCCTTGCAACGAGAGGTCTAATAGAGTGGGATTCTCGTAGATATAGTTCGCCAGATCTTCAATAATCTTTTAGATATGCTCTTAGAAAAATAACGACAGACTGACAAGGGACGTATGTTCCTGCGTACTGGTTACAATGAGTATGTTGTCTAGATAGTCTTCCATAAGAACTTACGCTTTCACCCGTCAGATACAATTGCTTGCCTTTCAGTTCCGCAAAGACCTCCAGGAACTGCTGCAAGAAACCGGCGAGTTGAGCAGCAACGTCTTCCTCATTCTGTGCATTGGGAACGCCTTGCGAAAACCCCGTGCCAACAGGTTGCTCAACCCAAAGGACAGAAGAAAGGTTGGTCCAGCTGTATTCATTTACCGTTGGTTTTGCTTGACCCAAGGACCAACTGAAAGGCTTCAAACTGCTCAGTGAAACGTGTCGTAAGATCCAAGGGAAGGGGCTCACTCCATTTTCCTGCAGTAAACCTTCAAGTGAAGAGCATCCAGGGCCTCCATTTGTCCTGGAGAAAGAGCAAGTCACATCAGCGGTGGATTAACGCTGACCATTTTCAATCACACCAAAAAATCAAATCATCAAGACTCCCATCTGGACCGGGAGGGAAAAACCAGAAGAAGAGCTGTGGTTCGAATCAGTAGAGAACACGCACGACTCATGATTGACATACCTGACGCGTCTCATCAGGGCTGTCGCTTATGGGCAACAAGCCTGACCAGCTGGGACCAACATCGAAGTCGACCAGAGGGAGGGATGTACCATCGACATAAAATTCTGCATGAACATATCAGACACTGGCGTTTAGTGCAGAAGCACTTCATCCACCTGAGGCCTTGGGGTTTGTAAAGGTGATGTTTTGGACACCCTTGCGCTCAACGTCCTCAGTTCCTCCCGTCTCCACGGTCCAACTGGTTTGCCAATGTTGGGCTGCTTCAAGCTGGCGCTCCCTCAGCACATCCTTGGTTATCATACGAGCGCTAGCGGCAGTCACTGCTAGCAGAGCGACGGAAAGACGCAACATTATCGAGTAAACCTCTTGAGGTAAGCCTAGTAGCCAGGTGTGACAGGAAAACAGCAGCGACGTCGCCCAGCTTTTGAAGGCATAATGAGACTTTTTATGGTGGACTTAATTGTCAAATCCGTGTGCGTTTTCTGTGACATATTCGTACAAGCATGGGAGGCTCTCGCGGAAGATGTGCACACGAACTCGGATGCGTTCTAACAAATGATGACTATCACTCGTTATATGGCTGGCCTGAGCCCGGGAATGCCTGAATGCGTCAAGTTGCTTTGAATCAGTTGACAAACATAGGTAGGTACCTAAACGTTAACGACTGGTCAGTGGTCAAAAGTTTTGAGCCTGCGAGTGACATGCCGACATGTGACAGGTTGTCATTACGCGACATGAGGCACTTCGCGTCCGAGCGTGAACAAACACGACCAAACCACCACACTTGCATCCAGGCCTGATGGCATGTCTTCTGAAGTCTCTCATATTCATTGATCATAAACTCAGCACATCAGCTGTAGAAACGTATCTTAATGCTCAAGCCATCCGCTGAAAATTCAAATTCAAACATCTACACTCCAGCATGTCGCTTGAACACAACAAATCGGTGTCTAATTGGCCTCACTTTGCCTCGCAGAAGCGCAGGCTGTAAGGTTTAGCCAGCAAAAGGATCTTTCCAGGACGCGAGTCCGAAAAAATCCGATGAATACTCCGTGTAGGCTAGAGACAAAGCGCGAGACCAAGACTATAGGTAGAAACCGAGATGAGCCAGAGACATGTATACGTGTGGATTAAGCCGTAATGTGTGTGTTATGAGGGAGGGAGGGAGGGATTTAAAAATGAAATAAGGATAAAAAAGATTAATCATAGACATAACAGCGAGAGAAAGGAGACGACGTATCAATGACAAGATATAAATACAATTACAAAGAGATGGTCGCGAACGGATCACGACCATCGTGTGCGGACCGACCATGAAAATGAGAGCATGCAGTAGAGTAGGATTCTTGCGAATATACACTCGAAAGGAATCTGACGACCATCTTCCAAGAGCTTGCACTTCCATAGCAGGTACCCCAGCTGCTGCAAGGGAAGTAGCTCCCCCGGCTCGCATGGAATGACCGGCAATAGAAGGAGGAAAAAAGTGTCGTAGTCTTGCGATAAACCATGACCTGGTGGGTACCACACCATTTTCACGCAACCAGAGAGTTGAGTGAAAGGGGAAGAGCCTATCGCGAGATTTTAGATATGCGAGGAAAGCATTGTGTGGATCGGGATGAATGTGGGATTGCTGAATGACAATGGTGCCCCCTTCAAATTGCAGATCAACCTTATGCGTGGGAAGTACGAAGGAGTGTTTAGTTGCATCAGAGGTGCGCAACGATAACTTCCACTGAAGTTGGAGAGAGCTGTTGTCTGGCCATACTAATTCACCTAGACGCAGCAAACCATGAAAACCGTCAAGAAGTAGAGCTACAAAGAGCTTATCATCATGAGACAGATCATGTAAATCATCAACAACATGAGCGAGATCAGCTCGTGTCAATGGCAGCTTTCGATTAACGGGCACGCCGTAGCGACATTTGGCACCACGGAGAGTTTGAGCAACCAGACGTGAACGACGAACTGAGCGTATGTCGGGGAAATACTCTTCCAGTAGACTGCAAATCCCAGAAAGATAATTGTCCACTGAACGAGGGTTTACATGTGTCACCATGAAGGTGACATAAAAAGACAGTGTGTCTGGAGTAGGCTCGATAGGAAAATGATGAAGGTCGCAGAAGGTTAGATAGGAGTTGAGTGCTGAAGTATATGCATGATTAGTAGAACGTTCCAGGGCCATTCCCAAATTGATTGAGCGCTCGTGAGCGAGACGCTCTATAGACCAAGCCTCCCGGACGGGTTGCTTGGTCTTTTGGGGCCTTGGTATCATTTTTTTGTTGCCCCCAGCACATTCCGAGGGGGTTCAAAAGGTAGAATTCGTAGGTCCGGGACGCAATCCAAAGCCTCCCGTCTACGGTTCCGCGATAAATGATCAGCTACAATATTCCTATCTCCAGACACGTGAAAGACTCGACAATCGATAGAAGTGGCGAGTATGAGGTTGACAACGAATCTAAGAAGATGCAATACCCACAGAAAGGGAGTTGAATATGGCCACAGTATCAAGACTGTCCGTAAAGATGGCCAGCCGATGTTCGGAAGGAAGACGAGAGAGAGCATCGTGAATTGCCGAGGCAACGCACAAAGCCTCATGGTCAAAGATATCGGAGGTTTGATGTGACTGAAGGGCACCCTGAAAACCAAGCTTCAAAGAAGGATACCAGAAACCTAAGCCGACGCCTGAAGCATCACAGTATACACGCAGAACATTACGTGCACATGCAACATCAGATAAGTTCCATGACACCGACTTAAGCAGGTAGACTCCATTCGAACGTTCCAGATGTTCTGCTGCCCATAAGACTTCGTTGACAATACTCCGATTGAGCCAAACTAGAGCTTTAGTTTGACTTTTACCTTCCATTTTGCGATACAACACAGCGAGACCAGGTCTCAAAAGCGGAGCCACATTAAGGGCCCAGTTTAGCAATCCCACAATATGCTCACACTCCCGTAATGTTCGTCTATGCCGATGACGGGCAAAGGTCCGGAGTTCAGAGACCAAGCGAGCTTTTGAATCTTGATGAAGCATTACCCTCATTAGTTGAGGATCAACATCAAATCCGATGACCGCCAAAGGAGACCCAAAAATTTGTTTTCGTTCTTCGTGTGGAATTCCTAATTCGTCCCAGAGTTGAAGAAGTTTGACCATGTCAGATGGCAAATCTTTCTGGTACTTTTCATAATAGGAATGATCTTGAAGCTTGGCAAAGGAGAACGAGTCGTCCACATAGATGTAAGCAAGAATGAGGCACACAAAGACTGCAAGCCATATGACTAGAGACATGAAAGCATGGAAGATTCGTTGAGAGGCTCTTCCACCAAAGACATTACATCAGTCAACATGTCGTCTTCCTTCAAAGGAGACGATTTGCTTGACCTGCCATAGAGGATGCATTGACATATGTCGATAAGCTTCGGAGACATCTGCCTTCCAGATTACTAGAGGTCCGTCCCCCTCCAGAGCTCTGAATTGGCAGTAATGCATTCCCCAAATGCTGAACATTATCCAACTGTTACCCCAGCTATATCTTCCTTGGCAATCATTGAGTTAAGCGAGAATTTGCCTGCACTGTGATTCGTGACGAGTCGGAATTTTCCTCCATCCTTCGGGACTGCGTGAATCGGCATGGAATACATTCCAGGAAATAAGGTCGGACCAAAATCCGGGGAATATCGTCCAACACTAAACTTCTTTTGCGATTTGCTCACGAAGAAAGACCCGTTCCTGTTTCAGCAGCTGGAAGAGGAGTGGGTTCTTCCCATGTTGTAGGATAATCTCCATAATGAGTATCGGCCCATGGCCAGAAACCTTCACGGAGCCCCGTGCAAACAGACAGGTAGAAAGAAGGATTAGGATGATTCACGGCCTCCAACATGGATTGGAAAACATCAACATTAATAGGTGTAGAAACTTGAAACAAATCGGGATGAGACGAAATAGTATTGATTGCTTCGACATTAGAGAATTCAGATAGCGGTGGTCTTGGTAAGGGTGCAGCTGTTTCAGTCCAGACTGCAGTAGGGCTAAGAATAGAGGATTTCGAAGACCAGATGAAGTGACGCCGAAAACGCTGACCGGCCGCTATGGACTCATTTACTCCCTTTTGCCAATGGGCATTCGCCCCGTCTGTGGGACCCCCTGCAGCTTCCTCGATCGCAAACATGGAAGTAAAGGCATTCTTTGGCCTCCTTGTCACATTCTCCCCGATTCCACTTATGACATGGTTCTCCCCTTCCTTTCGACTGTTTCTTTCCTCCCCCAAAGTCTTTCCCAGACTTTTCTCCGGAAGGAGCCATTGCTCGGGGTGTCTGAGTATAGGCGACCATACCGAAGGCCGACAAGTGACTGGACTTAAGACCTTCGAAGTGGGAGAAATCGTTGAATCGTAAGAACTTTTGTTGTTCAATAAGGAGTCGGACTGCCCCATCAGTACAACCTCGGGTCTATTTTCGCCAAAGATTTTGAATTTATTTCTATTTTTCCGAGTTTTACCAGGTTTGAGGAACCATTAAGGTGACACGCAAGACACGATGAGAAAATTGAGAAAAATGCCACTCGTCCTCTGAATTCTACTTTGCAGCTCATGAAAGTCACTTATGAGGCATTAACTGACAAAACAAAGTGGTAATAATAGAGAGCAAATGGTATCACATCATCTGGTGGAAAGTGCAAAAAAGTGATGAAAATGGGAACACAAAGTAAAGTACGAAACATTAGCGAAAAGAAGAGTATGAAATGCTAGCGAAAAGAAGGGTAACGGTGCAAAGAGCGTGAAACGAGACTAAAGATGACGAAAGGCATTACGAGTGGTGGTGGGATAAGCAAAACACGATAGTACTATGAACTTGAATCAATGGCGATGATGGAAGCGGACAGCAAGCATGGCGGGAACGAGATCTATCAAATGATGTTAGCTCATGAATAACGCAAAAAAAAACTGATATTACTAGTCACCAAAGCATGGCACGCCTGTCGATGTCCTCTGATTCGTCGTCATCATTGAGGCGAAGGTACTTCTCAAGGCCAGCACTGCCCGATTTCTTGAGTAACTTCCGCGCTGTTGAAACCATGTCCCTCAAAAAAATGTCCCCCTTTTTCTTTACGCTAGACAAGTAAGCTTCGGTTACTGACCCCCAGTTGTTGATGGAAAATGCATGCTCGGTGGTGCTGTAGTTGCCGGTTCACTTGTTGAGGGTCTTCGGTGTGCGCAGCTTGCGCTTCAGTTGTGCAGGATGCATATTGAGGATGTCCACATCAATACCAATGGCACCAGCGCCGAGGCATTTGACAGCACGTTCGAGCTGTCAAATGTGATAAGTCATGATTCTTGTATGGTCAGAATACTTACTGAAGTTGCGCAGAGAGCAAGAACACCAGCCATGCCACTGGCAGCCAATACATCTGTTTTGATGGCGGTGACATGAGCATGTCCAACAATACTGTGAAGATGAGCGGTTGCAAATAACTGTATCATGAAAGGAGACTGGAATGCTTTCATCTTGTCTGAGTAGTCCAAGTCCTCGAAGAGGAACACGAACTCCTCCATAAGCACTTCACTAAGGTCTTTTGGATTAGTGTCTTCGTTCCGAGCGAAGAAGTCGATCATAATTGCGAGTCCTGTTGAACCGAAGTTGCTGCGCCACTCTGCCAGACGCTGAGTAGCCTTATTGAGATCACAATGAGTTAGCAATAGTGCTACAAAAAAATTGCTAGACGCACAACACCAAAGACAGATCCCTGAGCGGTCACCTTGTACTGGAGATCTGGATACACGACATCAAAAATGCATTGAAGCGCTTCAACAAGAGAGGTATCTGCAAACTCCCAGAGATCATTTTGGCTGCCGGCCCACAGGTAAAGGGTCGAGAGAAAATGTTTGGGCCACCGTTGATCCTGACATTGCGGAGGGAGATCACTGTTCCGGTAGGTTGAGCATGACTTATATCGCTTCTCGATCCAGTGACCGGGCAATGGAACAAGCACGGGTTTCATATCGTCATCAACACCTTCTTCAATCTTCACCTTCTTCGCAGGTGGCTTTGCTGTAGCAGCTGCCTCGGAGACAGCGACTGAAGTCTGTTCAAACAAATATGAGTAGCAATAACCATTAATGAAATAGACTTACTGAAGATGTTACCTGCATGGCCTTCTTCGCGACCGCTCCAACAGCAGCTGTAAGCGGAGCCTCAAGTTCCTCATCTGAGGACAATAAGTGAAACAAGACCTTGTGCTTCTTGTTATTCAGATGGTGGGATGATAAATTACTGCCACCGTCACTGTCCTCAGACATCTTCACGTCTTCGTTTGGGTTGAAGTCGTCCTCCAGAACCTCCACGTCATTCTCCACATCATCCTCTGTGTCCATCGGATCATTGTCCTCGAAGTCTGTTGGGCTGTCATCCTCGAAGTCTGCCTCTATGTCTGATTGCGTGGAGGCCTCCACATCCATTGGCACATTGAGATCAGACTGTCCCTTCGAGCCCATTGTCGCATCATCGGTCCTCGTGTTGGTAGTGATCTATATAGTTCACTTTGTATTAGAACCAGTAAGACTACATATGCTCTACGCACCTTAATGAAAGACTTCTTCTCCTTTGTTTTCGAGGCGATTCTTTCAAGGTGTTCCTGGGAATCATCCAAAGTGTCATCGGCAAAGCCGCCAACAAGAACCTCAGTAGCAAGATTGGAAGAGACTTTAGGTTGGCGACTGGGCTTGGTATTTACACCTGATACAGATGTAACCTGGGTGCTGGGTGGCCCATGTGCCAATGAGAAAGGGGAGGCAGCGGTGCGAGACTTGGATGCACTTGAAGCTTTGGACCTCTCATCTGGTGTAACGTCAGATACCCAGCCATTGACACGTCCTACCAATGAAAACTTTAAGTTGGTCGACCTGAATTTTGAGGTTAAATTAACAAAGAATAGTGTTGATTCAGTAAGCATCAACATGGTTTTGATCAAGTCGAAAAGACATACTTCGCCACGGCAGATAACTTTCCTTTCTTGTCTTCGACACGTGGTTCCTGGCTTCTAATTCCTGGTGTTGCGATCAAATCTCGGGCATTGTTGATGGCATCTTTTAGTGAGATCTTGCCACGCTTTTGAGTCTTCGACTTCTCACTGATTTCCTCTTGAACATGACCGCTGTCGTCTCGACCACTTTCATCTAGGTCCTCAACAATGTTAGCCCCATGTAAGTGAGCCTCATTTGATGCTTGTGCACTCACCAGCGTTTCCTGTTGTCAGGAGCTTCTTATCAGGCGCCGTTCGCTTCACAACAGGGTGGGCGCGAGGTTTCACTGGCTTCGGCTTGTTCACGATGGTGAGTTCCTCCGCCTTTTCCATTTCTTTCTGCATGGCTGCAAGCCGTTGCAGCCCCTCAAGTGCGGCCTGCTCTTGAACTTCGCGTGATTCCTTGAGAATCCGGTTGTCCTCTGCTATCTGGGCCTTAGTCCGTCGCTGACGTCCTTTTGCTGGCAGGTCAGGCAAGCCTGGATGCTTGTTTGCGTTCTGTGCGTGAGTGCGTGACTTCTGAGCGGTGTCGGACATTGCTGACGAGGAGCGGATTTGACAGGCTCTATGGCAAGCTTGGGACGGCCAGGGAAATGTAATGAGTGGTCGGTAGAATGGTTGAAGTTGAAAATTGACAACCAATTTGTAAGTTCCGTACTTAAGAGCTAACCAAACAAAGTTCGATCGCTAATTCAATTCACTACTAGCAGGACTCTCTGGTCTGCGCACCTGTAAAGTTGTCCAAACCATCAAGTAAGTCCTGCATTATTCTGTCTTTTCGTGCCATACTTGCTTCAAATGTCTACACTTCCAGCTGGTCACATCAACTAGACACATTCTTCGGCTGGCCTGAGCTCAGTCACTTGAAAATCCACTCAACGAAAATGCAGGTATCGATTTATTTCAGCCGCGCACTCTTATTGACGCAATCTCAAGTGTCTTCACTTTCCGTGATGCCTGCTGATATTCCACACATCCAACCACGCTGACGGGACCATAGCGCACTCCAACTCCCATGTGGAACATGTTCAAGATGGTTCAAAAGCTCTGCTGGGCGAATGAAACACCAAATTTCGGCACATCCTGTGATGCCAGTACCGCCTCAAGACAACCATCGAGAATCTCTGGAACCTGTTCCCCGAACACCAAGCCCACACCCGTCTCGCAATGAAGACAATGAGCACGATGTTGATGCGGATGGTTACCAGGGCGACATGGACGAACATCTGCACCAACAATCCCCCCATGCAGACGTCGACACAGAATTTTTTGGGCGTGGCAATCATCTTTATCGCAATTATCACACAGGTCTTAACGGTACGTCAATTTACTGCCTGATACTCTATCTTTAATGAGCGCTATTACAGGTAGACCATGTGATGTTAATGGTGTATTCCTCCCCCCTGGCGCTCCACCTCCACCTCCTGAGAATCTCGCACCTGATGACTGGACGCCTTTTCGAAACCGCACAGAATTTGAAACGGCCGAGTTCCTTTACAAGCACAATCAAATGCCAGCTGGTCAAATTGACCGGCTACTGGATCTATGGGCATCTACCCTCACGAAGCACAACGACAACCCGCCGTTTGCAGATCACCATGATCTGTACCATGTCATCGACAGTTCGCCCTTTGGGGATGTACCATGGCAACGTTTTATGGTCGCCTATGATGGCGAGAGACTTGCAGATGAGGACAAGCCCTGGATGGACAGCGAATACGAAGTCTGGTTCCGCGACCCACGTGAAGTTGCGCATAATATGCTCACAAATTCGACTTACACTAACGAGATAGATTACTGCCCGTATAGGGAGTATTCAACTGAGGGCAACAAGCGCCAATGGAAGGATTTCATGTCTGGCGACTGGGTGTGGAATCAAGCAGTAAGTAATGCATTTTTTGTTTCGTAATGTCCGATATTAACGGCTCTATGTATCTAGGACGAAATCGCGAAAGACCCAAGCACTCTCGGGTCGACATTTGTCCCTGTCATCCTTGGCAGCGACAAAACGACAGTTTCAGTCGGAACGGGTAACAACGAGTACTACCCGCTCTATGCTTCCATTGGGAACATCCACAATAACGTTCGAAGAGCGCATCGCGATGGTGTGGCCGTCATTGGGTTCCTGGCAATGCCGAAAAGTATGTTTCAACCCTGCAATCTATTTCTATAACTGACTAACTATGATACAGCTACGCAGGAACATGCTGAAGAACCTTCGTTCTGAAGATTTCATCGACAGTTATTCCATTCATCCCTTTCCAAAATTCTCGATCCGCTCAAGCCGGGCATGACGACTCCCGAAGTAACGCATTTTGGAGATGGCCACTACCGGCGTGTCATATATGGACTAGGGCCTTACATAGCGGATTACGAAGAGCAAGTTTTATTAGCGTGCATTGTCCGTAATTGGTGTCCAAAGTACGTCTTTCATTTAATATGTATTTACATGGTCGCTCACATTATTCTAAAGGTGTGTTGCAAATTGCGAAGATCTTGACGAAGATGCGCTGCCCCGTAGCCGCAAATATACAGAGGCACTCATTGAAGAAGCTCCCTCAGGAGATCTTTGGGAAGACTTCGGAATAGTCACGCAACTTGTGGTAAGTCATTCAGCGTTTTTCTCTCGTTTTCATTTACAAAACTAATACTATTTCGACAGCCATTCACAAACGACTTTCCCCGAGCCGATATCCATCAAATGATATCACCAGATATCCTCCATCAACTTATAAAAGGCACCTTCAAGGATCACCTCGTAACATGGGTCGAGAAGTACCTCCGTCAGACACACAACAAATGGAAGGCACAGAAAATTATGGATGATATTGACCGCAGGTGAGCTCAGTTTGTATTCGGATTGCTTACTTTTTCTCATTGCCATAGAATCACTGCTGTCGCCTCGTTTTCAGGCTTGCGACGATTTCCTCAAGGGCGCGGATTCAAACAGTGGACAGGAGATGACTCCAAGGCCTTGATGAAAGTGAGTCGTCATTTTTTTGTATTGTTACTACCTAATATTGAATCCTTTAGGTCTATTTACCTGCTATCGAGGGCCATGTACCTCAAGACATCGTTCGCGCCTTTCGTGCGCTTCTAGATTTTTGTTATCTAGTCCGTCGCAATATCATCACCGAAGACTCTCTACTTCAAATCAAAGACGCACTCTCTCATTTTCACCGTTACCGTGAAATCTTCAGGACAACGGGTGTCATCCTTCACTTCTCCTTACCTCATCAACACTCGCTCATGCACTATGTTCGAAACATTCGACTCTTTGCTGCACCCAACGGTCTCTGCTCGTCAATCACCAAGAACAAGCACATCAAAGCGGTCAAGGAGCCTTGGCGACGATCGAGCCGTTACAATGTGCTTGGTCAGATATTACTGACCAATCAATGGCTCGACAAACTTTCAGCACTGCGAGTCGACTTCATGCGTCGGGGGATGCTCACTGGCACTTGTCTCTCAGCAGTCAATGCCTTAGGTAAGTCGTGCATTCCTTACAAGATATATTTCAACTAATTTGCATAACAGTTCCTGCGCAGATCAACCAAGTTGATGAAGACGGGGGGCAGCAGCACTCGAACCTGCTCAAGCAGCAGCAGCAGCAGATATGGATGCGCCTGCGCCTGCCCCACCCATACCCACCCCACCTCCCTTGATCAACATTGATGTGGACCTCGACATAGACAACGGGCCCACAGTTCTACAAGTGTTCGTAACACTGGCAAAAACCCGCCGTAAGTGTCCTTTTTTCCTGATTTTCAACGTGATACTGAACATACTGTACAGAGGGCAAAAATCGCGCTCAAACCATTCCTGAACTCGCTGATGAACTTAATATTCCTCACCTATCTGACCTTCTCAGACGCTTCTTATTTCAACAGACGCATCCTGATGATCCCCGCGATCCATCCGATATCCCTCTTGCTGAATGTCCCCTCTATCTCAGCAAAATTGCGGTCTTCAACTCAGCATCATCGCGATTTTATGCACCGAGCGATTTGAGTGGTATTGGTGGCATGCGCACTGAACACATCCGCTCTTGTCCCTCCTGGCGAGGTGGGCATTCACGCAACGACTGTGTCTTTGTCAACACAGACTCTAGTCTACCTGGCATGCAAGGTCTCGAAGTCGCACATGTTCGCGCATTTTTTTCATTCCAGTACTGGGGCGAAGTGTATCCCTGCGTTGTGGTTCGCTGGTTCAACAAAATCGGCGATGCTGCAGACAAAGACACGGGAATGTGGATGGTTCGTCCAGGAGAGGGTGCAAACAATACTGCTGAGTACGCAATCATTCATATTGACGCCATTTATCACGCTGCCCATCTTATTCCCGTGTACGGCACGGAATTCCTGCCTCCAGAGCTCAAATTTTATCATTCCTATGATGCATTCCGCGCCTACTATGTCAATAAATACGCTGACCATCACGCCTTTGAGATTGCATTTTGATCTAGCTACTTGTACACAATTTGAATTTATAATACTCTTTTCTCTCTTAATATGCATTTTCTCTCCTTTGTGTGGCAAAACCAATGGACCGCTCCTTTGCGCCTTTGAGAAATTTCGGAAAGATCGAGTTATCACTCCTTGTATTAATTTTTATGCCTTAGCGCCAGCGCCAAGGCAAGAAAAGTGGGATAATGAAGGAAAATCAATCCGAGGTTTTACTGATGTAGCGTCCAGTACAAGAATAGTATAGCCTACCACGATGTTTAGAGGTGGCATTGACGCAACTGAGCATCAGGCAACTGGAAACCAGGTTAGATTGACTGTAATAAAATAAGATTTGATACGTGTTTCTCACCGGTTAAAATTAAACGGGTGAAGAGTTAAATTAGATGGGCTAAGATAGGACCAAGTCACGTACCACTTTGAATTCCGTTTGGAACTTTGTGATGATCAGTGCAAGCAGTGGGCATTCAAACGTTCAACGTTCAATATATCAACTGTGCCGGTATTATTTGAACACCTTAATTTAATTCTTGTTGGGACTTTGTCTCACCTACTATGTATTCGATCGTCTTGACCGAAAGCCAGACCGAAAGCCAGTGGAAATACAGCAAACTCGGCGAACTGAAAGTACTGAAAGTACCGCCAGAGGCTTTCCCCTGGGATGGTTTTCCGACTTCCGAAGGCCGACCCCTTCCAATTTCCTCGGCTCGCCTTCGGCGAGCCTCCCCTTCCCATGACCAATTTTTCGGCATTGGCCCGGGAGTGTCCTTGTTGGATAGGGCCGACGACTCGGACGAGCTCTGCGTAACGTGAATTTTACATTTGAACCTGGGATGTGTTCTTATCATCTGAAGGTAAACATGCAAGTCTAATTAAGCGTCTCTGCTTTTCTAATCTGATTTGTTGACTCCAACTTACATAAATCGCCCTCGATCATCTTTCTGTCGGTGTCCCACTGCTAACGCTTCCGTCTTCCCGCCCGTATTATCTTCCTGTCCGGTGGATGCGCCAGTGCATGCATCTTTCCGCCCTCGCTTGATCATGGTTCCCCAACAAGAAGTCTTGTGTCGCCGTTCCACTTGCGCATTCTGCCGTTCAACGAAGCTCGTGATACGGATGTTGTCACTCGTGCAAGAAGACGAATTTTTTTTTCGATGGTTGATACCTTTCAATTTGTGCTTGGGAGTTCGTCTCTCGGGTTGGGCAGGAGTGGATTTTCGGCATTGCAGGCGGTTTAGAATCAGAATACACGACTTCCTCAATGGTAGGCGTCGTAAGAGTTTTGGAAGACATAATTCGTTACGGTAAGTCATCTGTATATTTTCCTGGCTCTTAGTGGTGAAATAGGATGGGAATAGTTCACTAGTACTCACCGGTTGTTCTGCTGGTCCCTCGCCGATAACCAGTCAACAACAAAGTGAGTGTTGCAAGTATTGCAGGCATGGATGCCACGAGACAGCGCTAGTAATCGTGTTGTTGACTTCCATTTTCATCAAGCTATACCACCGCTACTATAATGTCTACTAGGTTCGTCTTCAACGATGTGCTCAATTACCCAGCTTTTAGGACTTCATACTGGGCGTGCTTCCCTGGGATGTAAGTATTTACTGTTATGCAATGTACTTATGAGCATCAATATCTATCTCAGAGACATAGATTACTCTTCATGGTGCAACCAAGAGTAGCTTCGAATCAATTGTTGCCTTTTCAATGTGTAAGCTTTCCAAGAGCTCAGGCATGTTCCGGCATGTGAGTAACAGTCGAACAATTTTAATTGAACACGAATTCATCATTCAAATTTAATGGCTCGTTGCTCTGAGAGCCTGGTGTTCTGCCAGGTTGTGCTCTCGAAAAGAAGTCTTGCCAATTGCCAGGCGCAACTAATTCGGCCAAACCGGTTGGTAGAACTCGGCTCGGCAATTCTGCCGCAACGCATGTGTGTCAATCACGCTTAAACGTTCAACTCCCAAGTAGATCGTGCCCACGTAGCGCTGCATGAAAAACCCATGACGCCATACATTCCCTGCCATGGCGACCCACCTTGTATACTTATCTGAATGGTCACTTCAGAAATACTCGTTCTAGATACGAACGCTATTTCCCCCTCACAAACTTTTGGCTTATTCGGCCGTAATGCGTCTTCTTGCTGTGTTTGCGACTCTGCTCGCAGTGGCCGCCGCCAGCGGTCGTTTGATGACCATGCAAGAGATTAACGAACGCCGACTCGAGGCAGTAAAACGTTGGCAGACTAGTGGCTCTCAGAACGTAAAGAGCGGTGGTGTTCAGAATATCACATTCACCAACCCCAAGGCCTCAGGTGACTGAAATGCTACAAGTAAATATCTCATACGTCTGATTCATCTTCGTCTAGAATTTTACGTCGAGGGAAAATCCCTTCCTCTTGTTGACTTCGACGTTGGTCCTAGCTGGGCAGGTCTTCTGCCCATCAGCAACAGTCCTAATGAGACGCGTAAGGTGTGTACTTGAGTAATCTATACACGTCCTTTAAGTGTTGACATCAAGGACATCAGCTCTTTTTTTGGTTTTTCCCTCCCGGCCCCCAAGGGAGTCTTGATGATTTGATTTTTTGGTGCGTCATCACTGGAAGCGGTGTGCTCGTCGCTGCTGACATGACATGTTCCACTTGAAGGACGAATGGTGGACCTGGATGCTCCTCCCTCGCAGGTTTGCTGCAAGAGAATGGGGTAAGCCTCTTTGTTGACGACAAGACTCATCTATAACTGAGATGTTTGAAGCCTTTCACTTGGTCCTGGGGTCAGGCAAAACCGACGGTGAACCAACACAGTTGGACCAACCTGTCCTCCGTGCTTTGGGTGGAGCAACCTGTCGGCACGGGATTTTCCCAAGGCATCCCGGACGCTCAGAACGAAGATGACATTGCTGCTCAAGTCGTCGGCTTCATGCAGCAGTTCCTTGAGGTCTTTTCGGAACTCAAAGGTAAAAAGCTATATTTATCGGGTGAAAGTGTAAGTTCTCAGAGAGTCCCGTAAAACATCGTACTGACTTTATTCAGTATGCTGGAACATACGTGCCTTGTGAGTCACCAGTCATCTTCTTTGAACGTAACTCTAAGACAAATGAAGATATCGCAAACTATATCTACGAGAACCCGAGTCGGTTAGACCTCTCGTTGCAAGGGATATGGATCAGTGATCGTACATAACATTTTGACTTCCTCTATGTCTTCTCGAGGGCTTATACTGACGCTCAGCCTTAATCTCATGGTATGTGGTGCAACAACAAATCCCTACAGCGGACTTCGTGAAAAAACACGCAAGTCTCTTCTCTTTTAAGTTTGTCCATTTCACTCGGACCTGGTTCGCAGGTCACTCACTGATTGATATCTAGTCAAACGTACATGGCCCACCTCGACGAGATGGCCGCGACGTGCAATTACACTGGCTACATGGATAAGTACGTCACATACCCTCCAAAAGGTCTTCTTCCCCTACCAGGAGACTCTACCAATTTTGCTCAAGGCTGCGATATCTGGACCGACATTCACAATAATGCGCTGATAATCAACCCCTCTTTCAATATCTATCGCATCTGGGACACTGTGGGTCGAAGAGGATATCAATGAATACCATATTAACTTCTTTTCCTTTCAAGTATTCGCTTCCATGGGATGTCCTAGGTTTTCTGTAAGCTATACAATGATTGATTCAATGAAGCCAAGCTGACGCGGATCCAGAGGCACGCAGTCTTCAATCTACTATAATCTAACAGACGTAAAAGAAGCTATTCATGCGCCCGTGGATACCGAGTGGATTGAATGCACCTTGACCCATGTCTTCCCCAACGAAGACAGCAGCTCACCCCCTGCACTCACTGTATTACCGAGTGTTATCGAGAAGAACCAGCGGACCGTCATCGTGCACGGACTCGCGGACTTCATCATCACCGCTGATGGGTATGACTTTGATTTCGACCTGTATCTTCGTATATTCTGATGCAATGGTTTGATGACTTAGAACCAGAATTGCCATTCAAAAGTCAGTGCGTTCTTGATCGTGACTGTATCACTCAATTGATGGGAACCATTTGTAGCATGACCTGTGTGTGACTAGTGATGATTGATGTACGCCACGATCCATTTATCATATTTCAAGGGAATGGTTTGCAAGGATTCCAGACGCCTATCGCCGATGACAGCTTCATTGTCGATGGCGTGGGTGCCTACGGGTCGATGCACTCAGAGCGGGGACTCACTTATTGCGAAGTAGCCTTGGGTGGACACATGTGAGTGCACTGCAATTCGCAGGGTCTCGTTGCTGATGTTTTCTGTACTAGGCTTCCAGAGTTTGCGCCAGTAGTAAGTCGACAGTGCTGTCATGCAGACGCTGTCTGATGCAAAAACTGATAATTCCAGGCCTCCTTCCAGATTATGCAGTACCTGATGGGGTTTAGAGACACTCCTTAAATAAATATTTACTTCCCATAGTACATAGTATCGCAGACAAAGTTGAGTTGGACGAGTGCCACCGTCTTGCCAGCCCTGAATCACAGTCAACGCGTGGGATTAAGTGTCCGAGCCGTGTTTGCCCCTGATAGTCACCAAAGCTCAAGCACTCACGCTCGTTCTTGTACCACCTTGGTGTCTAACACATCTCAATACCACAGTTTATTATTACTATTTCTGTTTGGATAATGCCTGCCACAAGGACAACATTGCGCTCGACGAAGCGCGCTGGCATCGACAAACACAAGACAATAACCTCAAGGGCTACCATAGTCGTGGAGGAAATGCAGGACCTGGCAGACTGTAAGCGCAGATGACATTCGACTCCACAGCCCATGTCAAACGAATCTCATGAAACTGTCTTCATAGGCAACATTCATTATCCGTTAAGCGAAAATGAACGCAAAACCTTCAAGACGCTCGACGGCAAGGCAAGCAGCACGCATTGAGACTGCCCAAGACTATTCCTTAGTCATGATGATTCTCCCAGCGCGTTACTCCGCATCAATGGGCAGTATACGATTTCACCAGAACGATTCCTTGCGGTCGTGTCACGACGTACAAGGACATCTGCGTCGCTCTTGGGCAAGGTTCGCCGCGATCAGGTGCGCGTCCAAAACGCAATCCCTTTGTCTCCTCTCACAATCTTGTTTCCTAGTTGGCTCTGCGCTTCGAAATAACCCGTTTGCACCATTTGTGCCTTGCCATCGCATCATCGCATCAAATATGTACATTGGTGGATTCTTTGGTGAATGGGGCACTGGCGCAAACGCAAGGGGTGGGCAGAAGAACACTGGGTTACAGTGCAATAGAAAGATGGAGATGCTTGCAAAAGAGGGGGTTACGTTTTCCGTGGAAGGGTATCTTACAGATGATTCTCAGCTTTGGATTGGGAGAGGTTGAAATGGCTTCCTTGGCAGTTATGTATGATGCCACCGGAGTAAGCTACTGTTGGGTATCACCAGTTCACCATCAATGTCCATCAAAACGATATAACCAAATGATTGGCTGTAGAGGCCTGTGTTTCTGAGATGCATTACTTATATCATCTCCTTTACTTAATCCTGGTCTGCGTGTTGGATTCAATCTAGGACGAAAGACTCGACCACATCATTTCGCAGCGCCCTCGACTGAGTGTATGCTGAATAACACAACAGGTATTCATTCTAAAGCTCAACTTAGGATGACCGCAATTATACAAGGCTGGAAGCAAGCCGTTACGGTGCTTATGAGTTTATGAGAGGCTAAACATCTACTTAAGTTTGTCCTTACTTGCTTGTTCGGTTCCTTGTTCTCTAACGTCGTGGTCGAGAAGTTCTTTCAGTATCCAAGTTTTTGTTGTTTTTGTTTGAGTCGCACTCCAATTCTGAGACGTCTGATAATTTTCGACTGAGAAACCTCGTTCGTAAACTCCAGCAATTTATGCACCTCTTACTCGTTAGTCTAGCAAGCACTATATACTACCCTGTATCTGTCACTTTTTCCTGATGGCCCAATATCAGCTTAGATCTTGCAACACAACAGAAAAAAAATGTCTGAATGAAAATGAAATGTACAGATTCCATTGAATCATCATGCATTCGAATGCGAACGCGTCTGAAGTTCAATATTTGTCAATTGAGAGCGTGATGTAGTTCCAGGCTCAGGGGAGTCGCAAACAGTGTTGCAAAACTGTAGGTGCATCCGAGTAACGAGGACCGTATGCATGACGATTTGAAATGTTGCAAACATATTTGAGGAGTTGAACTGCATAAAAAAGTATCAGAACACCCAGCCGATATCGAGTTGGATTCGGTTTTCCATTCAATGGCTAGAAGATTGAGCATAGATAGTGCTAGGATTGAAAGATTAATTCCATTTTGACAGTCATGAAGATACTACTTGCTTAGCCCAGTTCCGAAGTAAAAAATGTTGTGTTGTAGGAGGATATCGAGCAGCAGACACCTTCTTTCGCGGTATGCCCAATATACACGAATCATGGTGAGTACCATGACCTCTGAGGCAAAAAGTGAGCACTCGACTACATTTATAGCTTCGTGATCTCACCAAGCTCGAATGCTGCCAGAAGTGACCAATTATATGCAACCTCGTGGGCCAGTGAGTAACAACCACCACTTATGTCTGATAGTTGGTCTGTGGTCGACCTACACTGAGCGATTTACATGCAGCTCTTCTTCAAGACACTCACGTCCCGACTGGTTCCAAACCTTCAGTGCTATTACTACGTTCAGGATCGCCAGGCACTGAAGTGAGGTATGTCAGAGTACAGAATGTGAGAACCCAACTGTATACACACGAATACCGTTGACAACATAAGGCCCAGAATGGATTTCTTTTGTCCCCATAATGCATAGGTCCGAAGGATGAAGATACCTGGAGATCCTGTGAGTATTCTGCACGAATACACTATAAACATTGTGATACCTTCTGCACCAGCCATGCACAATGCAGCAGCACCTGAGGGACGAACTTGAAGTGGGACTAGCAAATTCGATTGTTACAATACTTACAATACCACATTGACTGTAGAATTTTGCAAGTCTACATCGGCGAATCCTCAGGATGGCAGGTGACATTGTTTCCGACTAATGCTCACCACAAAATCTCCACTCGGGAGATAGTTCACTTCAGTATCCTGATTAGCTGCAAGTTGACGATAGAGCATGCGATTTGGACTCACTGCATAATTGTACAGAGAACATCAAGGCTGGCATGTATCTCGTCATGATATAAAGAATACTTCCTTTCCTCCACCGTGGCCAATGAATCAAAGATACCTATACACAACAATCAGCCTGTCGATCGACATGCTACCATATCTCGCAAAGATGAAATCACCTCCTGGTCCAAGGTCAGGAAACAATCGTAGACCTGTGACGAGATGTTTATGAATGACCACTAGACAAATGGCAAGAGCGCGCACCCAAGAAGCCACTAGTGATGCTAGTGCGAACCCCGTCAGCTATGAGATATTATTATGGTCTAAATGATAGCACCGAAAAAATACTGTCAGTGCCAAAATTATAGATATGAGTGAAACGAAGATGTCAACAAATATCAGTCACTTACATTCTGGGACTGGAGGATGGTTGAGAGATGAATGAAGGTTTGTGAATCCATGTTTAAGAGAGAGTCGGATTCTCGGAGGCGCTAGTAGTATCGAGCACGGCGCCGGGCCTTGTAGGCAGAATATATTATATATAACAATTCCAATCAGGGTCAAGCGTGACTCATCAGGCCTTCAGCAACAGCACCATGATAAAGTAACATGCCAATGAAGGGTCGACCGGTCAAAGATCTTTGACTGCTTCAAGGCACCTCAGCACGATAGAATGCAGAGTATCAAACGTACCACGGACCTTATAAGTACTCAGGGCCTAGCACCCCGCGTAATGATACCGTAAATCCCAAATCCTGCAGGCCGATTTCCTACCACTCCACGTAATATGTCTACGATTGCTAATAGGCAGAAAGTTCAATTCAACGGCATGCTCACCTGACATTGAAAAAAATACAGGCATTTGCAGAGCACCTAGAAATGATGTTTCTTACAAGTAAAATAAAGGATGACTTCTGGACGGGAGGGAGCATTAGATGATGAATGCGAAGGCAGGGGAATGGAGCCCTGATCTTGTAGTGAAGAAGACGAAGGAATAGACCCCGTGTCTGTAGTACCTGTGTCTGAGCCTGAGCCTGAGCCTGTGAGTGTTGTTTCCAAAGCTGGGACTTCAGTTTACTGATAAGCTCCTCGGTCCACACGCCCAACAAGAAACAGACTTGCGCCGTCACATTGATACTATTGACAAGGTCTCAAGGCTGTCATCATGAACATAAATGGTACATCGCGAATACATTTTCTAGCTGCCACGATATAGTTGACCGGTGTCGCCGGCGGATCGAGGCGAGTTCGCATGCATAGACATGCAGTTGAGAAAAAAAAGCTGATCAAACCCCACACCGCAAAACTGCACAAGAGAGCTAAGGAAATCGACTTCTCACTGCGTTAGCGATGGAGGGCTTCGTCAAACAAAAACCACATACGGATTGATCCGATTACCTCCGGACTCCGGGTCCCCACTGTGTCCCTGCGACTATTTCTTATGTAAGTAAAGTCCTAGTGGTTGAATTCATGCATACCTTTAACATCTGTTTTCAGTCTTCAGATGATGTCACCGTGATTAGCGATGACTCTACATGGGGTTTCCTTCCCGAAAACTATCATTCCACATCCGTTCCTGATATGCCCGCGTCTGTCGTTATGAAAGCGGCTTGCCGCAGTGCCGCTAGAACTACGTTAGTTCAGACGAACGACGTGCGCAGTGTACAGAATAGGTTCGTCGAGGAGGGGTTTCCGGTGGATGCTGTTTGTGTCCGTTCCCCGTCTAATTCGCACTGCAGCTGACTCTGGACACACCAGGTGGTGTATGATTTAGAAGTGAAACCAATAATGCGGAAATCTAAACCATTTCATGCCCTGGATCTCATCAGGCCCCGCAGAATCATGTCTCAAAGACACATCTTTGCCTGATCGTTCAAGGTGAATTTGTTCACGCTGGGATATCAAATACCATGCACTTGCGACTTTTTGTCGGATCCAAGATGCTGCACTGCTCACTAATTGTATGACGCGAGTCAGAAAAGCAAACAAGATAAGTATTCAGGAATAAATATGTTAAATTCTGGATTTAAGGGCTTTTTGCCAGTCGTTGTTGATATATTGCGCTCCCTCCTGGAGCTTCCGGTTTGTCCAAGTCCAGCAGACTAGTTATTTAGTAGCCTCGGCCACCCTGGAGAGCAACCAGATTAACAATGCATGACAGAATGATGTTCAAGAGAAAACTCACTCCGCGTAAGGGTCTCCCGCTGTTTCCTTGCGTACTTCCCTGTGCATGCCCCGCGATATCGTTTCCACGCCCTCGTCCTCGCCCTCGACCATTGAGCCCGCGCCCTCGACCATTGCCTGTCAACATCGATGTCGACTGGTTCGAGGAGCAATGGTTCAAAGACTGCGTGTGCATCGGAGGACCTTGTCAATACGCAACGATTAGCAACGAAAAAGCAGCTATAAACAAAAAAAATACGCACGGAGTGGTACAGGCGGAGGCGAGCGTTGGGTTCCCCATTCAGGCGGAGAATAAGGCCGTGGAGAGTGGGAACCACCAGGATGAGGTTGTGTTGGCGGAATTTGGCGTTGGCAACAATCTTGCACGAGTGAATTTGGTACGAGGTGGGGATGTGCTGGCCTGTTCGTTGCTATGGAAGGTGCACCAGAATTTGAAGTTGTGCGCGAATGTTCGACACGGGGAAGAGAGGCGGGATCGCGCGGGTGCACGTTGGAACCGGGCTCATGGTATCCAGGTCCACCTACACGGAAAGGCTCCCTCTGCGGTATGAGTGAGGGGAGGGAATCGAGGGGTGAAACATGGAGATGACTCGGAAGATTGTGTTGTTGAACAGGGTGTTGCGGCCATGATGAGACGGGTGTCGCTGAAGCCGGGAGCGGAGAGATAGGTGCGGCGCTTGGGCTCACCTCCACGGAAGGCATTTGGATGACTGAAGGACTGATAGAGGAAACCCCTGACGCATGCTGCGGAAGGTGTGACAATGTTTGTCGAGTGAGATCGCCAGCCAGATAGGCCACAGCAGTGGATGTTGGGACAGGGGAAGAAACCTGAGACGATGGCCTGGCAATGATATACGAAGAGCTTGATTGCTGATAGGACTGTTGGGTACGCTTATCCAAGCCGGGCGGACATTCAGGCCTGGTTGACATCGGAGGAGGTGGCGGTGGCAAAGTTGAGAGTGATGAACGATTGAGGACAGGATTGGTGGCCTCAGGAGGGACTAGTCCAGTATTCTGTACACTGCTTGTTTGAGGACTCTGCATCTCATCTTCCAGCATATACGGCGGAGGTGCCTCGTCTACCACTGCACCTTCCTCTTGTGCAGCCCAATCATGGTATGCTCTTTGAGCCTCGTTCAATTGCTCCGTGTCTTCCTTTGCAGGTGTCGTTTCCTCATATCTGGGACGAGTGGCCCAATAATCCTGTAACTCCTTGACGGGAAATGACTCGTGTAACATATGGTCACCGTGTAGGGATTCAGCAGCGAAACCAGCTATGCGCATATACCAGTCTGACGGAAGCGAGTGGCCATCGGCGTCGAGCGCTAGAAAATTGAATTGTGGATGAACCGGGAGTTGCTTTGAAGAAGAGACTACGGGCATGAATGCTGTGCCTTCATCATATTCGTCCCACATGGCACCGTAGATGATGCGCACCCCTGCGTGTCGGGCGGCGTGGATTTGTTTCCAGAGAAAGTGGCCCCCGTTGCGCTTTATTCCATTGAGTCCCCATTGCCCGCGAGAGAGATTGTAGCCCTGTAGAACAGAAATGATGAAGATAACGATAATAGAACGTGTCACTGGACCTACGCTGCCTCCAGGGAGCACTACGGGTATATAATCCACTCTTTTCCCCCCTTCGTCTCCTCTTCGCTTCAGAAAATCAAAGTCCTGCTTGACTTTCTCATCCCCCCAGCGTTCCGCTTCCTCTTCGTTCCCGTAACGCCCTATGGTCCAGGGACTTAGTGCGTCAAATTCTTCTGTCCAAACACGCAAGAATTCGGGGTCTGGGTCACTATCAGATGTTGATGTGCGCCAATGTCCAGGTACGCCGGCCATAAGATAAGCACCACCTGGTGTGGAGGAACGAAAGAAATTGACAATAGATCTGACAACCTGTGGAGAGTGGCTTCTGTGATTGAATCCAAAACCTGGGCTACAGATGAGCCAAACGAGCATAATCATACTTTATGCGAGCATACCCCACAGAGCGATGACCGGCTTGCCTTTCTCCCGAAGGTAATTTGGGCTGTCTAAGACATACTTGTCACGTATCAGATGCGTCCAATCTTGCTCGAGAACCCGTTGGATCTTGTCTGGGTGAACACCCGAGACATCATACCTAAAAATGCGCAGTCAATACCGACCAGACTGAGTTGATAAGTATGCGCACATTATGGCAAAGACCCTTCCCTCTGCTTCAGCAGCCTCTCTGACACGATCGCCTACCTCATCTCTGATCTTCCTGACTGCTGCGGACCCTGCCTCCACATCACATTGGCTTGCGAATCGTTGCAAAAACGCGCCATCGACGCCATGTAACGCCATCCAGTGAAAGTGGCGCCTCACCGTCTTTGAGTTTCGCGAAGAGAAGAGAAATACGGGTTCTCCATCTGCATTTTGGAGACCTGGAGCGGGAAACAGCTCGGATGGGGAGTATTCGGATACATCTGGCCATAGGTCTGTATTGGGGCGTCCACCACCTGAGATCGGTTTATCGAACCAGTGCAGCCATCCATGGTGGTTAGGATCCATGGGTTCGCCGTCTCCATTGCATGTGAACCTGCAAAAGTAGTGTTCAACGCAACACTCTATCATCCATCCGCAAGTTTAGCTACAGAAGCACTTATTGGCCCTTGTACTTGCATCTCAGTGATAATTGACTATTGAACGTACCATCCTTGATATCCGACTAGAAATTTATCTTGTATTGTCTTTGGATTTGCTCTGTGGTGAGGGGGTAATAAGTAACATCGCTATTGTTCGAGTGAATCAGCGGGGATAGTAAGGTTCAGCCTACCTCTTGAGGATTCGTCCTTCTAGCTCTTGCCCTGACATGGTAAGGAAAAAAGATCACTGAGTAGTACTAAGAACTGCGGATGGGTACTACTGCTTTATATATGTAAATGCTACAAGTAGACTATTCGGAAGATGGTTATCCTTTCCTGTACATCCTGTTGTATACACCGCAGTGTCTGTTGTTCGGTACTCAAATGCGGTGGCACAGCACAAAAACCAATAATACACGCGCCTCACCCACGACCTTTCCAGTCCACCTCCAGTCAAATGTCGGAGCTTATTTCAAGTACCACACGCTTGCTAGAATTTAAAGGTCATGAAGAAAAAGTAAAAGCAGTCGCAGTTTTCCCCGATGGGCGACGAATGGTTACGGGCTCGTACGACAAGACCCTTCGGTTGTGGGACTTGAACACAGGTGTCATGTTGAAGAAGATGGAGGGGCATCGCAAGGCGGTGTTGACAACAGCGTTATCACGAGATGGACAATTAATCGCAAGCGGTGATGACGAAGGAGTGCTCATCGCTTGGAACGGAGAAACTGGTGAATACCTTACCCAACCCATGAAAGCCCACCCCCGTCCACTCAGCTCTTTGGACTTTTCTCCCGATGGATCAATACTGGCAAGTGGTTCATGGGACTTTACGACGAAGTTCTGGAGCACAAAAACCTGGGAGCAGCAAGGAAGTGCAATCGAGGTCGATGGTAGTTATATCCACTGCATTCGCTATTCGCCGTCTGGTGAACTTCTTGCCATCGCAACATCGGACAAGATCACAATTTATAATTCAAGCACGAGGGAACGTGTCACATCCTTCAAGGCTCACAGGAAATGGAACTACTTACTCACGTGGACGCCCGATGGCACGCGCCTTCTTTCAGGAGGCCTTGATGCCACCGTACGTGAGTGGGATGCATTGACCTGGGAGGAAGTCGGCTATCCGGGCTGGACGGGCTTTACATACGACATAGGCATCAATGCTGCCCTCGCCGTTGATCCTGCTGGCACACTCGTTGCTTCCGGCGCAAACTCCGCCCTTCATCTCTGGCGGCTCTCAGATCGACAAACCGTTGCCATTTTCCAAGAATCAGCAGCATGTGTTGCTTTCTCCTTGGACGGTGAACACATCCTCAGTGGAAATCATTACGACGGCACGATCTCAAAATGGGCAATAGTACCCAAAAACACTTTGCAGGATGGTGCTTCTTACATCAATGGGACTATTTGTTTATTTGTTATTTCTCTCTCACTTTTTATTACTCTTCCATTAATGCGCTACTCTCCCATTAATATCGTGCCGCTTCGACGCCATCTCATCTTGCGCAAGGGCGCTTTTCTAAAGAATTCTCCAGACAATATTAAGTTGACAAGCGATGTAAGTTGGCGTTGACTTCCCTCTTCATCTTTTCCACATTAACGCCTAATTTTAGACCAAGTCTCAAGTCTCTGATTCCAAGGCATGTTTCCATCCTTGACTCTCTGATAACGCAAATCGAGCATGCTTCATGCCAGATCCTCTCCATTAACCCGAGCGCCCGTAATGCATGCATCGCGGGGGATCTGTCTACCGCTGAACGGCTATTTACGCGAGATATCAACACTGATCCCAACAATTACGCCTCGTATGCCAACCGCTCACTCGTTATGGCACGAAAACACGCCTGGGACCACGCTCTTCAGGATGCAATCAAGGTGGGACGGATTCACGATGACCCCCTTATAAAAGCCGACTTTCTACTGTAACATAGTCCATTAGCATTCAGCCTTCATTGATAGGCTATATCTGCAAGGGCATCACCCTGTACGGAAAAGGCCACGTCCTGGACGCGAGAACAGCATTTGACCTTGCATCGACGTTCGCGAACGAAGATTCAAAGATTATGCTTCTCTTGATCAAGGCAACATTCGATTTTCTCTCATGTAATTTGTATTTCAACTCGTGGTTTTCAGGCCATCGCTATTTTCAATGCGGACCGACACGAGCAATCAATCATATTTGTACAAGAGCTTGCTGCAGTGTGTCCGAATCACGACTCTCTTGCATGTCGCGTCGTGGAAGTGAGTATCATCAGGTCCTCGATCAACCTCTCGTTCGTGCGTCGATGCTAATCTGGCTGGATTTCCCACATCAGGCATATCTGCATGTTCAACTCGGTATCAATGCTATGAATGACGCCCGTTACAATCACGCTGCTGACCACTTCACTGCTGCTGTCAAATCCAGCGCTCTCTCATCTACATCGAATATTCACCATGTATGCGAGGACTTTGTGGTGGTATGTTGATACGATCCGTCCGAACATGCTTGTCATGTCTAAGTCTGTGCGTTGCGCAGCTCTTTGGATGAGACCTGAAATCCTTGTGGCAAAATGCACATCAGAAACGATCCGTTTCCCTCCGTCAAGCAGGCAGGTTTGCCGAGGCCCTGAATTCATACCGAGACATGATGGATAAGATTGACAAGAATATAAAGGCCAGCTGCCTTGACTGGTCCAAGGGCAAGTCCGAAGTTCATAATAGCATGCATGTTACAATGCTCACCCGCATCTCACCCAGCTTTCAAGGAAGAATGCAGCACACTCTGCCTCGACGACGCACATGCTGCCTTGGCTGCAGGCAATCATGACAGCGCTATTGACCTATACTCGGCGGTGATCAACCTAAATTCCGCATCCCATATTATCTTTGCAAATCGTAGTGAGGCAAAGTTGGGGAAAATGCTATGGATGGAAGCACTTCTCGATGCGCAGAAGGTGCGACGACTACTCAGGATGTTGTGTAGCCAAATACTGACTTTGGTATACGAAGGTCATCGAACTCGATCCTTCATCTCATGTTGGATACAAGTTGAAACTGGCAGCGCTTCATGGCGCAAAACGCTACGATGAAGCTGTTGCGGCCTTCCGCATGATGTTCGCCAAACTGGAAAGTGGTCAGGACGTGGAAATGCAAAGTATGCCCTCGGTGGTGCAATTGTTCGGATGCTCAACCCTCCCTCAGATCTTCGAAAGCAGTATGCTAATCCCTCTGAATCAGAAGGTGTTATTCGAAGGGCCATCGACCAACAACTCGATACTGCCCCGCTTCGGCTACTCAACACTGCCACCGGGCTCTTATGTGATCGTGAAGCGCAGATAAACGCCTTCAAAATGAGCGCCGAATACAACGAGCTTTGGCTATTATGGTCTATGAAACACGCAAACCTTCGAATGGAACACATCACGGAAGCGGTGGCGACTTACTTCCGTTGTGTTATGTTATCCCATAGATGGGAAGGGAAAGAGCCGCTGCTGCACGACATCCAGGGCAAGATTGTGTACAAGCTGAATTTGCCTAGTGGCATCATAAAGTTGCGAAGGTTCTGCGAAATTGTTCGTGATGCGGGTTACCGCTGGGCATGGAGCGATACATGCTGCATCGATAAGAGTAGTAACGTCGAGCTGCAACAATCGCTCAACTCCATGTTCGACTGGTACCAACACTCAGCGCTTACGATTGTCTATCTTTCGGATGTTCTGCCTTCATCCAAGCCTGGCGCTCTAGGGATGAGCGAGTGGAACAGACGAGGATGGACCTTTCAAGAATTCCTTGCTTCCAAAGTCGTTATCTTCTATCAGAAGGATTGGACCCCGTATCTCAATGATCGCTCTCCAAACCATAAAAAGTCAACTGCGATAATGGAGGAGTTGGAGGTCGCGACTGGCATTGATCGACAGGCCCTCATCGACTTCTCCCCAGGGATGAGCGGTGCACGAGAGAGACTTCAATGGGCGTCAAATCGTGTTACGACGGTTCAGGAAGACATCGCATACTCGTTGTTTGGCGTTTTCGACGTCCGTTTGCCTGTGGATTATGGCGAGAAGAAGGCAAACGCGCTCGGGCGTCTCCTGCAGGAGATTGTTGCTCGGTCGGGCGACATCACTACCCTCGATTGGGTGGGACAATCATCTGAGTTCAATAGTTGTCTTCCTGCAGACATTACCTCATATGCCGCCCCACCATGCACCCTGCCATCTTTGTCTGAAGATGAGATACAGACAAAGGTATCTTCGCTGCAAAAAAATACTGTGGCTGTGGATTTAGCATCGAAACTCTATGCCCTGCTGCAGAGCATGAGCGCTCCTCGCTTCGCAAACCGCAGACTGCACCTGCCTTGCATTTCATTTCGTGTCACGGAGATCAGACAGAGGCGTGGTCCAGCCCAGGCGACTCATTTCATATACGGAGTCAAAGCAGATGGGCTTCAAGACTTGCTGATCACCACAGGCGAGACGCTAATTCAGTTCTCGCGGGCAAGGCCTACTCGACAAACATTCTTCCTTGTCCGTCCATGGGATCGCTGTCTCCTCGAGCAGCTTGACTTTGCAGACGATGTGGGCAGCGTCGGGGATTTGTCCGAGCGCGGATCTCAGTCAGACGGCTCTGAGGAGTTCCCCGATGGTCCGCCTGTAGAAGAGGAGCGCCATTCACGAGCGTTGCGAATGATGGTTCACCTCTGTCGGCCTTTTGGCGCATTTTTGATAGCGCAGCAGCGTGTGGGAGAATACAAGAGAATCGCGTCGGACTATAATATCATTGCGCAAGTCAAAGACATAGCTTCCATTGACAACATGGACATCAGTTCCGTAGAAATACTATAGCTGTATTCAAAGACCAGGCGTCTTCGAGAGGCACTCATCTGAGCCTGATTTATGGTGGTGCATATATATGATAGCCGTGTGGATGTTTGGCGGACCAAGTAGAATTAGTGGGAGAGGATGTCGGGTAATACTGGATAAGTACACGGCGAGAGGAACGTCACTAAATGGGAAAGGTAGACTTAGAGACACAAATTCGGGTGAGAAGGCCAAAGCCTAAGTGAGGTATTTCACCACGAAAGCTTCGCTTTCGTGGTGTCACTGGTGTGGTAGGGAAGGTCGGGCTTTTCCGGACCACGTCTGCAGTCTGAATCAAAACGTTCTGAGTTCGGCGTTTGGAGTTGAAAAAGCGAAAAGGTGGGACGCAGGGGACAGACGGTCACAGACCTCTGAGCGCGGGATCGGACCATGAAGAAACAATACCAAACCACAAGCACGCTGGTAAGATTAAGAGAGGTGGGTGGGTGACTAAAATCGTGGTTGAGGGAACGATGCAAAGAGAATAATCTTGAGGTCGCACGAAAACGCGAAGATCTATGCAAGTGTCAGATATGAAAAACGAGCACGGTTAAAACGACTTGATTGTCCCGTGTGCCTGCATGTTTGGCGCTGTTAAGATCAGAAGGTTTGCATCATGTGACCGACGCGTCCAATGCCTTGGACGCGTCGAGCAATTTCAAGCTTATTCGCTGAGTACATATATCCAAATGACTCCGCGTCCATCGATATGTTATTCGGAACTTTGATAAGTCACCCCAAAATGCTGACTGCTATGCCATATAACTCTCAGAGAAGAAATCAGTAGAAATTTTAATCGGCTCCGGCTGTATGTGCTTCCCAACTTCGTGCGATACTGAGTTGTGTCATATAGATCTCTCATAAGCCTGAGTGTCCAGCATAACTTTGATGTGGCACCTTACACCCTACCCCTTTCCATACTTGGAAAATTCATCCCTGTGTCAGCCGCTGTGCCGGGCATATATATACTCCCTCATTCCCGCTTCACTCATTCATCCGCTCTTTCATACACTCTTTCATCTTCAAAGCTTCTTCCTCTGTGCGAGTTCGTCATATTGTAGTCTTGGTCGTTCAAGCTTTCAAGCAAGGTATGTGGCGTGCGACTCCGACTCCGACTTGGCAAAGTTGGCATACTACCGTACATCCCTTCCACCACTAGCACACCTAAAATTTTACCCGCCAGACACTGTATGGTACGTTTCTTCCTCATAGTGTATGCATATGTGCCAGGTCACTAACATTCACCTAATCGTGCTCAGGTCCAACCGCAAGCTTCGACCACAACCCAAATGTATGTCTGTTTCTTGCCACACTCTTGTCCGCATACTAATCGACTGCTACCGTTCAGGAGTTGGGGGCAAGCCCCAACTGTGCATCAAGATTTACGATTCAAGGACATGAAGAGAGAACATACTACAGCTGCTGCCCTTCACAGACGTCGCGGACGGCACAGTGGACAGGACCTGGGTCGTTCTGATCCTCTTCAAGCGCGTTTGCTAGCCACATTCGTCGGGGCTCTCGGATGTCTGACTTCTCTCCACCCTGTGCCTCCTCAGCATCTCCCCGGTCGGTTGTGCTGGCCCGCACCATGGTCTAGGCACCCCGGTCCTCGTCAACTCTCGCGGCTCGTAAGTCCGAGAGCGAGATGAGAGGGTACGTTCTACTTTGATCTTCTAGCCCGCCGCTGACATCATGCCCTCTTTTAGGACATCGGTGGTCGCTGTCATCCAGGTCGGGACCTAGTGGTGGCTCGGGACGTGGAACGTTGGCCCTGTTCTGCAGGTGTTGCTAGCGTTCCATCCCATTCGTTCCTCAGTGCCCGCTGGGTCCGGGGTGGCATCGTCACAAATCAGTCTGCTTCCTCGGTGCCAAGAGCCGAGGTCGTCAGCACGAGTAAGTCCACCCCGGTTTAACAAAACAAACTTGATACATTGACAAAAACACATTCTGGACAAGAGGAGAAAGGACTATCGCGGCCCAGGTTATGGGGAAAGGTGAGTAATTCCATTTCCTCACAATCATGGTTGTCCTCGAGAGTGGTAGCATCAGCTCGAGACGCCATGTGTTGTTGTTGAACTAGCTCGTAATTCAATGACATCGTATGGAGTCTCGATCTGACGCGTGACAGTGTATTCCTCTGGTTTTCACAGCAGGACTGAAGTATTCAATAGATACGTGTTCACCAAATCAGTGAGGTACAATTGTCGTTTGTTGATCGTCGTTTTTGCTTGTTTTCATTATGGATATTGAAACCGGACACAAGGTCCGACTGTTTGATCACATTTCACATGTGCACACTTCACATCGAACGACCTAGATCCGTGATCATTCCGCCGGAATCTAGAACTCGAGTTCGTTGTTGCAGGTACGTAGTAGCGGCAGCAGTATATCGATGGAGTATCTTTCATTTGAATCTGAAGTTCGCCCAGTGGACGTGACTACGAGCCAGTCGAATTCTGGCCAGAAATCCTGGATCGTTCAATGCATGGCCTGTCTTCCTCGTCCATCCCACAACTTCCCTTCCGTCTGTGGTGGGAGTTGCTGCCTTCAATCTGACGGCGTATACCATCCAGTCTACCAGTTGCAGAGGCTATGGATCGTGTCCTGAATGAGGAGGTCGATGTCATCATCGGTCCGCATATATGCGCGTTTCTTGCCAACTTGAAGCCACCCCATACCCGTTGGTCAGACTGTCGCAATGGCTCTATGTGGTAATATTACTCGTGGGCGTGGCTTCCCTTAAGTCCGCTCCCCAACAATACGTGGTGGGGAGATATCGACTTATGAGTAGTTTTCCTATCACTTCGATGTCTCTTCCAGCAATATCCGCTGCACGGACATGCGTTGAACATTTCAGCCGTAAAATATGCCAGTTTTTCATCAAACTTTAGCACGGTCAAGAGAAATGAGAGTGGGCTTGGTTCGGCATCGGCCAAGGTATGGCACCTTGTGCGGTGACTACGCGTACGTCCATCACATCTCGCAGAAATAGCTCGAATGACTTGTATAAAACTTGCGTCTCCATGATAACCTGAGACCCGGAAATACACAATCGCCGAGGACGATGATTCTACCGCCATGGAGTGGCTGACTTGGAGGATCAATGTAACTTTACTGCCACGGGCGAGTATTAATATTAGCAACGTTGTCCGGGAAGTTGTCAAAGTAAATTGACACTCGCCGAACACCTTGTGATGGCATTTCCGGTATGAGGAGATAGAACTCTAGCAAGAGTCTACATGCTTATAAGGGGGATAATACTCTATCGAAAGTCACTCCTGCAGGTCGCTAAGAGTCGGACGCAAATACTTTGCTGTACTTCATGATACAGCCTTTCTTTTTATATACAAAAGACTTAGGGTCTCATTTGATGTATTCAACCGCTTCGAGCAGCGGAGGCATCCGGCTGATTGAATGTTCCAGGTGTTCGAAGTACGAATTACATCATCGTGGAGCTAGAATATTACCTCTGGTTTTCGTCGGGCGTAACAGAAAACGATAGTGTTATCGCCTCTTACCACAAATAGAAATAGGAGAAGATTCCTGGATGTAGAGTCACGTCCCGCCTTTGAAGTGGTGGCCTAGTCTGTACACGATCCTAGAAGGTAGACAGCGAAGTTCCGCCGCGGACAATGTATAGATAGGATCATATAGATATGGAAGTCCTTGACTAGGCTTCGTTGCAGAAATCGAGACTGGTTCTTCTAGAGCATCCCCTATTTGAGCACCAATCGAACAGCCTGGCCACTGGGCTGTTTCGCCTCATGGAAGTCTATGGGAAAACGCGGCGTGAGATGAAGCATGGGCTTTTATTTCAAAATCACACTTCACCGAGGCTGACTACGTCAAAAGTTTTTCCGCAGTAAAATGAACGCGTTCACCCGATAAGACGCTGGCCGTTTCATTCAAATGGCACTCATTCGAACTTCCAAGGGGCTAATCAATATGTTCGTCCGTGTCTTTTTGTTTTCTATCATCTTGCTCCTCGTTTTGCAAGCCAGTGTTAATGCGTCGAATGATTCGACTAACTGTGGTTCAGGCACGGTTCGCTGCTGCCAGGAGGTGAGAGAAATTAATAAATTGCGGGATACATTTGTGCTTACCTGCATTGTAAAGGATCCATCTCAACCGGGCAACGTAAACGATGAGGAGTGTCAAAGCTACTCAGAAACTTGTGCAAGTGGCTACCTAGCAGCTTGCTGCTACGTCGTTCCCGACTTGGTAAGTGCTGCAGTTCAATTCAACAGCGCGGTCGATCTGAGTTGGTTGGCGACAGTACTATTACTACTGCGAGCAGTGTGGGTCAGCTTGAGGGGGTTGCTGGGTTCGTCAAGCACGTTACCTTGGCAGTTAGAAGGCATCCGTTACCCTGAATTTTAGACTAGATTGAACTTACTGAACGAATGTGTAATCACACGCTTGTACCAATAATATCTCGTACCTTTTCACTTTCATTTGGTGCAGGATGCACATCAGAACCCTCAAACAGCACGAAGCACAACTCACATATATAAAGCCTCGACATATTTGTCACAGGAACAACCAGTCTGTTCCTATGAAATGAAATTGTGTCAAGTGCGGCACCTCTAGTAGGATGTGCCAGGGAAAAGCGAAAATGGGCTCTCGTTACATTCCATCGACTGGTACTTACATACCAGGCGTCGATCCAAATAATAGTGGAAAACACGACAACGACAACGCAATTGAAATGCGAAGTAAAGGCTCCCTGCAAGATAACGAAATTGACCATGCATTGGCTCCTTGATACGGACAACCTTAAACCCATCGATCTATAAGTTGCCTTATAAGTAACCATGTCTCAACATGTGTATTACTTACGTTGCATTAGCTACGGCACTGTAGCAGGATTTGCCCAATAACACCAGTTCGCCGTTGGGCTGAGTTGTGATACCATATATTTTTTTGATCGTTTTTGATCGGCCTGGCTCAGCCCCTCTTTATCGGGCTGCGCTCTAAAAAAGTGACGATGATACTGGAGGAGATCTATCACTGCCAATGATGTCGACCGAACATAGCAAATAACTACACCCGCGGAAAGGGTAGTGGTGCAGTGGTAGACGACCGTATCACATACCTAGAAATTTACTTCACCAGAAGACAATCTCACTCCAACTGTAAATGTTGTGGCCTGCCAAGGCCAAGAAAGGTCCTCCTTGGAGGTTACGTTCCATTTTTATCCTCTGGCCTGCCATTGACACCGCGTCATCTTCAGGATAAGGACAAGTTGTTGCTAACGTCCCATCTTGTTCGCCCCTCAGTGTCACTGAGTCCAGGCCTGGCGTCGTCAAGAACCAGTCAGCTTCCTCGGGGCTATGGCCGAAGTCGTGTGTACGAGCAAGCTCACCCCGGTCTAACTCCCAAGAAATGACGCATGCTGGATAAGAGGAGATAAGGATTGTTGGGACCTAGCCATGGAGAAAGGTGAGAACTTCCATTTACTGACACTCATCTCGAGACTGCTGTGGTATCAAACTCGAGACGCAATGGGGCGTCATTCATAGCTTTTTGCTGTGCGCTGTCACCGCATGGAATCTCGATGGGTTGATCCGACACATGACGTGGACGATTGTTTTCACAGATGGACCAGTACTGGAATAGCAGATACGTTCAAGTTGTTTGTTTTCCGCAGGGTATGATTCAATTGTCGCTTGTTGATCGTTGTTTTCACCTGTTTTCACTAAATCAGGACTTGACGACAATCCTCATTTGCTTTGCATACGGGCACACAGTCAACGCTTGTTACGCCGGAATTTGTCCAGCTATAGCAACAGTAATGTATTGTTGCTCTGCTGAGCGTGGGGTTCTGCGAGGTTCTACTCTCGACAGAAGTTCTGCCGACTGCCAGCACTAATTCAGCCAAACCGGTTGGTAGAACTCGGCTCAGCAATTCTGCCACTTGAGCGCACCCATTCCGACCTGCTATGGCGACGCGCCTCGTCACGGTATGCGTTTGATGTATCTGAATGTTCGTTCCAGAAACACGTATTTTAGATACAACTCGCCATTTCCCCCTCACAAACTCTTGGCTGATTCGACTGTGATGCGTCTTCTTGCCGTGTTTGCGACTCTGCTCGCAGTGGCCACCGCCAGCGGTCGTTTGATGACCATGCAAGAGGTGAACGAACGCCGACTCGAGGCAGTAAAACGTTGGCAGACTAGTGGCTCTCAGAACGTAAAGAGCGATGGTGTTCAGAATATCACATTCACCAACCCCAAGGCCTCAGGTGACTGAAATGCCACAAGTAAATATCTCATACGTCTGATCCGTCCAGAATTTTACGTCGATGGCAAATCCCTTCCTCTTGTTGACTTCGACGTTGGTCCTAGCTGGGCAGGTCTTCTGCCCATCAGCAACAGTCCTAATGAGACGCGTAAGGTGTGTACACGAGCAGTTTATCCACGTCCTTCAAGTGTTGACATCAAGGGCATCAGCTCTTTTTTTGGTTTTTTCCTCCCGGCCCCCAAGGGAGTCTTGATGATTTGATTTTTTGGTTCGTCATCAGAAGGCGTGTGCTCTTCGCTGCTGACCTGACATGTTCCACTTGAAGGACGAATGGTGGACCTGGATGCTCCTCCCTCGCAGGTTTACTGGAAGAGAATGGGGTAAGCCTCTTTGTTGACGACAAGACTCGTCTATAACTGAGATGTTTGAAGCCTTTCAGTTGGTCCTGGGGTCAGGCGGGACCAACGGTGAACCAACACAGCTGGACCAACCTGTCCTCCGTCCTTTGGGTGGAGCAACCTGTCGGCACGGGATTTTCTCAAGGTGTCCCGGACGCACAGAATGAGGATGATGTTGCTGCTCAAGTTGTCGGCTTCATGCAGCAGTTCCTTGAGGTCTTTTCGGAACTCAAAGGTAAAAAGCTGTATTTATCGGGTGAAAGTGTAAGTTCTCAGAGACTCCAGTAAAACATCATACTGACTGTATTCAGTATGGTGGAATGTACGTGCCTTGTGAGTCAGCAGTCGTCTTCTTTGAACTTAACTCTAAGACAAACGAAGATATCGCAAACTATATCTACGAGAACCCGAGTCGGTTAGACCTCTCGTTGCAAGGGATATGGATCAATGATCGTAAATAACATTTTGACTTCCTCTGTTTCTTCTCAAGGCTTATACGTGAAACTCAGCCTTAATCACATGGTTTGTAGTGCAACAGGAAATCCCTGCATTAGACTTTGTGAAAAAACACGCTAGTCTCTTCTCTTTCAAGTTTGTCCATTTCACTCGGACCTAGTTTGCAGGTCACTCACTGATTGATATCTAGTCAAACGTACATGAACTACCTCGACGAGATGGCCGCGACGTGCAATTATACTGGCTACATGGACAAGTACGTCACATACCCTCCAAAAGGTCTTCTTCCCCTGCCAGGAGACTCTACCGATTTTGCTGAAGGCTGCGATATCTGGACCGACATTTACAATAATTCGCTGATTATCAACCCCTCTTTTGATATCTATCGCATCTGGGACACTGTGAGTCGAAGAGGATATTGATGAATACCATATTAACTTTTTCTTCCTCCCAAGTATCCGAGTCCATGGGATGTCCTAGGTTTTCTGTAAGCCATTCAATAATTGACTCAATGCAGCCCAGCTGACGCAGATCCAGAGATACGCAGTCTCCGATCTACTTTAACCTAACAGACGTGAAAGAAGCTATCCACGCGCCCGTGGATACCGAGTGGATTG